AGAACTCAGTTTGAAGCATTAAATTATCAATTTTAAAATGACTATAATGATGAAAGAAAGACAATAAATAGGGACTTTTGAAATTAAAATAATCAGGACCCAAAGATAAGTCACAAGTAAAAATGATTTCATTGCTAGAAATGCTGAAACGATGGTTAAGTTCATTCAAAAAATATAATGTTCTTGTAAAATACTCATATGTCTATTTATAGTTTATACTAATTGGCAATTACCAAATATTATGGCAATAAATAATTATCTAGTACGTAGTATTTTCAAAATTATAAAAATACACTTAATTTTTCACAAATAACGGCTTATGGCTAAACGACAACGACTGGCTTTTTGGGATGCTTTTTAATCAGACTGGGGCAAATGCTCACATTGCTCCTCCTCCCAAATGACACCACTGTAATAATACATCTAATTGGTTTTAAAAATTATGTCTAATATTTTTAAATATAATTGATTATAAAAACTAGAGATTTATATAAATGTGAAAATTACCAGAAAAAAAGCAGTTCAGCATAAAGTGATAATGTTTTATAATCTTAACAAAATGATAAATAATAAAAAATTACATTACAAGTTGGCTATAAACTTAGATAAATACATTAAAAATGTTTTTATATATACTATATTAAAAGTTGAAACACGTTTATAAAGAATATTGAAAACCATATTAAAAGAATTCGGTATATTTTTCACGGCTTTGTAATCTTTTAATATTTTTATTCTGTAATTAGATCATTAACTATACATTATATTATAACATTCTCGCTCCTCATTGTCCTATAAGTTTAAAAATATTGAAAAATAGAAATGTCAATGAATTTTCGACTTTCTGCCATAATTTTTGAATATAATATTTATAATAAAATTAAAAATAAACTTAAATTTTTAAATGTTATTTATAGATTGTTACAGATAAACATTTAATACTTCAATATGTAATTTGTTTGTACTATAAAATAAATTATGAAATTAAATAATAAAGGAAAAATCGTTTTTGATTTTTAAAATTTTCCATCATCAGAATTTTAAACTTAGACTTAATCATATTTTAATAATAATTAAAATTACGAGTAATTATATAATATTTATATTTTTTATTTATTGCGTAAAAATATGCTTTTAAGTTAATAGTGATGGACGTTATTCAAAAAGTTGATGAAACTTATTATTATAATTAATAGACTAATTACTTTCAAATTTTATTTACTTCATTTCAGTTCAAAATATTAAATTGTAATTTATAAAAAACAAATTACATATTTAATAATACATTCTTACTGCTCCTTAAATTCATAATATGAAATTAGCTTAAATACTTTTAATAAAGCGTATTATGTAAAATTTAATGTTGAGAAGTGTAAACACTCTAGGGAATTATACAGATTATAATACAGTACAATAATACGGTATACCGCAAAAATAGGTGTGTTGAAAATATTTACGCATTCTGTTTTACAAATAAATCGAATCAATATTTTATTAAATGAATTAATTATTATGGTTTATAAAATTGCAAATTTGGAAATATCATTTCATTTTTTTTTTTATTAAATAATTATTTTATTTTTATCATTATTATATACATAAGATTCGATAACATATGATCATAGAATAAAATGAAAACAAAAAATGTAATTTAGAGTTTTTCAGAATTTTTAATCGTAAATAAAAAAAATCTTAAATATTTAAAACAATTTTTTTAGACCATCTAAGAAGAGGTCAATTTTTTTATCACTGTAATATTTATATGTGATAAATATAAAAAATAAACTTTATTCGCTGTATCTACGAGGATAATGTGCATTTTAGATATACTCAATATATACTGAAAAACTGAGTAGTTTTAATTTCAAATTAAATTATTCTTCTCAAAAGCAATAAATATATTAAAAAAAAATTAATTTTGATTTATCTGACAAAGTTAAGACTTATAAAATGGATTTTCAAAACGCAGATAAGACCGAGTATTTGCCCTTCGTTGTTTTACTATGAGGAGAGGAGACTGGTGCTTGATCACTGATGTATATCGGGGTAGTGGTGTGGAAGATACTTTAAACTCTGTGCGTTGGTATCACTAAAACATTGGTGTTAGGTATTTTATTCGTATCATGCACTTAAATGTTTATAGTAATGATATTCATCATTTTTAAAAACTGTTTTAAGTAAACATAATACATTTTTATGGTATATCTGATTTTATATAATAATATTCAGATTATAATACCACAATTTAGTGTCTATAAAAAGTTTTAAAACAAATTTGTTTATTGATTTATCTGTACACATTTTTAACAGCAAAAATCAAAAATGTTTGTGCAAATAATCGACTATATCTTTTAGTAATCAAATTTAAAACTTAAATGTTAACAAAAAAGTATCAGAGCAAATCTTTAATATTTTATACAAGGTAAAACACTTGCCTAAAATGCTGGTCTTGATCATAAAAAATCAATTTACCGTGTACATTTTTTAATTTTTAAATGAAATTTTACATTATTTCTAATATCTTTCATGTTCTATAATATTGGAATATCTGAAAATAAAACTGAAACCGAAATATTTTAAATAGTTATTTAGATTTTTAAAGTAGGCCATCCAGTTTAAATTATCCTATTTTATATCCTTACCTTAATTATATGAGACATCGATAGTTGAATTATTAATCAAAAAGTGTTAATAAAAAAAGTCATCCTTGTCAAATTAATTTGTATTTTTAACTTTGCTTGAAAATAAGTACTTTATTTAGTGTAGAAAACTCAAAAAATAAAAACATTAATAATAAAATGATTTGAGGTTTCTATAATATTAGAAGGAAAAGATATTTATTTCAAACATTTTGGATTTCATTAAACTACCTGCATTACTTTTAAAATTAAGTATTGTCGTATGTAAATCCAATCGTATTAATTATCTTAAAATATGACGCGTAATAATTTTTAAAAATATTTGATTGATTTACTAAAATTCAGTGGCGTAACTATCATAGGACGAAGCGGGGCAGTGCCCTGTGGCCCAGGAGTATAGGGGCACTTTGAAAATTTTTGAAGCTATACTTCCCTAAAATAATTAACAATGTTGATGGTATTTAACTTTCCTAATTGTACGTAGTGGTTCCAATAACACTCAGTATTGAAGCAGAAAAAATAATAATACACACAATATTTATTTGTTTTTTACAATAGGTACCTTCTTATAAACGGCATTTTCTTTTTATTCTGCACATCTATTAATTATCTGGCAATTAATTTTATTTATCGTTTCCTAATAAATAATTTCACATTAAAAAAAAAAAAAAACTATATAATGTGTATACCTTGAATTTTCATGTAAGGACAATATCAGTTTGAGAGCCATACGGCACCGGGGCCCTTCCCTGTATAGCTACGCCACTGCTAAAATTATTCAATATTTTTGGTAATTTGAATTTGTCTTTCAATATTTGCAGTGGAGGGGGAATGATCCGTCTTATCCTTGCGTTACCGTACATGAAGGAATATCTTTATCAATATCGGATAATATCAAGGCCGCATCAAAGGGGAGGAGGCATTGGCTACAACTGCACCGGGCGCCAGTTTTTTGAGGGCGCCAAAATTTTGTGGTCGGAAATTCGCTCACTTATAAATTATTGAACTTTTAAAATTATTTTTCCTGTTTTTAATAACAGAATCATAAATGAATGTTAATGTATTTAATTTATTAATATATATTATTAATGTATTTATAGCAATATAGCTATTAGCGATCCAGAATATTATTAATATATCTCATACAAGTTCCTAAATTTGTTGTGATAATGTCAATAAACATAAGTTATTTATAATAATACGGCGTATTATGTTATCGCGTGCGGTGGCATGCCTACTACACAAAAATAGCATTGATTTTTGAATATCTTAAAGGTTCATAAGGATCTATTTCCTATATTTTCCGTGGGCAGATCCCTTAGAGGGATGTCAATTTTTTTTTTTTTTTGCACTGGGGCGCAAAATGTCTAAATACGGCACTGGATAAGATGTATGTCCTCCCAATATGAACTTGGAATTGGTTTTTCCATTTTTGATTTTAAATTATTTGCGAATGAGGACCCCGCAGTAATCAATAAATAATACATGCAATAATGTACCAATCATTACATACATTAGGTGATTATTTAACATGAGAAAATCATATTTTAAATTGTTTTAAAATTAATGGTAGTTTTTTTTTGGGACACGTATTGAATACAAAAACCTAAGTATTTTTGAGTTTAACGGAAGCACCGTCGTACAAATGAAAATTATAAACCATCGATTGAACTACTATAATTTTCATATATTGCGGTGGCGGACGGCACTTTGTCATCGTGACATCAAAAAACTTATAATGGTACTCGAAACGCGTGAGCCGGGATGAGGATTGAGGGTAGGTAAAATATCGTTTTGCGACATGTGTCATTGGCGAACAGAATCTCTGCAACCATACTAGTGCGTTATCCACAACCGTGTGACACGCAACGGGTAAAAAGAGCACAGGCAATCGATGAGTAAAACAAGCGAAATTTGAAAATTTGTCATGCGCCCGATTGTTTCGTTCGTCTTCTGATTTCCATCGTAACCATGTAAAAAACACGAACAAGAACAATATTAACATTAGGCGACGGTGTTGGTGGTGGCAACACTGCGCTGCCGGCGATTGATCCACACTGGACCCGGCCAGTCTGGCGCCAACGTGACGACTGAAAGTCTGAAATCTCGTCGACACGCAGCATCCGTTGCCGCCGCCGGTCCTTATCTTCTCGGCGCCCCAAAAGTGTCTCCCCCCACTGACGCCGGGGCGGCCGACGCCAACCGGCCGCCGAACCCCTTCCCTCAACGTCCCGGCTGCAGTCATCGTGTGGCCGCCGACACCCTTCCCCTCCTGCAACCCGTCACCGTGGCCCCGTACCGTCGCCGCCGACGACCGGCCGTGGCGGGCGCCACCGCTCCACGTTCGACTAACACGAACCGTATTGATCGTCGGGGCGCTCTGCGCGGCTGTACTCATTCTCTCCTTACTCATAATGTACGAGGCGCGCACCCGCTTTTAATTCCATTACGCCTTGTTCAGTCTTCCACGAACCCTCTTGGCGCGTCGTCGTCGCCATCAGCAGCACTCCACGCTCTGCAGTCGGTGTTCCGCCGTCGTGCAAGTCTGTCCCTGCTCATTCTAGATATCATTTTCCACACGTTTTGTTTTCGCTCGCGTCCACGAGACAACAGCTTCACCGACGAGTCGAATAATTATAACATTGTTACGTACACTCGGCGCCAGCGAACTACTGTGTGTGTGTGTGTGTGTGTGTGTGTGTGCGCGTATTTATATGTATGTGTGTGTGTGTGCGCGCACGTATTTATGTGTGTGTGTGTGTGTATATGTGTGCCCGCACGTCGGTAATTTGCAATATTTTACTTCCAAATTTGCCGCTATAGGTACCCTATTGCGCTCCCGAAATGCGTCATGCCAACATTACGCGTAGTAGTAATTCAACTTATTCTCGCGGCCGGCTTACGGTTCGCCCGCTGTGAATCGGTATTCGATTCGCATGTCGTCGACCAAGGTAAAATTCAAGTAATCATAAAATATAGGTACCGAATATTTGTCGTCCGTCCGGGTGTTAACCGAAACATGTATTACAACTAGTATACGATACGAGTGTATACGTATGTCTGTTGGTTCGTAAGATATGTTTGATATTCTTGGTTGTTATATTTGAAACCGACCGGGAATCGGACATATTCTACGGCCTCAGAGTTCATCAACTGTATATACTGTTTATCATGCCCGTTTTTATACTCCTATTATATTGTACCAATGTTAAATGCACCTAGTAGTGACTGTTGAATACCACTTAGTATTGTTTAATTACTCATTACCTTTGTTAATATTATGTTACACTACTCATATTGAATATGTATGTACAGTTATATATATATATATATATATATATATATGTGTATTATTTGTCTTACTAGAATATATTGTCACGTTCAATGGATATTACCATAACGAAACTCGGTACAAGTATATATCGGCTGCTTTGAAATCTTCAGGCATTGTAAATTGGAGAATCTTGGATAGAAAAAACGCTGCCAGCAAATATCCAAGCGATTTTGATGTTTTATTTGTAAATAAAAACAAATATATTTATTCATTTATTTGAAAATTATATCTAAATGCTTGTATATGTTTTAGGTGGATGAATTCTATTCAATAAAAGCCTTGGATGTACTGACTGATCATCCTGTGATTAAAAAAGTATCACCACAGCGAGTTGTACAAAGAAATTTAAATGAATATGTTAATGAAACTGAAAATAATGTACTTTTACATAAAAGAAGTCTTGGCCAAGTAATTTCTTAAATAAATCCATGTTAATTAATTTATATAAATTATTGACATTTGTTTGGATTAACTATTTTTATTTATATAATTATTTTTTAGGATGTCAAATTTTGGTATAAACTAAACAAACGTTATAAAACTCGTCATATTCTTCGTATTGTTCCTTCTCAAATTACCAAAGTTCTCAAAGCTGATGTATTGTGGCGGTTAGGTATTACAGGTAGAGAACTAAGAGTACTATGTCGCAGTAATAGTTAATGATTTATTTAATATATTATCAATATTAATTTAGGCAAGGGAGTAAAAGTAGCTATTTTTGATACTGGTTTGAGTGTATCTCATCCACATTTCAAAAGAGTAACTGAAAGAACTGATTGGACAGGGGACGGTGACTTGGATGATGGTCTTGGTCATGGAACTTTTGTAGCAGGACTTATAGCATCAAATCGTGAATGTTTTGGGTTTGCTCCTGATGCTGATTTACATATTTTCAGAGTATTCACTAATAACCAAGTGAGAGTGTAAAATGTTATCAGGAAAAACAAAATGATTTTAATGCCTAATAAATGTATGTAGGTTTCATATACATCATGGTTTTTGGATGCATTTAACTATGCTATAATGAAAAAAGTTCATGTTCTTAACTTGAGTATTGGTGGACCTGATTTTATGGACCAACCATTTGTAGATAAAGTTTGGGAATTAACTGCTAATGGGGTTATCATGATATCAGCTATTGGCAATGATGGGCCTTTGTATGGGTGAGGTTTATTATATGCTGTGATTATATATATCTGTACATTTTAATAATTTGCATTAAAAAATATTATTTTTAAGTACTTTAAATAATCCTGCGGATCAAATGGATGTCATTGGAGTAGGTGGGATAAGTTTTGATGATCATATAGCCAAATTTTCATCACGAGGAATGACTACTTGGGAATTACCTCAAGGGTATGATTTTAAATCAAGTCCACAGAATCTTATTCAGAGTATAAATTATTTTTTTAGATATGGCCGCTTAAAACCTGATATAGTTAGTTATGGCACAGATGTACATGGTTCAAGTGTGAGTGGAGGGTGTCGAAGTCTTTCTGGCACTAGTGTTGCTTCACCTGTTGTAGCTGGAGCTGTTACACTATTAACTAGGTTAAATAAAGACAAAAGTATAGAAAGATTATATAAATTATATTATGTTATAATGTTTAGTGGTATATTGGCCCAAGGTAAAGTAGTCAATCCAGCAAGTATGAAACAAACCCTTTTAGCCAGTTCTCAAAGATTACCTGGCATCAATATGTTTGAACAAGGACATGGAAAACTTGACCTCTTGCAAGCTTACAAAGTATTATCTAGCTATGTACCACAAGTCAGTTTCAGCCCTAGGTAGATAAATATATTTTAAATATTTATATTTATTTATATAAAAAAAAGTAATCTACTAAGGGATAAAAAAGCAACTAATTCAAATTCAAAATTGAATGAATTTGAAAATGTGATTAGAATAAAAAGCGTAATGAAACGTGTTACAATAGAATAATTTAACTGTAGAAAAAGTTATCTTCTAATAGAAAAACTACAGTAATGAAGAGTTAATATGACTTAAATATGTCATAACTAACTTAAATTAAAATTAAGTTTCTTAAAAAAATATCCATATCCACAAAATGTTATCAGTGTTATCAGATGTATATATTAAAATTATAGTTATAATATTTTGTATCAAAAAAATACAAAAAAGACCTAGTAACTAAATATATATATATACAATAATATATTAATAAAGAAAAATAAAGTGCCCAATTAGTTATTACTTAATGCATTATTTGTCTACCAGAACGTAGTGTGTCCCTTGACCATTTACCAGAGCTTTCATAGATCCCCAGGTATATACAATAAAAACATTTAATAATTAACCTGAATTTTGGATGGATGTTTTGAACTCCTATCCCCCTTGTGTATGTGTGCTCCTGTTCTAATCAATTCAATGCCCTTATTTTTTTTGCTAATTTTTCTCTCATTGTTGCCATAATAATGTTAGTATTATACAGAAATCTCTAATAATAATCTCCCAAGAATAGTATTTAATATTTTTATTATATTTATAACTATTCAATTTATTAATTAACTTAAATATTATTAGTTATATAGATTTAACTGAATGCCAATATATGTGGCCTTATTGCACTCAACCATTATATTATACTGGCATACCAATTATTGTTAATGTCACTGTACTCAACGGTTTGGATGTATTTGGAAAAGTAATTGGTATTCCTATTTGGTATCCATATTTCCACGATAATGGACATTATTTAGATGTAACAATAAGTTATTCTCAAATATTGTGGCCATGGTCTGGTTGGATGGCTATTGCATTGGTTGTATCTCAAACTACTCCTGAAGATTGGAGTGGTACTGTCTCTGGACATATTGAGATTACTATTGAATCAGCCAATACTAATCATACAGTAAAATTGCCTTTACGAGCTGCTATAATACCTCCTCCGCCAAGAATTAGAAGAATTCTATGGGATCAGTATCACAATTTAAGGTATCCACCAGGATATTTTCCAAGAGATAATTTAAATGTGAAAAATGACCCATTGGACTGGAATGCAGATCACATACACACAAATTTTAAAGTAATTATTTTAAACTTTAAATAATTATAAAAAATAGTTGTAACCTGAGTATAACAATAATATATAATTATTTAATTCAATACATTACATATTATTTATTAATTATTTTAGGGATTATATCAGCATTTGCGTAGCTCTGGTTATTATGTGGAAGTGTTAGGTGAACCATATACATGTTTCAATGCAGCAAACTATGGATCATTGTTAGTTATAGATCCTGAAGAAGAATATTTTACTGAAGAAATAACAAAAATTGAAAATGATATTGCAAAATACAATTTATCAGTTATCATCTTTGCTGAATGGTATAATGTTTCAGTGATGCAAAAGGTGTATATATTTTTTCTTATTTCTTTATTTTAAGTTATTTATTTCATTTTTGTTTTTAGATAAAATTTTTTGATGAGAACACTAAACAATGGTGGACACCACTAACAGGTGGCTCAAATATACCAGCTTTAAATGATTTGTTGGCACCTTATGGTATATCTCTAGGTTCTAATGTTTATTATGGAGAATTCGGAATGGGAGATAGAAAAGTACATTACTCTTCAGGTAGTCACATAACATCATTTCCAAATGAAGGCATTGTTGTAGCTAAAACTTTAAAAAATCAGGGTAATTATAATTTTTAAAAATGTTTATTAAACATAAAAAAAAACTTACATATTTACTTTTCTACTTTGACCATATTAAATATAGGTGAAGACATTTTAGGCGGTGATAAAACTGGACAAGAAGTTAACGTTCCAGTTTTAGGCTTGTATAAATCGACAGGATATATTATTTTATTTGGTGATTCAAATTGTCTAGATAATAATCATATAGAAATAGGTAATAATTGTCAAATATTTATATAATCATATTTTTAAATAATGTATCATTATTTTTCAGATTGTTATTGGATGTTAGATGCCATCTTAGAATACATATCTACTGGTAAACTACCACATGTTTTTCTTGAAGATAATGTGAAAATTAGTAACAATACAACTAAACATTTAACTGAACGTCTAGAAAATAATGACTTCTACAAGTAAAAGTACATAAATATTTGTGATCTAATAAATGCTAATCAGCATTGTCTACTGATTTCAGATACTCCAAAGTTGTTAGTAAAAGTGATTCTGGAATTTCACAATTACCTATTCCTTCGTGTGTCAAAATTAATTTGGCTAAAACTATAGTTTTAAATATCTCGGCAAATAGGTAAAACCATTGTTAGCTTTTTAATTAACATTTTGCCATTAATTTAGTTTAATAAATTTATTTTGTATTTTATCTAGTGATGACTACAAACCACAAAAATTGAAAAGTGATCCTTCTTATAATGATGAAAATGAGTATGAGTGGTTACAATCTCTAGCAGCTAGTTCAAAATCATCGAACGAGATAATATTAACTGAAGGATTATTCACTGGATTTTTTTTGCCTCTTACAACACTTGCAATTGTGTTGTCTATGGTGGCTATTTATGTTTTATGGAGATATTATTGTTGGAGAGCAAAAGCTAAACAAGGTCTTATAGCTCTTGGTAAAAAAAAGACTGTTGGTGGAATTAAAAAGAGTTTTATGTATGTGCTCAATCACAACAGTAGACTTCAATCTTCTAGTGGATACAATTTGTGATCATATGTGTAATAACTTATATGTTATATATTTTATAGTTTATACTTTGTATTATCAATAGGTAAAATGTTTTATAGAACAAGTATGTTATTTTTTTAACGTTTATAAAAATAAATGATTTCATTTCATTATGTTTATATATTTGATATTCAACTTATTTTATAATCATAGTACTAAGCTATTTAATGTTTATTATTATAGAACAAAATATTGCTAAAATGGTTTGTCTTGGTTATAATTCATAACAGTGGTGCATTATCAGGTACAGTCATTTGTATGATTAAAACTAGATTAGTAGCCACTTTCACAAAGTAAAATTAATTTTTAATTATATTGATAATAGTGTACAAAATATTCTTTTAAAATGTATTATGGTTAAAATATGTAATTATAATAACCTCAATATTTTAACGCGTAATAATGTACATTTAGCTTATTTTAAAAATAGTTTTGATTTAATATACAATAAATAATAAAACTGTAAGTTATTTAAAGTATTGAAAAAAAAACAAAACAAAAAAGAATGTTTTGTGCAATGAAATAATATAAAATGTACCAATATTAAAATGAATGGTCAATAAAAATATATAAAATCTCAAAAATAGTAGTGTATAATTATAATTATGATTTAAACAACCACACTAAATATTAAATCAAAACATAATACAAATTATAAATATCTTAAAATTGAAAGAATACAAGGTAAACAATAAGTAATTCGATTAGATTACAGCCTTTAGAATTTAGGAATTTTTAATTTCCTTTTGTTTAATATGTGCATTTTCCACTAATCGAACTACTTTCATTAAACAATTTAAAAAAATAATAGAACAATTCTGTGATAGTAGCCCAATATAATGTAAATAATGGAAGGCATAGTAATGAACTAAAACATAAAAACATATTATCTAATGAAACACATGGGCATAACTAAAACATTATCACAGTCATATTTTTTTTTAGTTATTCCTCTAACTTTTGAATGGTAACAAATACTGATTTACTCATTTTTATTATGTATATTTATATAAAGACTTACAGTTAAAGTTTTCTTATAATTAAAACCCTTGTGCAATAACTTAATATTAAAGGTTAAATTTATTTAATAATCACTATTCATCATTGGTATAGTAAAATCCACCATGTTTGGAAGAACAATTACTTTCTGTAAAAATATTACACATATGTGTAAATTTATAAATCAATAGTCAGCAATAAAATTATATTATACATACTTCAATTTCTTTGATTAATATGTTATGTAAGCCTTTAGACAGAACATCCATAAGTGGCACATTTGTGTCGTTTACTTTTGGCTTAGCTTCAAAGTTGACTTTTGGACATCCTTTAAATGAAACCCTAGAAATAAAAGAAAAAAAAATGTTACATAAGAAAATTAAATGTATGTTAAATTTTACATACTACAATTAATAAAATGAAAGTGAAAAACATAAATATATACATATGGGTATAATTTGAATGCTACATAAACATTTATATATTGGAATATATATATATATATATATATATATATATATATATATATATGTGTGTGTGTGTGGATATATTGTATCAACAAAATTTTGAGATACATATTTATTAAAATATAAAAATATTTATGAATTAGAGGAAAAAATAAAAAAAAAATGTGTAAAATGATTAATTAATAATCTGATTACTTAATAATAAAATGATTGTTAAATAAAAAAAAATATATATATAGTGTAATAAAATTGTTTAAATTTGCCATTATATATATATATATATATATTACATTTTTATGGTTAAAACTATATAAATTGGCTTGCAATACACATTTTTTTTCTGCCTTCGTTAAAAACATAATAACAACATTCATATTTTATCATTCTATTTTTGACTTTCATGCTTAGGCTAGCTTATTACTATTATTATATTATATTAGCTTATTATTATTTTTTTACATAGGCTAGCGTTTCTCAACATAAGGGTTTCAAAATATTTGCATGGGTACTTGTTCGTCAACTAATGACAAGAAAATTAGAATATCTTAGTTTTTATAATGCAATTATATATATATATATATATATATATATATATAAATAAATTGTTAGTAATGTTATTATATTGAATAATACAGTTTTTTTTTTTTTTAAAGGATCATTTACCCAACACAAAGAACATTTATGGGCCTATCCTTAGCATAAAGGTTGGGAAACACTGACAAACACTATGTACACAAATAATTAAAATATTAAAATAATAATACAGTAATTAAATATTTAGTTAGTCAAAACTAATAAATTCACCGTTTAAATAATGATTGAAATGATATTATAAAATTAAAATAATTTACCAAATACGATCAGTTGGTGGTGGAGGCAAATTGACAATAAGCGTCCCAACTAATTGTTTCACATTGATTACAAGAGTAAGTTCTTTTTTAGCCACATTTTCAAACACTTTTCTCACAAATTTAAGTTCAAGAAAACCAGAAGAACAATTTTCCATAAATCTTGAAATACGACTTCCTTGAGGTAGCGGTGGTTCATTTAAAGCTTGTTGTTCAAACAGTCTTTCAGCAATGTTGATATCTTCTCGTGATTGAAATTCATCATTTGATGTTTCACCACTATCTTCTTGGTTAGAATCATAAACTGCACTTCTTCTAAAAAAAAGGTTGAAAAACATTGCAATAAACTTGACTTCCAAACAAACATTTAATTTTATACAATCACCCATTAGTAATAGTTTTTATAGTGAACAAAAATTATTTAATTATGAAGTAAAATAATTCTAAGATATTCTATAAGAAATAAGACTGCATGAGAAAAAATTTGGTTTTCTTTTTTTAAATATTCTGAATATACCATGATAAAGTATTAACAGAAAATTTATATCATCTAAATTTAACATATCCATCAATTTTTAGAATTAAAAAAAAATTATAGATCCCACTTTTCAAAATTTTGAACAAAAATCTTATAAAAGTGCTTCAACTTTTATATCTACAGTTGAATAATAAACGATGAATTATATCTATCAACAAATGAATATCTAATCTTTAATTATTAATGTATATAAATAAATGTAATATGCAAAAATAATATATATAACTTCATAATACATTTCTTCCTTTTGTCGTTGAGCTTCTTCTTTTTTTAATTTCATAAGGTTAAGCTTAGTGTCAACAGATGCTTGAAATGTTCCACTGTAAACAATATCAAGTTCAAACCATATTCCACGATGATCCACCCAGGGTTTTGATACTTTCCGTATCGTTGGAATTTCTCCTTTTCCAAAACATAAACTTCGAATCACTAGCATGTCCATTACTTTAGGTAACTGTATTTTATAAGAATACTTATTAATTTATAATTATTGTTTATTGAAATAGTTTAATTTACCCTTATAGCATTTAATTTCCTTTGAAATTTATCGGCAATCATTTCAAGAACTCTAGGATTTTGTAAATAATCAAAGCATACACGTCCTAGTAACATATTTAACCATAAATACTGTTGCTTATCAGAAATCTCAGGAACTTGAGTCATTATTAATTTCTAAAATTATTTTAACAATAATTAAAATACAATAAAATAATTTTTTACTACCATAAGTAAAAACTAACCTCTTTTTTTTTTTGATTATCAGTTGATACTGGAAAATTAGATAATTCATAAACATTATGAATGTAGGCAAGATAAGCCTGAAGAAATTTATTGTGTTCTTCTATATTTCTTTTTTTCTTATTGACTGGTTCATCAACAACGATGTCAAACGCTGAAGCTAGATTCAAACGGTGAAACCATAATTCTTTTTCTGGGTCATTTCTAGCAAATAAATATATTTTGTCAGAATCAGTTTTCAATACACTATCAACTTCATTTTCCTCAACCATATCAATTAATTTTTCAGCATTTTTTGATGTACTTGCTTCGAAATCAATGTTCTTACGCTCATTTTTTGTATCAGATTGAGTGATCTAAATGATGTTAATAAATCTTTTATAATAAAGATCAATATTTAGCATACGAGTATCTTAAAAAGATTGTTATAACAAAATAATTTCTCACTAATTTAATTTTTAAAGATATTCAAAATATTTTAATGTAGATTTCAATACAACAAAGAAAATAATTTTTTTTATTTAATTTAATTTTCTAAGTTTTAATAAAGAAAAAAACTTACATCAGTTTTTGATTTTTTCTTTTCATTTTGTTTATTTTCTGAATAATGGATTTCATCTTTAAAATCATAATCATCTTTCATCTCCAATACACAATTTTCCAACATTTCCTCATAATATGTTTCTATTGTAAATATAATAACAAAAAATAAATAAATATACACATACACATAAACTTATTTTTATTTTAATTAAATACAGGATGTGGCTCAGCCGACTGACAATTTTACAGGAGTGTAGTGAGATCAACTAAACTAAATGGTTCAGAGTGTTGGGTGGTTGACAGGAAAATAGAACAGAGTATGAGAATTGCGAAAATGAGAATGCTTAGATAGATGAGTGAAGTGATAACAGGAGATGGAGTAAGGAACAAATATGTGAGAGGTAGTATTGGTGTAGTATCTATAGTGGACAAGATGAGAGAAAAAAGATAAAGATGGTTTGAGCATATGATGAGACGAGAGGAAACAAATGCAGTAGGAGTTGTTATGAAAATGAACGTTGAAGGGAAAAGAGGAAGAGGAACACCAAAAATATTATATTCTATAATTGGTCACAATTAAGAATGTTAAGAAGGCTGTTAGTGTATGCATATGAGATGTAGAAAATCAAAACGAGTAAAGGTTTAGGACAAGGGTGGCCAACCCCAAATAGTTGGGAGAAAGGTGAAAGAAAAAAGAAAGAAGCAGTTATTTTTCATAATTAAAACTAAGAAGATAAAAAATTCATACCAGCTTGTAATGATGGTGTGACATAATCTTTACACAACCATTCATCTGTTTCTTGAACAAACCTTTTAGATTTTAATGAACGACGAACACCAATCAATGATTCAGGATTTAACTCTATACAAATAGGATATTTTTTGCTCCATTTCCTAAAAAAAAAAAAAATAATAATTTTTATTAATACTTATTATAATAATGTCTTACCTTTTATTTACTAAGTTTTGAGGTAATAAAGTAATGTTGCAACGTGACAATTTATACATGCATTCCTTAACAAACACCAATTTTGGTTTGGATTCATTATATAAAGACCTTTTAGGAACTTTATAGTAAGGATAAGATATAATAAGTATTGATCCTGTTAATTTAACATAAACAGTAACTGTAAGTGAAAGTCTATAAGTTTCTGGGCGATAATCATAAAGAAATTGATTCATCCATCCCTGTTTAAAATAACAAAAATATTTTATAATTTTTTAAATTCATTTCAATATTTGTTCATGAAAATATATCTAAAATAGTATTGATTATTTTTATAATTACTTTATATAATATTGAATGTGGATTTAAGTCATACAAGTTTTTTAAAGATTGTATTATAGAAGCTTCATTATCTGGGATGTAGTTCGCATTGGGTTGAACATGTTTAATTTTGTAGTCATCAGTTAAAAACATTTCCAACACATGTCTAAATTTAAATGTAAAAATACTACCAAGAACAAGGGTATTCTGAAAAAAATTGATTAAATCAAAATTAACACTTAAATTAATTGGTCAACTCAGGGGCGGATCTAGAGTCAGGGAACTGTGGGTCAAGCCATTTCAAGAGGTCATTTATAAGGGATGAAACTGAATTAGAAATGAATACCTTGTAAAAAAAAACACACAATATGCTCATAAAAGTGTATAAGTATATTTATATTACATTTTAGAATTAGTGATACCACCGATAATGACACATTAACGATTAATAAATATAATCTAATTTTATCAGCGAACAAATGCATCAAATAGGATTTACTTAACTTCCTACTAAAACAATATAATTTAAAATATAAATTATGAATTGAAAAATTTTTAATTTTGAATATACATGGTATTCATTTTTCAAGTAACTCCAATGGGCCAACTTTCCAAGAGTCTAAATCAAGGTCTAAAAAGAGAAAAAAGTTTCCAAGAGGCCAATTTTGTCAACAAATATTAACCGTGGGTCAGCTAACCCCCTGAACCCCCCTAAATCCACCACTGGGTCATCTTATATTGTAAATTTTATATTTTAACAAGCCAACAAATTATAGTTTAAATATTAATAGAAAATCAATATATTTTGGTTTAGAAAAAATATGCAATAATCAATCATTTGAAAATATTATAACATTGCTTAAAACGTTTATAAGATTATTGCAATTAATTCAAATTTATAATACCAAAAGGAACATTTGAATTTTTTTACCATATAATTATAATTATTTTACAAAAAAAAATCAATAATTATTATAATTAAAAATAAATGAAAAGGGAATTTCCATTTTTAACAAACTATAATATTGTTTTTACAAATTTCCACTGCATCGTCTTATTTAAAGTTTTAGCATAAAAAGTATAAATATTTAAATTTGTTTCAAGAAAATAATTTGTACTTACTATATATATCGGAACAAATTTGTAACCTAAATAAACTCCAATAGTTCCGAACAAAATAAATATAGAATATTTTTTAACTGTATCGCTTGTTTTTATAGATTCTGTTTCTGAACAATCATATGGAGATGCATTTGTGGTATTTGATTTTAATTGTAAATTTTCTAAAGCATCTTTAGCTGTTTCTACGTCATCTGTTGGTGAGATTTTTTCAATAATTTTATTACGCCTACGACGAATACCAAACAAATTTCGGTCAATAATACTGTATTGTAATTGTTCTGGTTCTTCTTCAGCTTCATAAATTTCATTAGATATAATAGATACAGAATCATCATCTTGACCAGAATCATCAGTTTTCCTAGCAATAAATAATATTGAATATTACATTTCATCATTACATTATATAAGCATTACTTTGACGTCATGCTTAGATCACCACCGCTCTCACTTCTCCATAATCCTTCTTTAATATCTGATAGAAAACTATCAAGACGTCTAATGGTTGTATCACAAGGAGATGATTCAGCATCTGAACTAGATGACCTTTTTAAGCCAAAAAGACCTAAATATTGTGAATTTCCAAAAGATTGTTCGGGTGTTCTTAATTGTTCTTCGATTGATTCTAATACAAAAAAAAATATTTTTTTCTTGATATCATCAAAAATATATTCTTAAGATTCAATAGAATCTTTTAATATGCTCTTCAATTTTTGAAAATATAGTTAAATTTATTTTGTTTATTTTATTTTGTATCTCTATGCAATAATTTTAATAAATAATACCTGTTGATTGTAATTTTGTAGGAGTTGTACATAATCCTTCCACTTCTTCATCTTCAGCGTTGAAGCGTACCGAAAATGACATTTTTTCTAAAATTAATAATTTGTATTGAAATTGAATAAAAATTAATAGAGCGATATAATTTTACATTTTATAATATGTACTACACGTATAAATAATATTAAATATAAAAACAATATTACAATATAATATGACCTTCTGCAACGAAATAATAGGTATCGGTATCAGGCCAAAATAAACAATAGATACTTACCCTTTCCTACACTTCTTCGAGTTTTTGACAACTCCATAACACACAATAAACGTACAACTACATGAATAACTAAAATAAATAACTTTATCAAATTCAAGTGTTCGATTAAGTTATTGTGAAAAATTTAATCAAATAATAATGGCTAATAAATTACACAACAATCTACACATTAAACACAAATTTTCCCAATACCTTAAGAATTACTTATAAATATTTAAACTTTTATCTTATCAAGGAATCAAATAAAAATAAATATGGCCTATCTATAGACGTACATATGTATTATATGTCTGTGGGCCTATCAATATACATAATCCATAGTTATTTTTTTTATTATCAACACGAGTTATCAGTAAATTTGTAAGACAAGAGACAACACGTTTATTTTGTTTACTATACACATTTTTAGCATATAAACATATTAATATTAATGTATAAATATACAGTATACCTAAGAATCAATTTAATGTTTGAAAAAATGCAGTACCTACTTAGGTATAATGGCTTGAGGATAATAAGAAAATATATTTGTAAACCTAAATATTGTAAATAGAAAGATTTTAGCGATTTGAATTCAGCCTACTATATGTTTTACCTAAAATCGCCCCTTGACTATCCAAAAATTGATCTTAATTTCGTTTTAAAATTTAAAAGTTAAAAGGTCTTATGGAAATAAATTTGAGGATTTCAAATCTCAACTGTCAATTTCAGAGTAATCGGAAGGACAAGTAATAAGTTTAAGATGAAACTAACTGATATAAAATAAAAATTGATGTAATAATGTAAAAATGTTGTATTTTTTTTTAAATAAATATTTCACGAAATTGGCTATTAAATTTAAATCACTTGTATTATAAGAACTAAAGAACTGTGTGTTCTACGAATTAAAATCACAGAGGTAAAATGGTTCCTATAAGTTACAACCCTTATTATTTCGGGCAAATAACTTAAATAAGAATAGTTTTTTTTTTTTTTTTATTCACATAGGTAATTTTTAAAACCATACTTATTATTGTAAATCCAAAGTTCTGAGCACCTGTTATCAATTATATTATCACTATTAGTATATATTTCGACAATTATTATCAGTTAAAAAATAAAAACTTTAATAGTTTATGAATAATCTATTATATTAATATTTGTTAAAATTAATTACACTTTCATTATTTACGTTTTCATTTTAAATCATGAAGATCGACTTAAAGTAAAAAGTTTATATTTATTAATTAATCAAGCCATATCATCTTAATTTTTAATCATGACAAATCTCTATACAACAACGGAGTTGACGGAATTTACTCCTTTGAGTCCTGAACAAGAACAATCATCTGTTGGCTCTTTTTTTGCCAAAGTATTCAGTTTTAAGACAAGCCCAACAGATGCCAATGACAATACTGCTCCACCTGTTGTAAATAATGTAAGTACAAATAAAAAAAAATCCATGTCAGGTAGGTAAATTATACCTATTTAAATAGAATAAATATAAAACAATTATAAATTAAAGTACTTGAAAATAGTTTAATCCAACATACAGAAATTTAAAAAAAATTAGAAATTGTGAAAAATACAGATACTGTTTTGGAACAATTATAATTACTATTTTTTTATTATTGTAATGTTACTTGAATAAAATATGTTAATGAGCATTGATGTACAATTTTATTTCATAGTATAAGTATAATTTATAAAATAGTTTTTATATATTACTATTCATTTTTCAACAATTATTTATTTTATGTAAAGTATATTTAATTTTTATGTGATTAGGATCAAACTGAAAAAGATACTTCACAAGCTCTGGCGGCTATAGATGGAAGAAATTTACCAAATATTTTAAAAAGAGTTGGTAATCTATTACCAATTCGGTCAGGAGTAGGTTAAATTTTATAATATTTAAAAGTATTTTATCTAACAAAAATATACATCATAAAAATGTATGTTTGTGTTTAAAGGATTATCCATCTTATAGAAATACTGATTTAAAACAGTATTGGATGCCCGATTCTGTAAGCAAAGAATGTTATGATTGTTGTGAGAAATTTACAACTTTTCGAAGACGTCACCATTGTAGAGTATGTGGACAAATATTTTGTTCAAAATGTTGTTATGAAGAAATACCTGGAAAAATAATGGGATGCTCTGGTAAGATCATTTGATTTTATTTAATATTTTATGTTATAACACTAGGATTTAAAATAACATTATTCTATAGGAGACCTCAGGGTTTGCACATATTGTTGCAAAGTAGTATTATCTTATTTACAGTCTGCTGCTAAAGATGTAGTATTATCCCCTGATTTAGTATCTCTTAGAAATGAATTACAATTAAAATTAGGCAATCATGAAGCTTTAACCAATTCTAATGTATCCACAAAGTATTTTGAAAATATAATTGAACCGACAAATTCACCAAGTAGAAAGGTTTCTGTAGGATATCAAGAAGAAAATTTTGCATTATCCAGGTAGATTGATATTATATCTAATGTTTCCAATTTATTATTTTTAATTAAAATTTTTTTTTTCGTTAGATCAAGTACATTAAGTAGTTTATCACCAATAGAATCTGTTGATGATCAAAATATTTCTCATAATCTAAATAATTTGTTTGAAGAAATGTCACAAATAAATGGTGGATTACATTTAAAGACACACCGATATCATTTAAGAAGTTACCATTCATGTTTTCTTGGACATAATTTAATAGAATGGTTACTAAATCATGGGAAAGTTACTAGCAGGTAAAATTAACTAATATTTTTGTTTTGTCAAAAATTTCTAATGAATTATGATAAACATACAAATCTAATAATTCCAGAGTTATGTAATATATTAATATTGAGTTGTTATAAAATGGTCAGTGATATTAATGACCCAATATATCCTCTTTAATTAAGTCAGTAAAAATTTAAGCCACTGATTTACCAATATTTTTTTGATACATGTATTTGAATATATATTTGTATTTAGAATGCATGGCACAGCAATCGGACAAGTACTTTTAGATGCTGGATATATAGAAGATGTTATGGAGAATCAAGGAGATTTTGTTGATGGAAATTCATTGTATAGATTTTGCTCAGTGCTTCCCAATCAGTCTAGTAAAAGTATGAAAATTACTTCTACAAAGTCTAAGGTTTATGGTAATTAAAATCAATTTATTAGCATAAACTTATATTTATATTATTATTTTTTTTAAAAACATATTTTTTATAGAAAAACAAAACTCAAATCTCTCTAATGGGAGTTTTAAATTAGATTTAGATCTGCATAATAGTACAGTTCAAATTTCAAAACCAAGTTCTCAAAAATTGAAACAAAATTCAGGTAAAATGATTACATTTTTTTCTAATAAATAATATTATTTAAAATATATAATATAATATTATAATTTTAGTTGTTGAGCCACGACCTATAGATATATTAATAAAACAAATACTTGAACTAATTTTCAACACTTATCAAAGCAATAATTTTGGAACTATGAAAACATGGAGTTCTCCTAAAAAACTAGGAGATGAAAATAATGAAGCATATACTTTCAATAACTTAACGTAAGTAATTATCTTAAAATTATTTGTTTATATTAAAATGTTTATGTTATATTTTTATTAACTTCTATATTTTTGACTTTTATTTTTAGAAAAATATTTGAAGAACATAAATTAAATTTTGTTAAACAAATGTTGGAAAAAAATGAACTCTCTAATAATTGGGTAGACACTTTAATAGCTCTTTCTAATTTAGTAATTTGTGAACTTTCGCCAGATTTATCAACAGATTCAGACAATATGAGTATTTGTCAGTATGTATTATATTTTTATATTATTATTTTTATTTTTATTAAATAACTGAGCTATTTTTGTCTTAATAATTTTTTTTGCTAAAAACTTACCTTACTGGTAAATAAAGGAGGGAGGGAAACAGTAGCTATTTCTTCCCTTGAGATGGTTATCTCCTGTCTGGTGAATGAAACCAGCAGAGGTCAGATTTGAACTGTGAACCCTGTGTGTTTATTTACATCCTACTCAGCCAAGACACCCCTCCTATTAAAAAATCTCATAATTTGCTTAAAAATCAAAATATAAAAAAAAACCTTAGCATCAGACAGATCATATTTTTCTCTTTAAGTTTGATAATAGGTCAGTTTATTTTAATATTAAAGCAATACAACATAAAATTGGTTTTACTGAACAAAGATTTGTTAAGTTGTATAATTGTAAACATGACTATCATGTAATCATGGTAGTACATTAAATAAAAATGCAATAAAATGTAAACTTTTTTTTTTTTATTTAAATCTCAAAAGTAATTTTGTATAAAGCTGTCAAAAAGCTGGGTACAAAATTTGAAATTTCCATTTGTATAAAATAAAATCTATCTTTCATTTATTAAATAATTATTATTGTTTATAGTAACAATGAATTTTATCATACATAACTGATGAATATTTTTTTTCTTTAATTTAAATATTTTTAGTTACATAATATTGATTTTATTTTAGTTATTTACAAATAAAAAAATTAGAAGGAGGTGAACGAAGTGATAGCTGTATTGTAAGTGGTATTGTTTGTTCAAAAAATATTGCTAACAAAGCTATGGCATCAAGAATTTCTGGACCTAAAATTTTACTGCTTCAGTGTTCAATCATTTACCAGCGTGTCGAAGGAAAACTATTATCATTAGAACCTGTTATCATGCAAGTTAGTAAATTAGTAACTATATTGATAATATTGTATTTTAACTTCAACCTTATATATATATAGGAACATGATTACTTTAGAAATATTGTGAACCGTATTGTATCAATGAAACCTGATCTTGTCTTAGTTCAAAAAAGTGTATCTAGAATTGCTCAGGAACTTTTTAATCTAATGGGTGTAACATTAGTATTAAATGTCAAGGCATCTGTATTAGAGCGTATATCTCGGTGCACTGGTGCAGAAATATTAACTTCAGTTGATGCACATATGGGTAAACCAGTATTAGGAACATGCCAACAGTTTTATGTTGAACATTTTGGAAACAAAGCATTAATGTTTTTTGAAGGATGTCCAATGCCAGAACTTGGATGTTCAGTTTTACTTAGAGGCACTACTAAAAACCAGTTAAAGATATTAAAATCTATACTTAAACAATTAATATTAATGATATATAATTGGAAGTTAGAAAAATCATATTTAATGGATCAATTTGCATCACTACCAGTAAAAAATAAGCTTATAAGCGATCCTTTGATTCCCGAACAAAATTTATCAATTTTATCAAATTCTATTAGTATAAACGTTAATGATGAAACAGAATTGTTTGAAGTAAACAATTTACAACTTAAGTCAACTGATATTGAATTAGAAAATAAATTTCAATATTTTTTGAATTCAACAATATTGTCAATATCACCAGTTGTTAATGTAAGTAATATAAATATAAATAATGCATCCAATTTAAAATTTTTATTATATAGTTTTCAGTACCATACTTGGAATCAGACATAGGAAAACACTGTAAGTTGAGAAAATATTTTTCAAAACATATTTATGTATCACAAGTTCTCAACAATATGAAATCGTTTACTGATTACCAACAAGAAAATGGTCAACCAGAGTCAGAAATAAATGTAATTATAAATTCATTAATTTTTTGTACTGAATTTAAAGAATTAAGTTTTCAAATGAAAGGTTATGTTAAAGTTCATACTCTAAAATTTTCAAATTATATAGTGTTATAATAATTAGTATATATATTAAAAACATTTCAGATTAAAAAAATTTTATTTTTATCAAAATCCTACAAGCAAGTTATTTAATATACTCAATTATAACTTGTAACTTATATAACTTATAGTAATTGTTATTGGATTATTCATAAATTAATTACTTTAAAAACATATCAAATTTACTTCTTTAAAAAATTAAAAGATAAATGTTATTTGTTATTTATACTTTTTTTTTATAAAATTTTAACTTTCTAGATGATCAGTTACTAAATAAAAAATAATTAAAATAAATAAATAAATAAATAAATTTAATTAAAGGTATTTTAAATCTAACCCATGGTTTTAATTGTTTTTTTAAGTGAAAAACAAAGACTGTTTCCTTTTATTGTTATAATATAGTTAAATTATTTGTCTCTGTAGTTAAAACCAAAGCATGACTTTGTAACATCTAAACTAACCGATGACATAAATAGTGATGAAGTACAAAGTTTATTAGCTTTGTTTCGAGCTCAAGGTGGTAGAATATTACATAATCAAACAGAAAAATTGTCTACAAAATCTAAAAAAAATAGCTATCCAAAAAAAGAAAAACTTGTTGATATATTTGATCCAGTTAATCATCAAAGATTACCAGTGATGTTCTATAGTTTTTGTCCAGAATCAAATAATGCTCCTTCATTCTGTGTGGAGCCTAGGTAAGAAAAATTAATTAAAAAAAAAAAAAAAAAATTTACCAATTTTTAATTTTAATTTTTTTTTTAGATTAGTATTCATGGAGTTTTATGGAGTTAATGATATTTGTTTGGGTAGATTTTTAGAAAGATACTGTTTTCGTGAAACTTATGAATGCCCATCTGAATCATGTGATAGTCCAATGAATAGACATGAACGACGTTTTATTCATGATAAAAGTTTTGTTAGACTTTTGTTATCTAATATAACTGGTCATTTAATTGAACCTCCATATAACGAAAATTTAATTTATACTTGGTCTTATTGTAAAAAGTGTTTTTGTGTTAGTAGAATTTATTTAATTAAAAAAATAATAATAATAGTAAATTGTCTAAGCAACCGATTATATTTTTATTTAGTTGACACCTGTTGTTCCAGTCTCAGATGATACTTGGTCATATTCTTTTGCTAAATATCTAGAATTAAAGTTTCATTCCCAGGAGAGTTCATGTCGAGCATTAATTGATTGCTGCCATTATTTAAATAGAGACTTTATACAATTTTTTGTTTATAACAAAACAATAGCATCATTTGAGTATGACAAATTATTTTTTCAATTTTAACTAATTTAAATTATTTTAAACTTTATTTTATCTATCATAGAAATATAGATATTAAAATGTGGGAAATACGGTTACCTAGTTTAAAACTGAAAATTATGTATATCAAAGTAAACCAGTATCGTCCTGATACATTAGAAGAGGTGAAACAGTGGACATTAATGGGACATGAAATATTTAATGCAATTTCAACAAAAATTTGTTCTCTATCTACGGAAACTAATGGTATTATAAAATATATTAACAAATCAATTTAATGAAAAATAAAATATGTAATATTTTTAGCTAATTTTCTTCCATTAAAACAACAGTTGCAAAAAGATCAGGGATTATTTAAACAAAGAGTAGATGATATACAACTCCGAATTACTTCTCCAACATTAACTGATAAAGATACAAATTATGGTATTTATTATTTAACTATATTCACTTATACTAATAGTTTAATACTTATTAAGTATTTTATTAGGAACAATGTTGAATACAATATGGAAGTTAGATGATTCAATTGTTTTATTAAAAAAAGCTGTAAGTGAAACTATAATAAATTGGAATGCTAGATTAATTAAAATAGAAACAGCCATTAAAAAAGAAGATAAATCTCAGAAAAAAAGTGAAAGTAAATCAAATACAATATCTGAAGTATTAGAAGAAGTTATGAATTCTGAATGTTATTCAAATCACTATTTTATTGAAGAACATAGTATTACCAGTCATTTAAGCCAGCATTCATTAGTTTCTGATTCAGAAATAGCTGCTGAACATGATTTTGAAAATTTAAATGATTCAGAATCGTATCACAGTGAAAAATGTTATTTAACTGTACCACAGGCTCAAAATGATGTTGGTACAGACAGTGACAGTGATGCAGTTGATGATTGTTAGTATATCACTAAAATATCATAATTATGTAATATAAATATTATATTTTTTTTTAGATGATAATAATGTACATAATGAACACAAATCTCAATTATCTATATCTCAAACTGATAAAAAAAGTGTCAAAACAATTTTGTCACAGTTTTTACCTTCATCCACTCCATCTGCAATTATTCCTGTTCGTATTTACATTACCATTATACAATTGTTCATATTTTTAATTATTTTTATCTTTTTAGAATCCAATTGAAAGTACAGAACATCATGTATTGAATATACACTGTCGTATACCTATATCGATTTATGAAAAAGAACCTAGTTCTATTATTGCATTCACATTAAGTACATCATTTTACCAAAACAAAATATCAAATACAGAATTAATGTAAAATATTAATTATTATTTTATTAGTATTTATACACCAATTAAATAATAAATATAATTATACATAATAATTTAAATATAGATCAACTGTTGAACATGTTGAACAAGAAAATGATCACAAAGAAATAGATGATAAATTAAAGTCTAAACAACATATTGAAGTATACAATATTTTTAATATTATATTTTTTTAGAAAAATTTAAATACTTTTTGTTATTTACTTATAGATAACATTCTCAGATACCACAACTAATTTCTATGTTAAGATATATTTTGCAAAACAATTTGCGAAATTAAGAGAAACATTTTTTGTATCTGGAGAAGAAATGTATGTACGTTCATTATCAAGATGTATTTCATGGTCAGCTAGAGGAGGGAAATCCGGCTCAAATTTTTGTAAGACAAAAGGTAATTTAAAATTAATTGATTCTGGTTTATAATACTCCATATTTTTATATTATGTATTTACCTACAATGAGTCTATAATACAATATTTATTATTAGATGATAGGTTTGTACTCAAGGAAATGTCTCGTTTAGAGATAATGCCTTTTTTGGAGTTTGCGCCACAGTATTTTGCTTACATACATTCACGTCAGACAAATAGAAGACCTACTCTGTTATGTAAAATTGTAGGAGTTTATAAAGTAAGATATCGTAATACCGATAAAGGGTCATCATTCAATTCAAACTTACTAGTGATGGAGAATCTATTTTACAATAAAAATATTTCTCATATATTTGATCTTAAAGGATCAGTAAGAAACAGATTAGTTGATCCAAGCTCACAAGATGGAGAGATTGTATTATTAGATGAGAATCTTATTAAAAGTAAGATTACCTAATTGTTAATAAACTTTTAGTAATGATAAATTATGTTTCTTTTTTAAGTGTCATGTGAATCACCATTATATGTTCACCCTCATTCCAAAATAATTTTAAATCAAGCTATCAATGACGATGCAGAATTTCTTACTACACAGCTTGTCATGGACTATTCGCTATTAGTTGGCTTGGATGAAGACTCAGGCGAATTGGTTTTAGGAATCATTGGTAATTTTTAATAATATTTACTCAAAGAGTTCAGACATACAGATAAAATATAACTATTGTTTTTTATAAGTTACAGTTGTGAATTGATCAATTTTATTTTTATTATAGATTACATCCGTACATTTACATGGGACAAGAAAATAGAAACTATGGTGAAAAAGTCAGGACTCCTTGGTGGTCAAGGTAAATTGCCTACAATTGTTTCACCTGAAGAGTACAAGAATAGATTTGTTGCTGCGATGAATTTGTATTTCTTATCAGTACCCAATAGATGGACTGGCATGGCTAAGGGCTTTGAACATCGTTTTTAATTTAAGTTAACTAGTTTTATTTTAACTTTCTGTGATATTATTGAAGTTTTATAAACAAATTATAATTAAAATAATTTATTTTTATTTTTATGTATTATTTTATACTAATGATAACATAAAAATAAAAGAAATTAATTTACCAATTTATAGCTTCAAAGCAAATAGATATTACTATATAAATTGGTTTTATTTTTAAATATTGATTTTAATATATGTCATATTTAATTTATCAATGATACAATAAAAATAAAAGATATTAATACATAAATTTATAGCTTTAAAGCAAATAGATAATTAGTATATGAATTGGTTTTATCTTTAAGTGTAGATTTTAATAAATGTCATATTCAATTTATTAATGATACAATAATCTATATTTATATTATATTTTCAGTTTTCAATTAAATTATTTATTATATTTATTATTATATAAATATTTATTCAGTATTCAATGTTAAAAAAATAAAAACATTTATAACATTTTATCTTTAATTATTTTAAATGTCAAAAATATTATTAATATTTATCAAGTTTTAGTATTTTAATACAAAAAAAAAAAAAAATATTATGATTTAAATAAAATCATAAATATTTATTAATTTGAACCATTAGTTAAATGTACTAAAAATATATATTACTATATATAATAATAATGTATATTTAATTAATGTTAGAACTTAATTCAGAAAATCATACATACTATATCATAGAGTAATTATACTATATGTAATAGTACTATACTAAATGGAGAATAAGTGTTAGTTATATACCTTGAGTTATTTTTTTTTTAATATGAATCTTACAAGGAAAAACATTTCAGGTGGGGTCTGGTCTTTCAATGCCATGACTAATGATTAGGGCTCGGGTGTTTAAGCACTTATAATTACTGTAATATGTATACATTTATGCGATAAAAAAAATTACCAAATATACACGAAAAAAACAAAATTTGCATTTTAGCTAGAAATAAATACTAAAATATGCAAAATTGATCCATGAATCGAATAACCTATAACCAAGGTGTATTGATAACAATAATAGGAAATAATATTAACTGATAGTGAAATATCTAGTGTTCATGATCATATCAGAGAATATTCTGTGATAATATTATCGTTGTATGCTTTACAAAGTAAATATTTTTTAAGTTAAAAATTAAATTAAATCATCACATTTCAAGAAAGCTCAATGTTATTATCTACTCTGTTTTAATTATTTAATCATTCTTTATAATACCAATTTTGTGATCACGCTAACCAAATATTTGTGAACAAGTAGAGAATACGTATTATAATAAATTTAATCATGAGTAATAAAAAGCTTTTGATTTCACCATGTCCTACTGTACCAGTTGAAGAAGAAATTGAAGAAGATTTGAAAACTATAGATGAAACAGAAACTCCATTGTTGACAGGTGAGTAATTGTATAGCTTACATATTTTAAAAATTGATAAATAATATTAAATTAAATTTATATTAGATGATGCTAAGGTCTTGTTGGAGTCTATTGGGACTGAAGTAGTTAAGACTGAAACACAAGAAACTGCTCAAAAGCTTGTTGATAATGTAGATGAATTAGAACAAACAATTTCAGCATTGGATAAGAAGTATACTGAATTGGTGACTTGTGAGAACGAATTAGAAAAAATTGAAGAAGAAATTGATAAACAAATTAAAGAAATGACTGAGTATGACATTTTACATTTAATGTATTAATATAATCAGTTTGTTAAAAAAAAAAATTAGATAACATAATACTAACTCCCAGCATTTAAAAGACAAACCAATATATTTTTTGTAATCATTTGAACAGTGATAACATGTTTGATTATGGCAGTGACTCTCAACCTTTTTTTGTTCACGGCACACTCATGCACTGGACCACAACTGGCTAAGCCAAATCCAGTAAGGTTTTAATCGTGCAGTGTACACTATACAGTTTACCTACATAGGTATCATAGAGTAATATACTCTATGATAGGTATATATCTGCAGAATTAATTGACATTTAACTGTTTTATCAATCGGTATTTTCAAATATCAGACATTTTTCGCCGCACATCGATTGAGAACCACTGAATTATGGAATTAAAATCAAATTTTTGTTATTATATAAGTAATTTATTACTTATATAAAAACAAAAATTATTATTAAATATAATAATTATATTTAATAATATTTAACAAAAAATATTATTAAATATTTCTAATAATATTAATTTAAATAAAGTATAAAGTATGCAAATAACAGTTTTCACCAGTAATATTCATGAATTAAATGTATATATTTATAACACTTATTAGTATTTTTTGTTTGAGTTTGGAAGCGTTCATATATTTTTTATTTAAAATAAACACATGCAATATTCTATTATAATCATTATTAATACTTCTTTGTAATGAAATAGAAAACCTTGTTATGACAAAAGTGTTTACTGCTTTCTTGAGCCTAAAGACTGTAAGCAACAACTGTAGGACTTTAAGAAAAATAACTTTTTCAAAATCTTTTTGTTCTTTTTATCATATTATTTAAATAAATGATTAAATAAAAGATTTTTGATAACTTATCTTGTATTTAATAAATGTATGAAATCAAGCATATGACTCATTACAATTATTTAAAAATAACTGTTTGTAGTCTAGTTAAATTTCGTTAAATAAACCCAATATATAATTAATAATTATATACACATCTAAAAGTAAATATTATAATATTAAAATGCCTTAAAAATATTTTAAATGCTTTGTATAAATAAAGACATTATTTAATATCAAACTTCTCATGAATACTATACTGGGTACAAAGAAAATATTACAAATATTCCAAAATATTATTTCCTTATAGCAATTAATCTAAGCAGAATTTTAAAATTGAATAAATTTGATTTTTATGATTGATATAAAATATTTTAAATTGTATTAAGAATACATAGATTTAAATTAAATTATTATACACTGTTAAATATTAAAATAATATTATTTAATCCCCAGTCATTATTATTTATTATCAATCAATTTATATGTTTTATCTTAATTTTTCATAATGATATATATTTTATCATGTAAAAATACAGGTTACTGAGTTATTTGGTTTAGTAACATTTGTGGTAAAATAATTTTTTTTTAAATTTTGAGCTGAAAAAATAGTTTTTAAAATGCTAGTTAAAGAATTTTATAAAAAATTTTTAACAGAGAATCTATTGTCAAATACCTGCAAGATTATGACCTACCTTGTGCAAAATAATGTTATAAGTGTAACAGTGAAGTAAAATTGTACCAAAGAAATGACCGAGGAAAAATATAATGGAATAATATTTTTGATGCTTTCATTAGAGATATGAAATTATGCTTTGTGGATAATAATTTATAATTTATTATAATAATAGATTAAAATTTTTTTTATACTTTTAATATTATTACGGTAGACCACGTCCATTTTGGTAGATCATATATTTTTGTGATAGACTGCATATTGGGAGATAGCCGCCTTTTGGCTTAGAAGGGTACTATACTTCTCTTATAACTTCACTGTACATGGAATATTTGATTCTTATAGTATAATTTAAAATATCATTTGTATCATTAACTTAAAATAAAACTGTTATTTATTTTTGAACAATTCTTAGTAATAACTTTAATAATATAGATAATTCTAACAGTGAATTACATAGTTATTCTCAACTCCAATCCAAGTACAGTAATTTTATTTAATTGCTTAATTACTTTTTGTTTCAGCTACATATTTGAAATTCAATCAACTCCTCCTGCAGTAAAATAAACATAAGTAGATTTAATTAAGTGGATCAATTACTTCATTGTTTTATTTTATTAGAAAAATTAAAATATGTTATATACATTACATAACTATGATTAAAATGAGATCATGATAAAAATATAATTATATTTTGTTTTAAAAATGTATACAATAAAAATTAATTATTTAAGTAAAAATGCCAATTTTAACACTTAAATTATACTTTGTTTATATTTTTATGATCTACATAGACATGCCACTTTTTCTTACAGCAGCACTCAATAATGGATTTGGATCTGGTTCTTCGGTGATTACTTCTACTTTTATCCATTCTTTGTTTGAACTAGAAGCTCGTATTGCATCAATCACTGCCTGAACATACAAACTATCCTCAAAAGTCGCTGCAGATGAAACCGGTTCTTTAACCCAACCTCTTTTATCTTCAACTGGTAAAAAGGCCTCTCGTAAAGCACTTATCATTTTTAGTAAACCTTTCATACAAGGTCTGGGCATAATATCTGCAGAAACCACATTTATGGTATCTGATTTTTGCATATCTTCTACATCCAAGTACAGTACTTCATCTTTGTCCTTATATAAGTCTCCACCTTTTACTACTAGATTACCTTCAGTACCACACATGAGTACTTCTTGTATATATGTTCCAGATAAATGATTATTTAATGTAACTGTAACTAAAGACCTGTCAGTCATTTCCATTTGAAAAGTACAAAAATCTGGACTTGTCACTTGCCTAACACCAGTCATGCACTTAAAATCTTTATTAAATGTTTTAACAATACCATGTACTCGAATAGCTTTTTGTTCAGTTAAATATGTAACAAGGTCTATCACATGGCTACCAACTAATGTTAGAACACCACCACCCATAGTTTTATCGCATAACCAATTATAATTATCACCATACAAACGACCCATTTGTACTTTTACATCACATAAAAATACATTTCCAATTCTATTTTCACTGATCTGTTTTTTCATTTGAACAAATGCTGGTAAGAATCTTAAGCTATGATTGACAACTGAGATAAGTGAAGGATAATACTGTGCAGCATGAACCATTTTGATTGCTTCACTCTGACACAAACCAGCTGGTTTATCACACAGAACATGTTTTCCTATGCCTAATGCTTTAACAGCAATTTGTGCATGAAGATTAGGAGAGCAGACTATGAAGATAAGATCGACATCTTTCCTTAAAAGCACATTGTCAATTTTATTAGTCCAATAAGGTATTTGAAGACGTTTTGCAGCTTCTTCAGCTTCATTTATTGTACGACCCCATAATGCTTCTACTTTGAAACCCTTATCACGCAAAAAGGGGACAATTATTTCAATTACTTTGCCTGTTAATAAATAGAACATGTTGGTTAAACAATTTTTATTTATGAATAATTTAAAAGTTATATTTATTTATTTTTACCAAAAAGTTAAAATCTAATTGAATTTTAATAATTTGTTTCTATATAAACATGGATTTTCTACAAAAATTATTACAATATTAATAAAAACAGTTAAGTACAAGTTAAAAATAAATATGACTTGAAAGTATATTATTTTAAAATTTTTTTAACTATAATTCCTAATAAAGGTATGATTATAATGTTTAAATATTGCAAGGAACAACCAAATGTCTTAATCATAATACCTTTTGTCAATAATTAAAAGTATTAATTATTATATTAAATTGTAAAAACTTAATTTATTGGATTAAACATTAAATTATGATAGTTATTATTACTATCAGAAATGAGAAGTATCTATTTAAATTCAAATTTCAAAGGGTTTATCCTGTATATTTAATAAAATAATAAATTTAAATTTATATTATTTAATAAATAACATTAAAATAATTAGATGCAATTCAAAATTACCTGTTCCAAAAACACCAATACCTGGCAACATTATTTTGAAGAGAAGATGATAATACTAAATGTTATATATTTTTAAAGTAAATGAATAATTTAAATTTAAATATTTGAAAGCAAGTGACTTCTAAACTTTTTTAACAAAATCTGCATAACATTTTATTTCAAGGAGATTCTATTTTAATTTATTCATTTTTTTTTTTGTATTGAGTTGTTATCAATTATCATTATAAAACGATAATAATCATAAAACCACAGAATAACCATAGAATAACAACAATTGTCACTAATTTAGATTTTAACGTGATTATTTAGGTTTTTAATAAAATCGTGCTACTTACTAATTTACATTATGGTCAATTGTTGTTTCTTAGTGTTGCAAAATATTACCTTTCAAGAACAATGCTTATGAAAATTACTTAAGTTTTAGTATTAATATGTACATAATTTGTTCAATTGCTCAAATACTTACTTTTGCTCATTTACAATGGAAAAACAACATCGAGAGTTAATCAACAATAATATGTCAGATTTAGTATACTTTACATCTAATGTTGAAGCCATTGTAAATAATTTACTTGAGAAAAATATAATTAATAAATGGATGAAAGATTATGTTTTGGTATGAATTCCTTAAGCTTTTTTGATACACATGTACCTGTTTATCATGTTCAGTATTTTTTCATTTTTAAAGCGACCTAAGGAAACAAAACTTCAAAAACGTAATCTATATAAAGTGATTCAAGGACGTGGACCTAAAGCATTTTCAGCTCTTTGTAGAACATTGGAAGATACCTCTAATATAACAGCTCGCAACATCATATTATCTTCAAAATCAAGGTATATTTCATTATCATTTTTTAACATTTGTTTTTTAAATTTGTTGAATTTAAATCTTATATAATTACATTAAAAGCTTAATAGCTAAATTATGAACTTAATGATGAAATGTTCCTAATTCATCAATTGCTATTATTTGATTATACCTATCAATTATATTTATTGCCTAACGTTTTTACTGCTATTGTTGTTTTTAAATACTATTTGCTTAAATTTATTTGTAATTGTAATGTTTACAGTTTTGTAAAAGCTTATGTAAACTTACATATAAATTAGTTAAGAAAACCGAAATAAAATTTGTAGTATGCTGTTTTTATATTAAATTAGTTCTTGTTAAAGTTATTTGTTTTATGCATTTCAGCATCGAAACTACTGAATATAAGTCAGATGATTTATTAAACAATGAAATAAGTAATATTGATTTAAATAATGTTAAGCCGTATGTCAAGATTCATCCTCAACGTCGACGCATGGATGTAAATGATGAAAATTTACCTATCAGAGTATGGTTTATTTTAATACTTAACAAATATATTTTATTGTATTTTTCAACTAAATATTTATATGTTAGGCCTATCCTATGGGATCAAATCCAAAAGGTTATGCATTAATTCTCAATATAAACAAAATTATAAATAAGGAAGAAAGAACTGGTTCAAATGTAGATGTTGCAAGTTTAATGCAATTATTTAAAGGTCTTGGATATGTTATTGATCTGAAAGTAGATTCAACTGAAAAAGTATAAAACCAGTTACATATGTTAGTTTTTTTTCATTATATTAAATAACATTTTTTTTAAAGGAATTGAAGGAAATTATAAAACAGTTTGTTGAAAACTGCAATAAGGCAAAAATTGATTCTATTGTGGTTTTTATTATGAGTCATGGTGAAGCTGGAAAAGATTCTACCAGATCATCAGATATACTTACTGCAGATGGAGTTAGATTTAATACAGATTGGTTAGTTGAACAATTTGAACCCAACAAATCTAAAAGAAATGTACCAAAATTGTTTTTTGTACAAGCATGCCGGTAAGTCAAAACAAAATTAATTTGAAATTTTTGTTTATAAGATATTTACTAATAATATTTATAGGGGAGGTAATAGTGATCATGGATGGAAATCATTTGATAATGGTAATAATCAATTACAGAATGATAGTACTACCACTACTATTAATTCTTCTATTGGACATATTGTCAACCGACGATATGAAAATGTATTTATAGCTAACGCCACTGTACCTGGTATGTTTTTTTAGAAAAGAAAAACTATAATAACTGTAGGGATTAATCATAATTTATAAATTTATATATTTTTTAATAACTAAGTTTATTGTATATTTTTCATTAAACTCAATATTTTATTTTGTAGGGTATAATGCTAAACGTGATCCTGTAGAGGGATCATGGTTTGTACAAAAATTGTGTGAAGTAATTAGTGAAAATGCTTGGGAATTAGATTTGAACTCAATGATGAAAATGGTTATTTATATTGACTTTTATAATTAAAAAAAAACATGATTATTATTATTATGTGTAACTTATTTTTATTCTTTATTCCAGGTGGACACAGAAGTTAGAAAGCTGAACAGTGTAGAGCATGGATTTCAAACAACTGAGTGGACATATAGAGGCTTCAATAAGAAGTTTTACTTCAATCCGGGTCTGTACGATGATAATTCTGACCAATAAACAAATAAAGACTATTTAAACATACCTACTGATTATTTAAAATTAGAATTTTTTTTATAAATTTATTTAATTTTGTACTTTTTTTAAAATATGTTCTCTCAATATGTTTTTTTCCATATGTGTTCAGTGAATATTCTTATATATTCAATAATTTCAATTGAAATCAAGTTACATAAGAACCTATTTTAAATGTATATGTATTTGTGTTATCAGTAAGGGTCCATAAAAATATATTATTATTATTATATTATAATGAGAATTCTTTATTTAATAACCAAATTACAATTATAATTTTGTTATAACATTATAAATATATCAAAATATATTTACATACAAAAGAAAAAAAAATACAAATTATCAAACTGAATTAATCAGATGCATCAGAACTATTACTACTGCTTTGTTTTTTGTTTTTGTTTTTTTTCTTGGATTTTTTTTCTCGTTTTGAAATCAATTTTTGTTCTTTCATCATAATTTTGTCCATTCTATCCAAACGTCTAAAATATATACATTAATTATTTTGGATAATATTTAAGTATTTTAAAACGTTGACTGCCCATACGGCCGCCAGCGGCCTCACAGTCATTTATTTCTATAATGCTGTACGCATATTTCGGGTAAAATTCATAAAATGTACCGAGTGATATTATTAGAACCAATAAGGCTACAAATATGATTCTGATATCAATTGGTTTATTTTCATTTGAAGATTATTGATAAATTATAATAATAGTACGGCTGCCGGCGTCCTCATGGCACTATTATAATACGTAGTTTTATTAGACGCCATATGGCCGCCAGCGTGCTAATATCAAATTGTCCACTGTTATTAAGTTTTTTTATATTGTAAAAATGAGTTCTCGATCATAACAATTTAAAGTTTGTGACAAGTGTTATGCGGGAACTTTTAGATGACATATATGACGACTTCAGTTCTTTTAGTGAAGTTGAAGACTATATTGATAAAAGAGTTACAACTTTGTGTAAGAAATGTGATGTGTATACGTGTGTGGATTGTTTTATGAAAAATCATAAAAATGAAAATAATTAAGCAAATAACAAACATAATTTAAGTTATAATTGTTTTAAGTTTTAATTAATAAAAAAAAGGATTAATATTTAAATTTTTTAAAAAAAAATAGAAATTTATTTTAAATATATTGTTTGAGAAGGTACGGTCATTTTCTTTTATTTTATTAAATAAGATTTTTAAAGATCTCAATATTTAATTATTAAGTTTTATTAAAAATAAAAATTTATTTTAGAAATTTTAAGTAAAATATATTGTTTAATTTGATGTTCAGTAGGAGTAATAAAAATTATGACTAAAAAACATCGTATATTGGTGTGCAATATACTGATAGAATGGCAATTTCTTCCACTATTTCACATTTTGAATTAAAAAGGTATAATTGCAGTGCCAACATTTTTATTATGATTCCAAAATGTAGGGAATTTACGGCAACCCGCGGCTGTATGGCTTCCTACGAATGATATGGTGCGGCAGCCAGCGGCCTAAAAATTATCAATACGTAATTATTTTTATGCGGCCGTATGGCAGTCAACATGATAAATAAATTATAATTAAGAGTTTAACAATTATTAGTCAAATGTTATACTTGAGTAATTTCATTTTCTTCTTCCTAGACAATGTTTTCACGTACATGAACAGTTCTGTGTCACTGTCTTCTCCATTCTAAAAATAAAATAATAATATGACATTAATCAGAAAATTATAAGGAGAACATAAATAAAAATGATCACTGTATAAAGAATATAGATGTTTTATATTTAATAATTAATGAAAGGAATCTTTAAATACTGAAACTTCTTAAAAAGACCCAATTTTTAAAAAATGGAAGTTTCCTGAATTATTTATATTCCTATCACAACATTCTAAGATATAATCTTCTTTGAGTAAATTAGATAAAATTATATTTTGTAATATTTAAAAGTATTTTAGTCTTGTCATGAGTACTTCAAATTATACATACATATTTAATATTTTTTTGATTTAAAATAATTATTATATAGTAAAATTATCTTACCCCAAAAGATATTTGTTGTTGTGTAGAAGCAGCACTTTTTTTTAATGCCAAACCATCTTCTCGCATTTGTTTTATCAATTCTTGTGTTTTTATATTAGCACTGGTACCATTTGCTGATGACACATCTGTTAAAGCTTCTGATATACTTGCTTGATTGAATAAGGGACATTCTTTGTCTATGAAATATAAACATTTATAAATTTATAAATAAATCAAGGATGAAGAAGAATATATGAGAAAAACATTTTTTTTTTTTAACAAAATACAATTTTAATCATATGAATGCATGAAAATATGTGTACCAGTATTAATATGACCCCATTTATGGCATTTGATACATCGAACATTTCTCACTTGAATACCAAATGGCTGATCTCGAATTTCTTGATCACCTTTGCAATAACTAAAATAAGAATTGTTATACTATGATTGAATTTTCTATTAAATCCAGATATTTTACTCTATTTAATAATTATAAATAAAAAGTTAAGTAAAAAAAAAAATGTATCATATATTTTGAAAATAGCATAGAATATTTTGGTTATTATTTTTCTTATTTTAAAAATTAAAAATAATTTTTAACTAATACAAGTTAAACAATCTCCAAATCACATTATTATTGAAAATAGTAATTAGAAGAATTAACCTAATAAAATTTAACACTAACTCATATTGCAATAATTTTATTTAGATATTAAATCTTTTAAGTACATTTATGCACCATATTATAATATTTCTTACTCTTCTCTAGGCGCGTTAAATTTTCTTTGCCATTCAAATTTATACTCTGGCTCGTTATCTTCACGCTCTCTTTCTTTTTTTGCACCCGGTGGTGGTTCATACATAAAGTTCACACTTAACTTATCTTTACTTTCTTTTGAAAGTAGGGCTCTGGAAAATAAAACAAGTAGCATAATTTTATGTATAAAAATATAAATAACACTAAAAAATATGTACTATACTTATTATTATAGAGATCTTGTTCTTTTTCATATTGAAGACGTAATTCTTCTTGGCGTTTTTTATCTTTAACTGATTTTTGTTCAGCCATCCATACCTATGTAATTAAAATAATAAAAAGTAAAGATTTTAATACTTCGAGAATTAGAACTAAATTATATGATCCTAATCTAAACACATAATAATTTAGCAATAATAGAAATATTTTTTTTACAACCGATGGATTGGACAAAATAAATTCCTGTTCCAACATTTTTTGGTCTTCCAGAAGAATAGCCAAAAATAGTTTAAAAACAAATAACAAAATTATGATATCTGAATAGTTTGATAGTTAGGAGGTATAACAGTTATACAACATTTTAGCAAATTGTATTTAAGTTTTAATTTTTAGGTCTGTATGAAAAATATAGTTTAATATATACATATTTGACCATTTATATAGATTAGTATATTACATAAAACTTAATTTTTATATTTAAGATTGGGTTTTTGGCTGAATTTTACAATAAATTACATTTCAACTGGATAACCATATACTTAGCCATGGAAGCTAGTTATTAGCTACTTTAGTGTTATTATTAATTACATATCTAATGAAAAGGGTGTCCACGGCCAGGATTGGTCTAGCTTTATAGCTTGGCCTGGGCAAAATAATTTTGAACGGCCTCAATGGAACTTTATAAATAGGTATCTAATCAAATTATTGTTTAACTAAAAATAAATTTTCGTAACTCAAAAAACAATTTACAGACAGGTATATTTGAATATTTTTAGATTTAATGTTATACCTTAAATAAATCTAGTTTACACATAATATATCTTATCTATAATATTAATATAATGACCTACCTATTAAGATGAATTTTACAGCATAAAAAATTATTTGATTTTAATATGTTTATACATATTTAATTTTAATTGAGTTAGAACAGTGGTTGGCAACTAACGTCTCTTTTATACAGCCTGCAGTAAATTTCAAAACTAGCAAATGTCATTGAATATCATTTAAACCGGTGGCCTAGTTCAACCCTGTTTGTGGATAAATGCCGCTTTACTACCTACATCATATTATTATATAAAATTATTCAATTTTTAACATTATGTTAGATAAGCGAAAATTGAAAATTAAGATTATAAAAAAAAAATTGTATAGTAATAGCTATAACCAGCTGTTTTGTACTTATTATAAAACAATGTAAGTTAAATATCAGAAGGTGCACTGCCCTACCTGATTTATTCTTAGGGGAAATTTCTCCCTTGCCCCCCAGTTTACGCCTATGAGTTAATTAATTAAGTTTAATTTTTAGATTGAGGATATTTTGAAATTCATGACATCTTATAATTTGATTATTTAAAGCAGTGGTTCTCAACTTTTTTAGATTTATGTCACCTTGAATCACTAAAATAATAAGTAATCTTAACTATATATTTTAGAATTATTTGAGCTAACAATTAATGAGCTATAATACTACATAGCGACTGTAGAATAACTAACTAATAACTGGTTAAAGCAATAAGATAATCAGTAATTTAGCATTGTTGCAGGTTAAAATACTGCATATGTTTATCGGACCTAAAGATTAAATAAAAATAAAGATAACAACTTAAAGGTATGCTAACATGGCAAAAATATGATTTTATTTGAAAAAATGTATTATTTTCTTTTTTTTTTTCTTATTTAATGGACATTTTGTGTCACCCCTAAGCTAAATTCATTCAACTCTTGGGTGACATGTCACCCCAGCTGTGAACCAACAAGTAATAATAAATCTTTGTTTAAAATAAAACACCATAGAGTTTTTTTATAAAGTAATAATAAGTAGATAATTATTAATTATAATTGGAAAAGATTAGGAAAAAACTAGCGCCTAAAAGGATATCAGATGATATTAAGGCCAAATATGAAATATCAGACCCAAATTTGATTAATAACTATTTCAAAATAAATGTTGAAAAATGTAATTTAAGAAACAGGTATGAATATTTGTTGTTTGAGGAGACTGAAATTTCCAAACTCAATCAATCACTTAGACTACATCAAATAGGACAACTATGTATAATTTTTTCTTATAAATAGTTAGCCAGTCAAATGTGTTTACATAGCGAATGAATACAACAAAATCCAAATTGAATTTGTGAAATTATTTGTTATTCATATATTAAGAGAGAAATTCATAAAATGTTTAAGTCTTTTGATGAAAGGTAGCAAGCTTATTGATTGATGACTGAATATAAGACTACTTTAAGATGAAGATAACAGATACTCTTCAATTATAGAAGGAAATAAGAATCTCTTAAAACAAAATTTAATAGGCGTAAAATTGATTATTATTGTTGCCAATGAGCGAGTTCACATGTAGTCAAGCCTGAGGAATTTTAAAAGATACATAAAAAAAATTATAACGTTTTATATAAATAAAATACCAAAAAGCTTTCTAACTCTATTGTGTAATTATAAATAAATTAATATTATACTGAATTAATAATTATGTACAAGTATATTAAATCTATGGTATGAATGAATGATAAAAAATACTTACTCGTTTTAAATTATCTCTTGAAGCTGGATGAAAAAACTTTTTACACATATAATTGTTGAAACCCTTGCCCATTTTGAAAAATTTTGTTGGTGCCTTTATTAAAACAGTTTTATTTTATTTATTATTTAATTAGAATTAGTTGTAACCCCCATTAATAAAAAAAAATAATAATAAAGGCCCATTTGTAAGCAAAAAGCTTTCTGTTGTGATAACAGCTATCTACTCCCAGTGGGAGTCTCCCTCCATAGTAACAGTAATTATTATTATATTCCATTGTACGTTCAAATATTAGTATAACCGTTATACTATAACGGTTTTTTTTGCAGTGTCATTAGTTTGATCCAGTGCATTTTTTAACTAATTAACAAGGCGACACAAATGTTGTCCAGTGATTATACTCTGTCGACAATATTTTGAAAGATTGGGCGAAATAATGCGAAACAAACGTGTAATACTATAATCGTACCATGATATAATAAATTATTATAATAATTATTATATCATGGGTATTACATTGACTATTTTGAGAAAAACATTATTTGTCGTTCAATGAAAATTCTTTATAAAATGCACTGGTTCGATTTTAATCAGAAAAATAATTATTAACAACATAACTTAAAGAAAGTTAACTGAATATATTGTATCAAAATATATGTGAAACTTAATTCGCTTATTATTTCGTCTTATGGCGTATTAACGTTGTTTCTTTTCTTGGTAGGAAATTTTTTTTAAATTATACTATACATTTTAACATGTTTAATGTGTAAATAATTTATCTTATATAAGAAAAAGTTTAATAAAATTAAATTACAATGTTTTTTTCATCAATTCCGTATAGTTAGAAGCGCATTCAAGGAAAGGCAAAAGGGGCATTACCCTGGGTGCCAAAATTGTAGAAGCACATAAACATTTTTTTTGTTTGCCAGTGGCGGTCAAACGGGGGGGGGGGATAGATCCTTTCCATGACCTTTTTTTTAATACTTATATTTCATCCATATTATACATAATATAATATAGGTATTCATCTATTTTCTATTTAAAAAAATAAATATACTGTACTTATTAGTTATTATACAGTCTCTAGGTTGGAATAAAATTAACAGTAAACATAAAACACTAAAATATTAATTGAACAAACTTTTTAGGTTTTTTTCATTTCTTTTATAGTTAAATTATAAGAATATATGAAATTTAAATTTAGTATTTAATGCTTAGCATAATATATTATATTATTATATGAATTGTATAATTATATTATTTCAGAGTCGTCTCAATGGTTTAGCCACTATGGCTGTTCGTCATGGGGTTGTCAATATAACTGCAGACGAAGTACTGGATGAATTAGCAAAAAACCAGAAAAATAGATTTAATAATATAAATATCATTATTATAATATAATTTTCATGTTTAAAAATAAATGTTTTTATACATAGTTTGATCAGCTACATCCCTCCCCCCATTAAAAAAATCATTTGACCGCCACTGTTTCATGCCTAGAGGCTAGTTATATTGTAAAAACAGTACTTGATGCTAAATTACTGAGGCCATTCTGCGTTATATATATAGTCATAATATATTTAAGTTAATGGGCAAAAATAATATTGAACGACCATAAAATTATTTATTTGATAATCTTGATTGATTTTACGTAGAATATAATGGCCTAGTCTGGCTGTTGAACAGTAAACACGATTTAAAATGTAAATTTGTAATCTGTCAGATTGTGACTACGACTAAGTAATTAAATATCAGTTACCTATAACTTAATTTACTATTATTGTTTGTTTTTTTTTTTTTAATGGGTGTGGGTGCCTGTAAAATATTTGTCCTGAGCGACTTATCTAAATGTAGCACTGCGTATAGTGTATGGATCACTCAATAATTAATATTAATTTGTCGCGAGATGTTAAATTTTCATTGATCAGTATTTACTATCTGTTTTAACAATAATGATTGAAACTTTTTCAATTCCTAAAACTTATTTAAGAAACACATTGGATTTTGGGTGATAAAAGTGAGTAGCTCTTTAAGTTTTTTATTATAATTTAATAATTTAATGGATGGTTTTCTCACTTACAAAATAGAGATTGAATTGAAAGAGCTAGGTATATAGGTAGTCTTAATTCATATGACATCTTAAGTAGAATAAAATATAGAACAATGAAAATATGTATGATTAGTAAAATAAAAATAAAATACCTGCAGGTAGATATTTAATTGAAGTTGGATTTAATCTCAAGTTATAGTGTTATTTAGGTTTAAGTTAACAATAGGTAAAAATTAAATCAATCCAATTATAAGGGAATATAAATCTCTATCGTAAACACGTTGCACAGCAAGTAGATTGGCTGATTAATTTTAATTCTATATAATATATTAATATAAACTTATAAGTTGAACATGTGTAATGTGTCTTACCCAATGTATAACTGATTTGGTATAAGTATTTTTAACCATAATTTCTAAAGGAAGTTTGATTAACTTTTTTGAGAGTACCATTTGGTACTTATACATGCAAAAATACGCAATTTGAAAAAACAGCTTAAAAGTTCAGCTATATTTGTACTCAATAATTATGTTTGCAAATACAGTCAAAAATAATTGTTAAATAGTTATTAAATCAAAACATGTTGATGTATAGAAAAGTAGTTTATAAATAGGTGTTAGTAATTAGGCTTTAAAATTCTTTGCGATTCTCAAACATTAGTTAAGTACTTAATATATTTGAAAATAATTGTCATATCCTAAAACAGTGATATAATATACAATAATGCTACAAAACTATATTAATAATAATAATAATAATAATAATAATAATAAAAAAAAAATTGAAGGTAGCAACTAAAAATTAAATATTTTTTCTTCTACTACCTCATGAGTATTAGACAATCTCTTTACTTGAAAATAAAAATAAAGAAAACAATTAGTTAAAAATTAAATAAATATTATTTAGTTTAAAAAAGTTAAACATTAGGATTACTACATGATCTGATCATTTTTCTTCCAACTAATCTTTCATTTTTTCTTTCTTTTCTAGAACGGTACATTTTTAAGTTTTCATACTTTCTCTGTCCAATAGTTTTTTTTGTTGGTGTTTGAGTTTCAACAGAATAGCATAGAAAATTTGAGCTTAATTTCCATAATTCCATTTCATCTTGCTGTTGTTTAATAGCAGCCATTCCTCTGTTAAGCAAAAGATTAAAAACTGTTGAAGCATTTGGCCTATTTGAAGGATTCAAATCAACCATTTTTTTCAACATTTTTTCTAGTCCTGTACTAAAGACTGGACTTTGGGGTAATGAAAATCCACCATCCCTTAAGTGATGCCATTCTGGTCCATTTTTAGGTAAATCTTTTTTAGTTGCTGCTTCATACACAGTCAGTGCAGTTGAAAATACATCAGCTTTCTGTAACTGAGAATAATCATCACGTAATATTTCTTTAGGTAAATAACGGCAATCTCCATCTTCAATGCTCTGAACATTTTCAACACATACTGCATGCCCAAAATCTCCAATCTTATATATAATATCATTATCAATTGTTTCATCATCATCTATATCTTCAGCAAATAGCAATGCACCTTGTGTATGGCATATCAGTATATTAGCTGCTTTTATGTCTAAATGAGCAAGCTTTTTTGAATGAATGTGAGCAAGACCTTTGCATATATGGCATAACAGTCGTCTTAGAGCACTATCACAAAACAAATGATCAGATTCATGAATCATACGTTCTAGAGTACCACCATTACAAAATTCTGTTTGAATATAAATATGGCCTCCCTCATGCCATGCTGTGAAATACGAGACAATATTTGGATGACGTCTTATCACTGAGTGTGCATATACTTCTTTACGAATAAAATACTCTTGGCTTTTATATATTGTCTTCTTGGTTTTTTTAATAGCATATGAAATTCCATCTAATAAATTTGTACACTTGAATACCTCACCAAAAGCACCAGTAGCGATAAAATCATCCATTCTAAACTCTTCATTGAATCGTGAAGTTTGCAATTCATATATACTAACATTGGTTACTTCACCTTCGTTCATAAGATCTCTGATGACTGGATTGATGGAGGTTACAGTCTTATTGTTGGGCGGAGTAGATAGGTTACTACTGCTATTATGACTAGAGTATTCACTACTAAGGGAACTACTATTTTCGTCCATACTCAATTTTTTGCGATTTTTGTTTTTTAATATATTGATGCCTGTTGGTGTAAATGGATTGATGGACAAGCGAAATTTATTAGTATGAATAGATTCGTCACTCAACGGTGACTGCCCTCTTTGTGGTTGCAATTTGTGTAAGACCCTGGGTTGAAGAAATGGTGTAGAAGAATTCACACCGACCTCAGGTGTAATCAACAGAGATCTATTAGGTGGTGATTGTGGACAAGTAGTGGCTATCGTCTCCAGTTCATCCTTGTCAGCTTCAAAACTGAGTCTTCTCATTTTTTGAACGAAAAAAGACTCATCATCGCATTCCACCTTACTATCATTGTTGGGGTCCATATCGTAGACACCTGCCAACAAAATAAATCATATGCACTAAATTTCAAATAAAAATACTGTAATTTAAAGTTAAAACTAAATAAGAGTAAATCAATAATCATAGATTAAATGAATCAACAATAAACGAAACATAAATTCATATTTCATTCTGAAAATAAAAACCGGCGTTAAAAATAAAATATTCAAATAACATACGTGATTTAGGCTCCTACGTGGTCATTATTGATGTCGGTTTATACTTTCGCAGTAAACATAATTATAATTTATAGCTTCGAGTTGCGAGGGAAAATCATTGAAATGTATGATAAGTTATCACCGATGATAAAAGATCTTCCAAAGATATTAGAAACTAAAAAATCAAAATGATAGGGCTCAACGTAATAATATGAAGGATCAACCAAAAATATATTTATTTTCGAAATCAAAAATTCCATTAAACTTTTTTATTTTACTATATAATAACTAGGTGGTTATTTTGTTTATGGTGGCGCCAAACTACAAAAAGATCAGTATGGTAAATATAAAATTTTAATTGTACACACACACTACCATTAGGTAGACATACACGAGCTGATTTTATAACGGATTTGGTCTGACGGACTAAATCCTTAGGTCCTTGAAAGATTTGGTCCGTCGGACTAGATCCTTTAACGTGTCCACTAACGTGAAAATAAAAGTCCGCTATTTTTCGCGGAGCGAATCCACCAGCGGACCATGTCCGCTGGTTAGTGGAGGAAATCCGTTGATTTTTATGCTGAGGACCTAGTCCTTTGGTCTTTCAAGACGTTCTGAAAGATCTACGGATTTATGCGACGGACTACAACAGTTATCAATAAAACAAAAATTTCTTATCAAGGTCCGTGGTCCGCCGGACCTGGTCTTTTAGTCTGTGGCAAAGCGAGAGACTTGAACCGTTGGACTAAATCCGTTGGATTTTAAATCTGCCGGATTGAATCCTTAGAACACCACACACGATAGGACTTTTTAGAGGATTTAATCCGTCAGAGACCAAATCCGTTATAAAATCCGCTCGTGTATGTCTACCTATTACCTCCCCCCCCCGGTACATAACAATGGTCAATGAACTTAGGGAGCAACGAAAAAAAATATTTTGTTATTTTAATTTATAATCAGTGGTGAAGTGGATCGTATAACAACTTCTCTATATTTTGTTTTATAAAAAATACTTACAATACAATTATATAACTCTTTCATGCGCATCAGTTACCATGAATCAAAGAATAAAATAATATATGTACTTAATAAATAGATACACCACTCTATTGTTAATATAATATATATAAAAATAGAATTATTTATTTTTGCTATCGCTAAGTTTTTTCTCTATAGTCTAATCTAAAAGTAAAATATTTTACTTCAATTTTGATACGCATTAATTTAATCTGTATATATAAAAATTTCGTGTCACGATGTATGTTCGCGATAATCTCCGAAACTACTGAACCGATTTTGATGAAATTTTTTACACCGTGTGTAATTTGGTCCAACTTAAAATATAGGATAGTTTTTTTTTCAAATTTTTTAATATTTTAAATATTTTAATTAACTTTTTAATAAATGTGTATAATTGCATGGTGTATTTCGGGTTTTCCCGTGACCGACCGTGACAGTATCTATATAGCTACCTGTAATCTGACCTTTTTTCTATTGCTTGTGTTTTATCGTCGGCGGCGTGTAGATATGAATTGTTCCGAGAATTATATAACTAACCTAACCTATGGTTTTTATCTTAATATTATTTTTTGCATTACAATTATTGTAATAAATATATAGGATAGTTTTTATCTCAATATTATTTTTTGCATTGCAATTGTTGTAATGAAGAAAGTTATTGAATTTTCGAGAAATGTTCAAAGGTATAAAATGCGAAGTTCCGTACGACGTAAATTCAGAAAATATAATGTTGGTTTGTACTTAATTTCAAAATTTAGATACTTTACCTATTACTTTTAAATTTTCTCATACATAATAACACTAATACATGGCCTACGAAAATGCCAAAAAACCAACGAATACGCGGGCAACGCCGTGTCGGGACAGCTAGTAATATATATATCTATATTTTTTGGAAAATATCTACTTTAATAAAAGTAATATTAAATATATATTATAACTTATAATAATATAGTATAACTTAATTTAAGCAAATCATTATATTCAACTCATGTAGATTTAATATATAATATGTATTTTCGTAAGCTAATAATCTTAGATGTTGAAGCTGTATCGTGAATAAAAATAAATAAAAAATGTTGATAATAAAAAAATTGTATTTTTTATTATTTTATTAAAGGGATAAGTCAGTGGTATGGAGTAGGTTGCGATGATGGAAATTTGTCCATCGTCCTTTTGGTCCTCGGATAGGATAATGTATTGTCAGTGGTCCAACGAGCATTAGCGCAACTAGTGGGGGGCCTAGAGGGGGCTTAGTCCCCTGACTGCAATTTAGCCCCACAGTAAAATATTCCATGTTGATTAAACTATAGTCAACATTTTTTTTCCAAATTATAGTTAAAGTGTTATTTGTGATAAAATCATGATATAACATATGTGGATACAATATTTACGATAAATCTATTTTTAGATTAAGACTGTGGGTAATGCGTACCTACCTATGTTCCGTGAAATTGTTGTTATTGGCTAATGGCTATTGCATAATGCATTTATTGAAGGTACGTTTCCCTGGCACCACAATGTTGAAAAATCCATAATTTTTTTTGTGCCATTAATTGTACCATAATTTGTACCAATTTGTACCACTCATTACAAAATTTTTACCAACGAATTTCCCATAGAAAAATCGATTTCTCTCTACGGTGCCAGGGAAACGTTTTCCACGGAAAATTGAATAAGATATTTTACTTTATTATATCGTATTACGTGAGTGTGTGTTTTTTTTTACCAATTGAATAAAATCGTATTAACATCCAAATTTACATACAAAGCGTTATCATTTAGCCCCCGACGACGTTTATCGCATGTTTAAAAAATTCCAATAGTATTGATTAACATTATTTCTACATCTCACAATGGGTACGGTCTTATATTTATTAATTAACGATTAATTTATCTGTGTAAAATGTTACAGAGATGTATTAAGTCGATTATCTGAATCAATACAATAATTTATACATTAATAGATAAAAATAAGTTTAAATAGTTTAATGATTAATAATTGATATCAAAATATGTGGCATAGGTATATTTAACCTTACCAAACTTACCTTACCTAAGTAACATTGTTAAATAACAATAGTGTAGATAACATAGATATTTTATATTAAAATTATGAAATTCCCCATCCTCGCTTATTGTCATATTTTTCTAGGAAATAAACTGGAATAAAAATAAACAAGCAACTTGTATGCCATCGAAATTTACTATTTATTGATAAATTTGACTAATAAAAACTATTTAAACTTATTTTTATCTATTAATGTATAAATTATTGTATTGATTCAGATAATCGACTTAATACATCTCTTTAACATTTTACACAGATAAATTAATCGTTAATTAATAAATATAAGACCGTACCCATTGTGAGATGTAGAAATAATGTTAATCAATACTATTGGAATTTTTTAAACATGCGATAAACGTCGTCGGGGGCTAAATGATAACGCTTTGTATAAGTCATATCATGTTTTAATTTTAAACAGCCGACGTTCATATAATTTATATAAAAATCAGTTTTCTACCAATAATGTTATTAAAAGTCTTTTAACAAACATTTCAACTATAGAAATTCCTTCATACCGTACACGAAGCACAATTATTGCCATAGAATTATCATAGAAAGTAATACCTAGTAGTAACGTCAAATCCTTGATTGATAAATATTCACAAGTTCAATCAAATATATAATTATTAATAACTTAACAAAATATGTGCCTATTTTAGCGTACAATAATATTGTTGGTAATATTTATTATACTGTATTATGTTATATATTTCATAACAGTTAATGATATTTGCGGGTTTTCAACCTACAAAATATTATTTACGATCATATAAATTCTGATTTTGTTGTTCTACGAGTCCGAAATTTGGATGTTAATACGATTTTATTCAATTGGTAAAAAAAACACACACACTCACGTAATACGATATAATAAAGTAAAATATCTTATTCAATTTTCCGTGGAAAACGTTTCCCTGGCACCGTAGAGAGAAATCGATTTTTCTATGGGAAATTCGTTGGTAAAAATTTTGTAATGAGTGGTACAAATTGGTACAAATTATGGTACAATTAATGGCACAAAAAAAATTATGGATTTTTCAACATTGTGGTGCCAGGGAAACGTATCTATTTATTGATTATTCTATGGTATTTTTATCATAACTGACCATTGCTACTAATCGTTGCTGATATGTTAAAAGATAGTTTTAATTGTTTTTGCGTTTTGTACTTATGTTTGGTCATACATTTAGTGATTTAAATTTATTGATTGTATAAAATGGATAAAAAAAAGTTTTTGATGTATTCAATTTTAAAAATAAAATTAATCCTATCCATGAACAAGAATAGGATAATACATCGACTGTCGAATTGCCTGTATTGGTAAAAAAAGTACGGTCTGATGGTATAATTCCAAGGCCAAAAGATTTGAGTGACATTCATACCGGACCATACCGACCATTTTTACAAGTCAGTAATAATAAATTGTTAAACAATTAAAAAAATGTCTTGGTAACCTACTTACCTATTCGTTATTTTAATAGATAGTAAATAATATATAGGTTTTCAAATTTATATGTCATACATATTAAGAGAGATATATCAATTAATATTAATAGTAAAGACATTTTAAACACATTTGCTCTTGCTAATGATAGAAATATATCATTACTATACTAAAATTTTTTTGTACATAATTTAAGCAAAATGCTTTTGATATTGTATTACAATTTCAGGTTTTCGAACCGAAAATTAACTTATTTATGAATTAATTAGATCAAAAGCTAAAAATAATTATTGTATTGATATAGTTAAATTTTAGTTACAAATATTAAATTTGAATTTTGTTCTTTTAGTTTTCTAAAATATTTTATTTTCAATAAAACAATAAATAAGTATCGTATTAATAACATTTATCATACAAAATAATAATGAAGATAAATTAACTTGTGTTGCATGTTTGTTATTATGTTTATATGATATATTTGCCGGGTACCTATAAGATAGATTGTATATTTTTTGAAACTTGCTGATGCCCCTATACTTCTTTTTGTATCCGTGTCTGCACACAGGGTCAGACATTTCTACCGAGAAAATAAAAAAAACGGCCCACCTAGATATACAGGTATAAAAACAAACCTAAAAAAAAACGTATGTTTTCATATAAAATGATTATATATTATTTTGAAAATTTAAACACTTAATATTGTTATAAAAAATTAAAAGACCGTTTATTTATAAATAAAGTTGAATATAGTTTTAATATAATTATAGTTTTAGATAATTTCTAATGCAATCGCATTAAAAAATGCGTCTATGTTTGTCGCCATAATAAGCCTAAACTGATAAACCTAAAAAAAAACTTTCCAACGAGTACTAACGGCCTACTGGGAAACTTCCGGTATCTCGCCAGCCCAGTTCGGCCCTGCCTGCACATGCGCACACTCACACACCTTACAAATGAGCAAGTCTGTTTTCAATCCAAATCGTACCCTTCCCTTTTCGGTCGATTCAATTTTCGACCAAATTTAACATAAGCCCTTTTTGATCAAAACAAAAATGTATGTAATACTATTGATTATAAATATTAGTATTAGTATTTATAATTAATGGTAATATATTTAAAATAATAAAATAATGGTATACAATGTTTGATTATGTTGGAAACCAGTGTTGGCCTGGCCAAGGCAGCTAGGCAGCAATCAATGCCTGGGCCCCCGTCATTTTTTTTATATGTATAGTTAAATGCAACGAAACGTGTTTGGATATAATAATTACGAGGAGCACGTGGTCGTAAAGTATTATAACTTTTAATTTTTAAATCTATTGCTAGAATAAGTAAATCGTACTTCTTATTATCTTAGTCAGGTTTTTTAATTGTGCTGTAGTTCGATAAATCTAAATTACCTATAATTATTATGGATGAATGATCTTGATATTAAATAGTATTGAAGAACAATTAATTCCAAATGAAAATTTATTAAAGGATGTAAATGGTTAGATCCAAAAATATACGAATACATCGAAAAGTTTGAAGAATATGTTATGGGTATTTGGATAACTATAACAAAGTGATCTGATGTTAATAGAGATACTGTATTATATAAGTAGAAACAATTTGCCTCTTATTATTTTAATATTATTCCAAAAAAACATGGCATAATGAACGATAATGATGGTGAAGGTTTTATTATAGATGAAGTAGTGATATCTGATTCAAAAGATGAACTTAATTCGCTAAATTGTAATACCTGTTGGAAATGTATAGCATATGCTTTTAAAATAATTACCTAACTATCTCGTCATTATGGAATGTAATACAATTTGAATTAGGTTTTTAAATACATAATGGTATTGCCATCAACTCAAGTCACTTGTGAAAGAGTATTTTCTAAGCTTAAAGTAATAAAAACAAAATTAAGATCGTCACTCGATCAGCAACATTTAGAATCACTAATGCTTATGACTATAGTTTATTAGTGTTTTGAAATTAATATATGAGTTAAATATTGAATTTTAATTTCCGTTCTGTCATACCTGGACTTTCGCGTACCACCATGTTGTCTTTCACGTACCAATAGTGGTACGCGTACCACAGTTTGAGAACCGCTGGCTTAGACTATAATTTCCTTTTGGGTGAAGCCCCATTCCATCGAAAAGTGCCACGCAGTGGCATTCGAATTTGTGAGCGGAGCCGGCAGGCATAACGAGCGAAGTTCTAAAATTTTTAAAATTATGTGTCATTTTTGTTCCGCCACCCTGATGTTTATATATATTTTACACACAAATTCGTATTCAGAGTATTGTAAAATATAATGTAGTTAAATCTAAATTGGATTCCCGTAGACCGTAGAGAAATCGCATAATATTTGATATTTTACTTATGACTATATATAATATATTATTAAAGGTTTGTTGCAGCAAATTTCGAAAAATATACAACATATTTTATAAGTACTAAGCATATGTGTAATATTAAAATAATAATTAACACGTAACACAAGTTAATTTATCTTCCACTTATTATTATGCATGACAACTTTTATTAATACGATACTTATATTTATTTTTTTATTGAAATAAAATAATTTAAAAAACTAAAAATAAAAAAATTCAAAAATGATTTTTATAATTAAAACTTAATTATATTTATTATAAATGTATAAATATATTTTAAATCAATGTAATAATATATCATAAATAACGAATAATTTTTAAAACATTCTCTCTCGAAAAATGTTGTACCCACAGAGCCGTGTTAAGGGGGGGGGGGTCAAAGGGGGAAATAGCCCCCGGGCGTCGTAGTTTTTTAAAAGTAAGGGAGCGCCCTTATTTGCATTTCATATTCTACCTCTGCCCAGTGGCCCCGTAAAAAAAATTTTGCCCCGTGGCGCTAAAATGTTTGACACGGCTCTCTGTACCCAATAGGTATTGCATTTATAGTATTATTACTTCTAGTATGATTTACAAAAATGTACATAGATTTATAAAATAAATTATACATTAATAGGATATAACATAAAATAATAAATGTATATAAATTATTTATTGTTGTTAAACGAGACATCAGGAGGATGTCTAGGTTTCAACCGATTTCTTGTTAAATGTAAATTCATCATAAACGATAATATCTATAGTAATATTGTAAAAAGTACTTTCAAGAAGGAATAATGTATAACAAGGATGTGCCTAGATGGTGTTTGGGTATTTAAACCCTTCAAAATTTTAACGAAAGAGCAGTATTGATTAATATTTTTACACAATTTAAATTCAATATAATAAAAATTTGTTAGAGTTATATATATATAATCTATTAATAATTTATCTAGTAACTATAAAATTACCTAATTTATTATAATGTGAAAAAAATACATTTGAAATACGTGGTAATAAAAATATTGAACCCCTTCCGAAAAAAGGTCTAAGCACGACCCTGTTGTTTAATATCTAAATCATCCACATATCCAGAAACGGCAATATGTATTTTAATTGATTTAGTTTTAGGTCATTTTTTACTGAGCTTTTTGGTGATTCATATGTACGTTAAATTATATTTATGCATTTTATTCCGGGACACGTGAAATGTACATTCTACAATAACGATGATGTCGGTGTCCGTGAAACGTCGATATCCAAGGGTGGCAGGTTTATTACTAAGCTCAGAACAGGGTCGAGAACAGGCAAAATCACAGAACGTGGTAGATTAAAGTAGGGACACTTTTAGTACATTATGCTATTATACATATACATACCGAGGTTCAGCTAGCGGTTAGCATGAGTAGACTGATTACATTTTATCACGTTTCGCTAGTTAAAACAAATATTTACTTTTGAAATAGAGTTGTTCGAACGTTTTAGAAGTATGGGAAAATTGTATTTGTTCAAAATAAGAATCAATGTATATTTGGTTGAACGTAACTAGTATAAATATAATGAACAACGAATCGGTTAAAAAAAAACAAGACACAGAATGTTAAATCAACTTAGGGTCTAAATTGATCTAGCATTCTGTGTTCTAAATTTTAGGCCAAATAACAAAAATATTGAGACGAAAAATACGATTTATAAAATACCAGCTGAATTTACCCGGCTTTGCACGTGAAAATAAATGTTTATCTTTATGTTAGTTTAATATGAGCAAATAAAAAAAAAAATAATAATAATCATCGTTTCCCTTTTCATTTTAACCCGAGTTTAGGAGTGGCTGCAAGTTTTTTTTGCTGGTATGTTTAAAAAGTGTTTAGCTTTTTGTTTAGCTACCTAGCCGTTGTCTAATTTATAGTTTTAACATAAAACCCAGGCACTATTGTATTTATTTTGTCGCGCTGCACCATGGAATACGGAAAAATAAATGATCAATAAATAATTACTCAACTAACTTACAGAATTGAGATTCAGCCTAAAACCTGATCCGCGAAGTAGGTACTATTACATTAGAAAAAACAATCCGAGATAATCAGATGAGCAGTTTCGACGAACGAGTGCGACAAAAGAATCATTTATATATGTAGTTATATTATAGTACTTAATATTCTGTTAAAAAAAAAAAAAAAAAATGTAAAATAGGAACCAAGTCGATTCAAACAAGCCCGTACACAATCTATACTATAGATATGTATACGAAATGGTGGTGTACAAGTGGGTCATTCGAACGCGTCACGCGATAGAATCGAATCCGGTGAAAAACTACGCGCAACATCGGGTAGCAATCGGGGTGCGGTCGCGGGGGCGGAAGAAGCTTGCTCTCTCGCGAAGGCGGTACACAACGTGTCTCGCGTACACACAATAGTATAATCATTAACAAAAACAATAATAACAGTAGTAGTTGCGGTGGTGGTAGTAGTAGTAGTAGGAGTAGTACTAGTACCGGTGACGGAGTGACGCGTTTATCACAGTTCGATTTGCTGTCACGAGCGTAGCACGTTCGTGTAGAGGATATTATACATATATATCGATTGGCGAACATGCACGGGCCGCCGGTGATCGGGCCGCGGAGCTTTTGCAGCTGGAGCACGCTTGTTTCCCTCCGCTTTCGCTTTTCCGTAACGCGTAACCGCTCTTCCCTTCCGCCCGTCCGCACTTCCGCTGCAACCATCTCTTATCGTTTACCGCCACCGCCGCCGTTGCCGTTAACGTCAACGCCGCGTTCCAAGCGACCGGGGATTGTACGCGCACGTCCGCGTCGTCGTTGTCCATTTCTCGTTATCGTTGTCGTTCGCTCGCACCGTTACGACGGCACAGGTGAAGGGTTACCCTGGCCGCGACGTGCCCATCCACCGCCAGTCACCACCCTTCCCGCACAGGGCAGCAGCAGTAGTCGGTCCGGCGTCGTTATAATTCGTCGTCGACACCGGGCGCGCGCCGCGTGCGCCCGTATTCGTAAACGTTTTTGCCGACCTCGAGCGGCGTACCAAATTGCGCGCGGGACCCTTGTACCGCGGACGCGTTCGCCGTCGCCGGGACGCGCGTGCACGTCTGGACTCCGCCGCGCCGCTCTGCACACGGTAAGTCATCGAAAACGTCAACCGCCGTCGTCCGCGGCGTACGGTACCGCGTGGCACTACGTAGTTTTTTTTTTTTTTTTTTATCGCTCTCGTTTCCGTACGGCCGTGTTGTCGCGAACACTAGGTCCGTGTCGGGGACGATCGGCACACTGTTTCGTTACGATTCCGATTTTGTTACGTTTCGATTCCGTGCACTTACTTACCCACCCGCCCACCCTAATGCTCGTATGTGTAATACGAGTAGCGATACCGTTGTACCGCTATTCCCATCCGTTGTGTTATACATGTGCGTGTACGGATTTACGTATTCTTTTAGATTTCTATCTACTAACTTCTAGAATTAATTCGAGTTCATTACGTTATTTTACGTTTTTTTTTATTTATCACCCTTATTGCCGACCGTCGATTAAGATGTACAGCAGCGACATAAACTATAAAACTGCATCTGGATGCGTTTCAAAAGGACGCATGGGATACTCGAAACGATAGATTGCATTACCATTTTTACGAATACTATCTTAACTTTTCATTTTTTAACTGTACATTTCCAACCAAAATTAATCGTTGCTTTTCACAGTATAATATTTTTCATGTTCGAACCATTTCCTTTGAGTAAATGATCCTATTTAAGATATTTTAAATCGCATTTCAAGAGTTAATCAATAAGTTAATCCCTCACTATATTTTAAATTAAAATATTAATAAGTAAATATCTATGCTCTTTTAATATATTATTATAATTTTTTTCTGTTAACCTTTTTGTAAATCCGTCTATCGTAGATATTCTTTTCATATAAAATGGTAGACAATATTATCGTAACGTATAGTGATACTTGTTGCAGTAGATTTTTTCGTAAAAGTGATTTATAAATTTATAATTATATGTATTAATATTTTAATATATATACAAGGGGTAATTATTTTGTTTATTCCCTTACAAATATATTTTGATTATTAACAACTAAGGAAGACTCTTATGAATAAAAAAATGATTAAAAAGTTGAAATTTAAAGACTTTATAATCTTAGTCATTATAAAGATAAAAAAATCCTGGGATGTTGATCCTCTTATATAATAGGATTAAATAAATTTGTTAGTATATTATTTCTATTTAGTGGTTATATTTAATAATAATTTATATAGTAATATTTTTTGTTCACATACCAATAAACCTTTGATAAATAAAAATTACAATTCAAATTGATTATACGAGTAAACTATAACTTAAAACAACATTCAAGAAACTCAATTAATTGGTTATTATAAGTAACGAATTTTTTTTCAATTGAAATTTGTAAAAGTTTTGTGTTCATATTTACTCTTAATTTGTCACACAACATACTGCAAATTTAAATAATACTAGAGTTATGATTATTATTATTAATGTATATCAATTAACGATCAGTTGATATCTAAAATACCCGAGGTTTACCTTACGAAACTTTCTTTTTTCTTTTTTAAGTCAACAGCCTAAACAAACATTTATAGCGAAGTAAGAAAAAGAACATGTTATAGATACATGTATATATTTATGTACATTGTAGAACGTGTCATTGATCCAAAAATCATATATCATATTAAAAAATCATTAATATTTTTCAATATTTTGTTTAGTCGTATTTTATGTTTATAGAAATTATAGGTATTTGATTTTTATAATATAAAAAATAGTGATTGAAATTCGATACACCAGCTGAAAATATTAACACTGATATTTGTTTAATAAACGTTTAGAAAAAAATTGAATATTCGAGTATATATATTATATACCCAATTTACAAAGTCCCTATCAAAATAAACATAATAATAATATGTGAATTTTAAAAATAAAATGAAAAAAATATTGAAAACTATACAGATTCTGTTCGTTATCATTGTTTATTTCAGCTGACAAAATAAAATAAAGGTAGTTATTAAAATATAACAAATACAAATAAATGTTTCTAAAAATTACGTGTTGAATTTAGAAAATATTTTGTATAAATCTAGTTTTTAAAATATAAAAAACAATATATAGGTTCTTGGAGCATTTGTTCAACTTTAAAATGTGATATGAACTTATTAAGTATGTTAAATTAATTAAAAAATACAATCCATAATCAAAACATAAAATCAATAGATGATACTTCAAACAATAAATAAAATACGCTTCATGAAAATTTATCATACAATAAACATTTTGAATTACAATGAGTAGACATAATCAACTAATTAACTCATTAATTTACTGAAATTGTTTTATAGCCATAAAATATAATACTGTCTTCAAAATTAAATTATTAATAAACTAAACTAAATCTATTTTTTTATGTATACCAATATAGAACAATTATAAAGATGGAGCAACAATATACTGTTACGACAACGTCCACAGCAATAGACGAGACTTTGTTTGAATATAAAGGTGGATTGGCTGACGATTTGAAATTTCTTGCGGCCATTCCAGAAGTTTGTGACGTTACATTTTTAGTTGGAGAAACACGAGAACCGGTGTGCGCAGTCAAAGCAATACTTGCGGCCAGAAGCCGGTTAGTAATAATTCGTTAATATTACTTTTAAGGCTAGTTCAGACTATGCCAGTAATTTAGTCAAGTAGCGAATATTTTAGTAACTAATCATGTATGAACAGATCGATTTAGTCGAGTAGTTTAGTAAAGTAATTTAGTTTAGTCAATCCATTCTATTCTATTTTTTTGGTCGAGTAGTACACCCCTCTTTGCCGACTGATAACTACGTTTTCCTTGCCGTGTCAAGACGCATTTGTCTACAATTTCCTTTTTCATGCTGACTGTTTATAGTCCAGACAAGAATGTCATTTTGAGGTTGGATTTTTGAAAGTAAGATCACAGAATAAATATATATTTATTATATATATATATATATATATTTATTCTGTGGTAAAATATCTCTTATGTACCTTTCGATTTTTTTGCTAAAATGACACTAAGTTTATCTTCTTTGAATCTTTTGTTTTTTTTTCTTTTTCCTCCGTACGATGATATTGATTGTAAATCTACAGGTTCTAATATGTCATCGTAATTTTGTGTGTCATCTCCGTCGTGAACAGTTGAAGTAGAATTATCAATTTCTTGATTATCAAAATTTGATTTAGTTCTAAAAATTTTAAAGTTCAATTTTAATATACAATTTATAAAATAATATATATATTTTCATTACTTTCTTTCGTATTCAAATAAATCCATAAATGACGAAAGTGTGACAATGTCCTATTACATTTTTCAAAAATAGCTGACCTAGTTGTCATTTATTTTTCTTTCATATATGTATCCTTGATGTTTCTTCACAGTTTTGTAGTTTTTATATATATATAAAAAAAAAATGAAATAGTTAATTTTCCATAAATTAAAAAAATTAAAATAATTTCCATTTTATTACTATGATTAAAATCATAGTAATATATGTTAAATAATTACGTTAAATAATATACATTTAGTGATCGAACTAGTAAAAATTTTGTATAAAAACATTTTTAATGATTTAGTGTTAGTATATTTTTACATACCTGTTCTACCAACTTATTCTGAAATGTATTTCTTAATTGTTTCTTTTAGTTTAACATTTTGTGTTTATGGTTAACACTGTCAAAAATCTTTCTATTTTGTTCAACCAATTCAATTAATATTTCATTCTCGGTTGATGAAAACATACATTTTTTTAACATCATTAATACGTAGGGTGTATGGATGCAACATGGGTCCAGACTAGTAGTCTTAAACACTTAACGTTAAACACAAGTAGAAAAACGGCCATATATAAATAAAATTCATGTATCTAGTGACAATGCGTCTGGTTCTGTGTTTAGACGCTACAGGCAAAACTTAACGCTTGTATTTATTTTGTAATTTTGCAAATTATTTCATTGTTAATCAAAAAAATAAAAATATTTATACATTGATACATTATTTTATAAAATAGTCTTGAACCAAGTATTGTATTTAATAAATCCATAAGATAGACTAAATTAGACTATTTAAAATGCAATAATATAGTTATTTATAGGAAAAATAAAAAGATTGAATAACCAAAGAAAATATTTCAATAAGGTTATTCATGTATTTGTATATGTATAAACATATAACTACGTGTTACATTTGTTTAAAAATGAACCATCTTTGGTAGAATTCGTTTTTTTTATATTATTATAAAGAATATTGATTATTTATTACCGATGAAAGTAGATAAAAATAGATTTAAACTTAAAATTGATGTTATTGTTTTATTATTCGACTATTTTCATCGAACAGTAATTACGTAATACACTTTTGTATAAGTAAATTTATTATATATTTCAGCTATTATACAGGCAAACTATGAATTATTTTTCTTTTAAATATATAATAAATAATATTAATTTAATATATTATAATATGTGACATTGGAGCTCATTTTTCAATTTTATAAAATTAGTAATAACCGGAATAGTTCATGAATTGCACCAATGTAAGCCTTCATTTAAATATTATTTATTTATTTCTATATAAATTAACGATTAGTTTAATCATTTACTAATTTTTAATTTTTATTTAAATTTATTGTTTTATTATACATTTTCAACTAATATAAAATAACAAATTTTTAATACATTTATAAATAAAGATTCTACAAATAATTTAAATATGATAATATAATAAAAATTGAATACATAAATATTATTTACTAAAGAAAAGTTTCGGTGAAAATATTAGTCCCCAAGATAATGTTTTTTTCCATTACAACAAAGTAATCAAAATCTTTTTTATTAAAAAAGGATGTATTTTCAGTTTTATAATTTCTTGAGTACGTATTTTATGTAGTTTCTGGAAAACAATACGGCGTATTATATAAAATGACTTCTTGAAAGTATAATTTAATAAAGTTTTCAGTTTATAATAAAGCTTTCTGAAATTGTTGAATCATTTCTTTATAAAAAAACAATCATAATACTAATGTATCGCTGGATTTTTTTTTAACAGTAATACACTATAGTTAATTTCAACATTTTATCAAAATACAAATTTGAATGTGAACTCTAATGGCACTTACATTGATCATAGTTTGAGTATATTAGTTTTATTCAGTTATTGCTTTTACCATTTTAACTGCTTACAATATATAAAATATAAATACATATACCCATTAAAAATTATGTATCTAATTTATTTGTGTTTATAATATTTTTTTGTTTAACCCTTTTTTTCTTAAGTACTACAACAATAGTATGAAAAAAACTAAAAAAATTTAATTACCTATAAAAAAAAAAAAAAAAATGAAAAATGACTTATTATGATTGTATATAATAATTTTTTAAATGCTATTTTATACACTAGAGTGTTTTATAAAATGTTATACGACACGAGTGGCAAACAAATACAACACCAACACTCAGTTGGGATTGGCTCATCGAAACGAAGTGGAGGCTTAATTAAGCAGTTATCTAGTGCGGCAAGCGGGAGTCAAAGTCCTCAACAACAAAACAGACTAAGAATGCTATTGAAACGGAGTTCAGAACCATTGTTAATATTTCAACACAATCAACAGCAGTATCAATCACGGGTTTGTGTGAATAATTTAACTCTTGATATATTATTAATTATGATAAATAGTAAACACGTTTAACGTTATTCGAGTAGGCAATTAAAATTATTTTAAGATTATGTCTACAGTTAGTAGTGCGTTCAATAATAACCAACACAGAAATTTACTCGTATAGTAATATCTTGATCCACTACGGTTGTGGGACATTTAAGTACTACTACAATGATTGCAAATTATTACGAGTGTTAAAACAATTTATACATTCTTAATTTAGACACGATTATAACATTTTAAATTAAATTTTCTGAACAAAGAATATATAGATTAACGTAATTGTAAATGTTGAAGACTCAATACAATTATTTCTCTAAATTTGTATGGAACTGGAATTCGTTTTTTAATATTTATTAAGTAATAATATATTAGTTAATTTTAATTTTAATCTTCGGATATTATTTAATAATAATATAATAAGGTATTAAAGTTTAATTATATTCAATTATATTAAAGTATTTGAAGTATTTATCCTCAAAGCTTATTAAATAACGATTAATCTTTTAAAAACGTATTTACATAATTTGTACAATTCACAGTGATGTAATTATAATTTATAATCAATATATTATATTAGGATAATGAGGTAAATCAAAACTTAAAAAATCTATTAATTTCAGATTCTTTAAACTTATTACTCTAAATATCAAACGTATAAGGAAATGTTTACGTGTTTATTTTTTCCAAATTTTCTAATATTCATCATCATAAGAAAAACAATTCAGAGGAATTTATTACTTTTAAATTCTTGAACTACTTTTACGACCTAAATTCTACTACTCTATGTTTGAAATTATTAATTGTACACAACAATGTTATAAAAAGTATTAATTGTAGAACTCAGATCTTTAGTTTTTTTTATCGAAGACTACTTCGTGTAATAATATAAATGTTTGTTGTGATAATCAATACAAAAATATTTTTTGTCTAAATGTATGTATAAAAGGAATATTAATAATATAGGTTTTGGTCGTCCAAATTTGTAATAAAATATGTTGAAATTTGATCTTTAAAAGTAAAAATATTGAATATTTAATTATTTTATTTAACTATAAATTTTTATAGTTAATGTATACTTGTATTTTATGTTGTTTTCGATAAAAACTGAATAACAGCAACAACAAAAATCACCACCAAATAGGAATAGTATTAAAAACAACAGTAAAATGTCGTCTACCGGAACCAACACATCAACATCTTGGTCGAAGTACAAGCGAGGAAGTTCTGCTGGAACAACATCGATAGTAAATAATACTTCGACGAGTGTGACATCTTCGACAGTGATTGTAATTGAAGAATTCGACGCCGATGTTTTTCGACAGTTAGTTGAATATGTACATACAGGATGTGTGACATTACAACCACGAACGTTATTAGGTATGTACACGTCAGAGTATAATAATTGTAGTATTAGTAGTATACATCAGTGGCGTATCCAGGATTTTTAAACGGTAAAGGCTAAAAACTTTTTTGGGCAGGTAAGAAAAGAAAGGTTTTGAGACTTTTTTCATTACCTCTTCCCCTTCACCACTACCAAATTTTAAAATATTTGTAATAACATTTTTTAAAACACAATTAATAATAATAATAAATTAACGGTGATGAGTTGCGGTAGCACATGGTATAAAAACTATAGTGATTAAAAAATGTTAGAAAAGTGTTAGACGAGAGGCACCACAGTGTTCACGATAACCACCAAAAATATAGTAGCAATCACGGTAGAAGTAATACATTTACCAATGACAAATACCCGTTGTTCGTCAACATTTAGTTAGCACCAAATGTTTCAAATATTTAAATACCATATAGTTGTAAACTAGTTTAATACATATATTTTAACATGACCCATAAGGGGGTGGCTATATCCCTCTTAGCCCCCCTTCTGGGATACGCTACTGGTATACATGTAAATATACATCATTTATCGAATATATACATGTATTGCAGTTTACTTGTATTAAAATAAATTTTATCTAGAATCCTAGATAAATATAAATAAGGCTTTATTTGATACTCAGGTTTCGTAGTGGTGAGAATAGATATTATAGATATTATAATACACTTCATAGTTCATGCAAATATTTGAGTGCGTACACAAATGTTTTGAGCCTCAAAAGGTCAGACAGCAAAAATTCTTAGAAGGTTAAACCCCAATCATGTTTATATAAATATAATGTGTTTGGTAGCAAATATATTGTGTAGGAAAAAACTGCAACAATGAAGAAGAAACGGTGAAAATTATAAGGGTTATCCATAGACCCTTATATATTTTTCTGAAGGAGGTTTAAATACGTTTTGGAGTACTAAAGTCTCTCAAGACTCTTATTCTATGTTTAATAGTTAACAAACTTATTCTATTTTCGTCAATGACAAATTTGACCACTCGAAAGCACCAATTTTATAACATTTAATTTTTATCAGAAACCTAACCGTTGATAGTGAACTCCTGATCGAAATCGTGTACAAAATCGCCAACAAAATAAAATACATAGCAAAATCAATACATTTTCACTCAAAATCTAAAATTTTAAACCCTCATTTTCTAGATCTAATATTTATAATTTGCATAAAAATAATTTTAAAACAAAATATTCACGTATTTCCCATACTCTGCTCTGGCCCCTGGGATACTCAAAGAACCGTGTATCATGAATTACTACAATTTAGTAGTAGGTATACTATAGGTGTTGTTAAATAAAAAATATCTCGTGTTAAAGAATTTTTAAATATACATTTTATTTTATTTTATTCAAAGAGTTAAAACTTAACTCTACTTAATAAAATTCACGTTTCATGTCACCGATGTGATTGAAAAAATGTACGCCATATTACAAACGTCATATTAATTCATGCAAAATTAAATGTAAAGGAAAGCAAAATCTAGGAAAACTTTTTAATTTAAATCAACTAACAGCGTTTTGGTACGTAATTGAAGTTTATTCTAATTGGATATATTATTCAAGGTTTAAAATGTTGGTTAGTAAATACGTATGCCATTTTTTAATTTTATTAATAATAATTATTTATTAAAAATAAATCTTTTTAATCTTTTTCTTCTTTTTCTACTTCACTTTTCTCCCAACTATATGGGGTCGACCACCCTTGTCCTAAATCTCCATTCGTCTCGATTTCCTACATCTCCTACGCACAAACGTTAATTATATTTATTAAAAATCAATATAAACTAAACATCTTAGTTATAAAGACAGTTCCTATAAATTCCTTTATATTTTGCATTTTATCCTGATTTTAATTTATTTAAAATAAGAAAGTATTAGCTTTTTAAATTAAAACTTATAATTATCAAAGGGTTTATTAGTAGTAGGTAATACTATTTTAGTGTAAAGTTGTTGCATACAAGAAGGAAATTTGTAATATCGATGTATCGTATATAATGTAAAACTATAGCTACATTTCTCTGTCTAAACTTCTAAGACAACTAAAATAATAACATTAATAAAGCACTTGTTCTTAATATTATTATAGTCTGAGGTAGGCACTTCTTCGTATACATTAATATATACGTATCCTAATATGAATTAAAAAATATTATCTGTTATTAATTTACTTTGTGGTAATATCATTTAAAAAGGTTCCTAAATTGATCCTAAACGAAAATAAAACTATGGATATTTTTTATAAGGAAAAGCAAATATTTTAGATTCTGAGTAAAACGAGGAATGTATTGGTTTTACCATGATGTGTTTATATTTTTTTTATGCGTCTTTGTACAAGATTTTTACCAGAAGGATAACCCCGTTCAACACAATCATAATTAGGATTTTTTGTTGAAGTTTCTGATAGGAAATTATGTATAATTGGTATTTGTTATGGGTAATTTTTTGAATTTCTCAATAATTTTCCAAATAATTGGCAAAACGGGGAAAAAATTACAAAAATCTTCCATCGAGATCATGTTTTAAACTCAGCACTCCAAAGTATCTTACTACGCACTAATACAACATTTGAATTAGATTAATTTAATCTTATAGAGAAAATTGTATACAAGATTTTTTATGAGATTTAATTTGTAGCCAAAAAAAAAAATATATCGGAATGTCTCAAAAAAGTTTTTTAAGCATAAAAATGAAATTTTGACGAAATCTAGTATTTCAACGAATTTCTATAATACAATATTAGTTATAATTAATGATAACAAATATATTATTGTTACTCTATTAATATTAACCATAGTGATTCGAAATATTGACCAAATATTTACATTAGTGCTTTATAAATATTTCGTAGTTATCGAAGTATATTAATAAGATTTTGCTGATGATTTAGCACTTTAAATTGTCGATTCAAAGTTGAGTCTACCTTATAATGAAGTTTGGTTCTACTACTAAATGAACCATCATCAGAAGTATAAACTGATTCAACTGGCACATTTTTTTACTCAAAATCGTTTTTTCTAGAGAAATAGTACATTGGTTTCAAATTTAAAAGACCAGTACAAGAGTATCATTCACTTGGAGTGTCCCCGACCTTGGAATTTTGCTTGTTCTTGTGATATGCTTCTCAAAAGAGATATTTCAAAGCAGCACCTTTAATATTAGTTATAGAAGTAAGATAAATAGAAAAATGCTTCGGTACAAAATCCACTATGTCTCCCTAAGTCCCTCGTACTATCCTTAATATGTATAATGTCTCACTACGTTCAAACATGACAGAGATTGGGAATCTGCGGCTTTTTAGTATATAATTGAGATTTTTTTATTTTTAATTAGAAGTCATATTTACATCTAAAAAAAATAATTGTTTTTCAAAACATTATGGCTTTTCGAACATGATGGTTTCGTAACTTTGGAAAAAAAAATTACTTTTTCCTACAAGAAATTTTCCGACCCTTGGATTAAGAACTAGTGTGGATTCTACACCACTCGCACCACTTGCGCGTAGATAATCAATAATTTAAACCCTTGCTTACTATTACGGTCACGTTTATCATAGAATATTCATAATTACTTAAGTACAAAAGTATACACATAAGCCCATAATGAGCACAACATTGAGTAAACATTCTATTTGAAGACAATCTTAACGAAAAATATCAGTAATATTTTTGTATTGATATCAATAATTTCTAACTAAATTACTAGTAATTAGTCCTTTAATGTTTTCATTTTTCGATTTAAATATTTACTTAAGTATATTTGTGTTTAAGTGTAATACACAAGTGCTTCTTGTCACTTCAGTTTACCGATTTATTTATTATTTGTACGAGTATATTATTATTTTTAAAGCGTTGGCCAATTTGGACAATAGTTTCGTAAAAGTTAACAAATAAAATTATATACTAAGAAAATACGATCTACGCGCTGACCAACAGCCAAGGCGTATTCAGCTCTTATTTATAATTATTGATTGAGCAAATTTAAAAAAAAAAAAATTGTATTTGTATTAGAACCACTCATTAAATATTTCTAACCGCGTTTTTCCGCCGTAATGCATGCTTGTGTATGTTATATACGTCACAGATAAACAACGTTATAAAATGATACGATGTCTATTCATTGGTTTAGCGTTATGTTGTTTTTGTTTTTGTTTTTTTTTTTCCGTTAGGAGTACTAAACGCTGCTGACTGTTACGGGTTGGATGAGTTGCGAGCCGCGTGTACGGGTTTTGCCGACACCGGTGGCGGTATAACCGTGGACACGGCGTGCGCGCTTTTGGCGTCCGCTGAACGTTACATTCACTACAAGTGCACCAAATCGCTGGTGCAAAAAGTACGGGGCTGTTGTATCCATTACGTTTTACTAGCCGCATAAGAAATATAATACAATGACGCATTACTTATCACCACACACAATCTCCTCCTTCCCTGACTGTCCCTCTATACACTACCTATGTATATATTATATACATCGTGTGTGCGAATAGGTACATTGTGTTTCCGTGTGACGTTGCAAATTGCGAATATTCATAATATACCATCTCGAGAGTAATAATGAACTAACCGAAAGACCATTACTGTTTATGTATGTATGTAAGCGATAATTTTTATTTGTGGATGTATTTAAAGTATTATACTCGCTGAAATGAAAAATCGAGTAATCATTTGCTGCTTGTATGAATGGTCATCGGGTATTCATTCCCACGTCCATTTCCCGAACCTACAAGGAACACACTCGGACCGAGTAACTCGACGAATACATTTTTTTTATTTTTAATACAGGTGAATTTGGACACCGAAAACGCTAACAAAATGTTTAGGAAAAAAATTGATTTTATTTATATTTAATACGAAATTAATAAGAAAACAAATTAAGAATATTTTACTTGTAAATAATATAATTTCAAAGCTTTATTGAAATGAAAAAATGGGCGGGAGATTTTTTTAACATGTATATGTTACCGGCAAAAATTTAAATTAAATAATTAATATAAATTCCTTGCCAATAACGACATTTCCGATTAAATTTGACAGTATACTATGTAGACTAGGAAGTAACGTTAATGTCCATTATTCCTGGACAATGATGCATTTAAAATTATTTCCTTAGCGAAGACGAAAATTCCTGGCTGTTTTAAACATAAGATTGATAAAAATGTTAAAACAATTATTTTGTTTGTTGAATGGATTTATTAAATTAATAGAAGTTACCGTTCGCGAGGCTACTGCCTATGAAATAGCGGGATCACAAGGATATACAAGATGAATATGTAATACATAATATAATACTATTAGATATGCTTGTAAAAAAATTAATAGTTTAGGCAATTCAAAGTGTCATGGTACAATATATATTGTGAAAATAAATAATTATGTATAATTTTTCTTATATTCATACATTTTTATAAATTTCTCACCTAATTTTAATATTTTACTAAACAAAATCATCAACATAGTCTATCAGTATCTGATATTAAGGTAATTTCCTAGTCATAGCAGTAAATGTGTTAACAAAATATTTGATTTTTACAACATTGCCTATGTTGTCAATTAATGCCTAAGCATTGACGATATCATCTAATATGTTAGGCATTTATGAAATTGGGCAGGCATTTACGTTATCACCTAATTTACACCATTGACGGTAACATATACATCGAAATAAACTCTCGGGATGCGATATTTGCTATAGTTGATTTTGTCGAGGACGTGTTCGTGTATGTATGTGTGCGGGCGTGTGCTATTTTATTTTTACATTCTTTTAATCGTATTTTATTATTGTTTTTATTTCAGTTTTTTTTTTTTTTTTGTATTTTTGCGTTTGTTTGTGCATAGGTATGCAAGTGTGTAAACGCTCAAATAAACCTTCGGCGCTTTTGCGCAGTGTTTTAGTTTTTTTTGTTGTATGTTTGTATTGCATATTACCTAACTGTTGGCAATTTTTTTTTTCTGTACTGATCGAGTATGTAGGTTTACCATACTATAATGATCACCATGTATAGGTTAAAGGATGTCATTATTATGTTACAATAGGCATAGATTTTGTAAATGACCATAAAGTTATAGCTGTTTAGTAAATCAATACTATAGAAATTAGTGGATGTAACGTGTGTAAACTTTGGTACCACTAAAATAGTCTGACAAGTTTCCCGATTACGTTTTATTTTATTTCTATTAACGAAACACGGGGGTTAACAGAGTTTCGATGAATTTGCAGCTAGTAGGTACAAAGGGATCTTTATTTCCATTAAGCTACTGCGGTGACTTTGGAAATTACTTTTCGGACCACAGACGATGATTTTCACAAGAACACAATATTGTTTTTTGTGCTTACTGTTTAGTTTACTGGATACTAGTTATATGTTTACGAAAATTATTTCCTCTTTTGCAATTTTTAAAACGTAACATTAATTTTCATTCAACACAATCAAAATTTATTAATTATTATACTGAAAATAAAGTTCAATATTTAGCTATAGTGTTTGCATGTATTATAATTACTTAATGCAAACATTTATGCAAATATTTATTTAAACTATATTTGGTAAAATTGTTGAGTTTGAATAATTATTTCTATAATTATTATTAATAATAATTAATTAAATATCTGTAAGAAATAATACATAAAAGAACTGTTCATTTTTTTTATTACCAAAAGCAATCATCCTCAATGAGTTTTACCTGAGCATTATGTAAAATATAATTTTGCATCCGAATTATAATAAAACTCAAAAAGCATGCCAAAAACTAATATTTTAATTATATTTACTCAACATAAATGCTTATAATTGTATACTAATGTAAAGTAAAAAAGGATATTAAAAGTAGTAATTATTTTCATAAACATTTTCAGTTCTATAGTGCTGTTTTTGAGTAGTGATTTAAAATTTTATAACTAAAAATAATTTCATTATTATAGGACTTGGATATTATGTACTTTATTAAAATATATTATTTTATATAGTCTCTAGGTAAAAAACAAAACATATGAAATATCTACATATTTATTTTTATTATAAATTAAAATTTTAAATTTTAAATTAGTTTTAAATAATATTCAATAATGTTACTGAAATCTTTTTTTTATTTTGTTTATAAAACGTTAAAAATAAACATGTATGAAATCCATCAAAAAACTTCAACTATTAAAAATATATAATGAGTTTATGTTAAACCAATAATAAATAAATTATAAGCAATTTTTTTCTCAAGTTAAGACTGATGAGTATTTTAAAATGAAAAATTTAAATTAATATTGATAAATTAAATAGAAAATCTATGTATTGGTAAAGTTAATGATATACTGATGTAATAATTAATATATTTTATCTTTAATAAATAATTAAATATGAGAAAAACAAAATTATTACTTTTAGAAGACGTAATAAGAAATTAATCATTTTATTGTACATATATTTTTGGCATGAAATGCATTTACAAAATAATTCCAGTCCTTGAAATTATTTATTACACAAATTAATTAACTCAATTTATTTACCAGTATTCGATTATTCTTGTAGATAAATTTATAAAAAAATATAAAATATTCGTACTTTGAACTTAATAAATGTAAATACGAAAAACTGATGAAATTTAAATTTTATAAATTATAGTATGTTGATGTTTATGTTTGATAATTTATGTATTTATCTATGTAAATGTCTTTATTGAAATGTGTACAATTGTTTTATAAAAATAAAAATTAATTTTGTAATAAGACGCTGTGTTGGCGGTTTTTTTTATGTTGTTTTGTGTTGATTTAGCAGAAATGTTTGGATGGTTTTTATTTTGTACCTGTAAATATAATAACAATATTTACACTTTACTGTGTGAGTAACTAAACGTATATAAATATTAACAAAATAAATGATATAATTGGGTCATATGAATGCAAATCCCAAAGGTGCTCGAGTTCGTAGATGAGAATGGTGGACGCGTGCTTACCCTTGGATCGTTTACTTTACTGCCGCAACATGTTGTCCGACTTATACTATCACGGGACGAGTTACGAGCAGATGAACTGACGAAATTCCAGGTGATTATATACATGTAGTATATATATACTTTAGATATTATAATATGTTTTAAATGGCCGTAAAACTATTCATCACCTTCTTGTCTTGTATTTTATAAGCAATTATATTGATTACAATCAATAATGTCTATACGGTGAATAATAATAATGTATAATTCGAAGAGGGTATACGTATTAATGTATATTACAAAACAAGAATAACAAATACGAATAAAACTTTTATATTAGTACATACGTAAAATGTATGCTAATATTATTAGCATTATTGAAGTGGAATTTTACTGGAATGCATGTGCAATGCATTAGAGTTTTACTTGAAAGTCTATCTTTTGGTCATGCCGCTGTTTACATTGTTCTCCGTGTGCGTGTACGCAGGCTGCGCTGATGTGGGCGAAAAAATGTGCTGCTGATGCTGCCGATAATAATAATCCCGATTCCGAAGAAGCAGACTGGCGTTCGTTATTCCGGGAACATTTCGCGCCCATCATCCAGTACCACAAGATTGCAGCCAGGGTGATTTTGGACGAAATCATGCCGTTGGGTGTGGTTCCCGACAGGGACCTTTTGTCGGCACTTGCCTATCAGGTATTCGTATCGGTTGTTCATTCAGTACTGCTTATACATTTTTATTGATCACACAACAGGCATTAGGGCAATTCGACAACTTTAAAATAGTATAGGTACAACGATATTCACAGCAGTATATTTATAAATACGTATAATAAGTGTATTTATATCTAGAATATCATGAATATCTGTGCATTTTTTATGTGAAACAGTCATATCGAGGTCTATAATCGTATTGAGAAATAAAAAAAATAATTACCTTGAAGTAAAAAATGAAGTACCAACTGAAATTGATTTCTATCTTTTACATCGCATTTGGTAATGATCGGAGCAATCTTTTTAGTTGAATCGTGTATACAGATAAAAGAAAAGAAAAAACGATCATCATGTAACACATTCCTTATTTCATTTAGAACTTAAAATCAATTAGCTAAATGTTATTATTACTTTATAATTAATAGAACAAAATAACAAAATAAATAATATAGAATAACGAATATTATGATGTATTTTAATAGGATGAACTTAAAATATCAAGTTTTGAAATATTCAGATATTCATTATTTTTTAACGTACAATAGAAAATTATTGTCGTTATAGTGGTAATTCTAAGAAGAACTAATTAAGTTCACATTGTTAAAAGAAAATACATTTATCATTTAACATTTTACGTTTAAATAACTCTCATTTTTAATATTTCCAAGTTGACTTTTTCGGTTTTCTTCGTCTCATAACTTATTTCGTTGTAATTTCAAATTTCGTTGACGATTTTTCTCCGGGTCGACTACGGACAATATTCCCATTTTTTAACATTATAGAAATGAAAATGATTCTCTTACAATAATAGTTATACGAAATGTATTGTTATACGAAATTCGTATCGCCTAATAATTTTGTACGATTTAAAATCTTTAACTTCTATTGGACAAAAAAATAAAAGTTTTGTACTTGAAGTTACGGCAATTCGTCAAATGTTTCACCAGAATCGTTTCTTTTGAATTTAAACGTATAACGATCTGCTAAAGACATTATTCGTATAACGCGATCAGTCCGTGTATAAAAACACCAAAACATCTGTTTGAACAGGCTGATCCGAACAGCGTGCGGTTGGAGTCCATAAGCGGGACTGCGGACCGAGATCAGTTGCGGTGCGGTAGACGTCGCACGCGTTCCATGTCGGTACAAAGCGGCGGTGCCGGTGGCGCTGGCGACGACGACGAGTCAGGTTACCATCAGGTAAACGTGGCCGCGGGCCCGTCGATCGCATCGGTGGCCGGCGTCGGGCAAACTGCACCGGCCACGCCGACGTTGAGCAGCGGTGGCAGCGGCGGTAGCGTGGACACGGCGGGACAGCAGCAGCGGCCACCGCCGCCGCGGCGCAGGCGACGTACGTCATCGATTGCGCACCAACAACACGGGTCGCGGCCGCAGCAAAAACATCACCATCATCACCGTTATTATCCGCTCAACCGGTCTTCGGACTCCACCAACAGCCACAGCTGTTACACGAGCGACGACGATTCGGCGGACGATTTGACGTCCTCCTAAATGGCAGGATCACATATATACACATATAAATCTAAGGATTACGCAACATCATCCCATTTTCGTAACGATACTTTTATGCAGACAGTTCAACGAGAAATTATGACTGCGACGCTCATCCTATTGCGAACGTCTATCGAAAGGCCCGGACAAGTGGTTGGGCGATGGGGCAGGACGATTTTTTTTTTTTTTTATGCGCAGTCCTACTCTCTCGTTGAACCAGCTATAGGCGAGTACTAGTCGGACACGACACAAGACAGTAACGCATACTCCTGCTCCGTATATCCTTTCTGCTCCGTATACTCCTCATCGTGCTCCCCCGCGTATTGTTTCATGATAACACAGACCAGACTGGTTCCCGGTATATATTATATACGTATTCGATTTTATTAGGCATGCGACATCGTAACGACCGATTTTTTTTTGTGAATATATGATGATCATGAAGTATGCGTTTCGACGGTTGACCGGTCAAACAAATTTCCATTTTTTTTTCATACTTTGAAAAAATGTTTATTTTATACATTAACTTCGTTTTATGCAGTGTATGCAATTATAGTATAAATGGTTGGTAATCTTTACGCAATCGCTGTTCATCGTCCTTGCTAAAAATAATCCTACTTTCCTATTTATATATAATATTAATTTAGGACTCGGATCTAATTGCACTAAAATCTAATAGGAACCAATTGCTGTAAACCTGGTTACCAAGTAAATTGATATAAGTTTCATTAAATAATTAAAAATATTGCGATAAATTGTTATTTTGTGGGAGTATTTAAATTTACTGTGGTACTTACTTTACAACGGTAAAACCACAAATGATCCATTGCGTCATTTTGGCTTTTTTTTTGGAACATTAATTATTATAGTCATTACTTATTACTTGGTTAATGAGTTATTTATTCGAAATATAATATTTAAATAAAATTGACGAATGACTTTTACAAATTAATAATTTCAAACGATTACGACAGGTATTTTTATTTTCTATTTGTTCTCTTAAAAAAAACGTAATAAACAATTTAAATAACCTATTTAGTAAGACGTAAATACTTGTTGGATAAATATTATTTATGGCCTCGTATTATTATTTAACCGTATACACCGTAAAGACACTACGAATAGGGATATTTTAACGTCACCTTCTAAATTACAGACATACATCGAGTGCCGTGTTTTGGCCGGAGTCTTACAGCCGTGCATCTTCTATCGACGCGAAGCGTTATTCAAGAGGCGCACTGGTACAGACCTAAAGTTTCCATTGGGTCTAAGTCGTAAAAGGGACCACAGTATCGAACCTGAGCCCGTACCCTTGTAGAGCATGGACACGAGAACCGTGTCGGATCCCGTGGTTTTGTTTACTATTCCGACTCATAGACACCACATTGCAGCCGAAGTAGGCACCTTAATCTCGGAGAGGAGGATCATTGTTTCCGGAGTGACAAGCCGGTTCGGCGTACAATAGGGCTCCACCCTTCCTTGATGTCAACTAGGTTACATTGGTGCGTCAACCCGGGTCCTTCCCATTGTTTTGGCCACCCGAGCTGGCTAGTGGTGGTCCGTGTATTACAGCCATACGTATATTTATCTGTAATGAATTGATCGATACTATTACTGAGATTAATCAACTATCCTAGTGTATCAACTGTTATACCAGTGGCGTATTTGAGGGGTCAGGGAGATGAGAGCGATCGTCCCTAGCATAAATTGATATGTTTGTTTAAGGGTTTGCTATATATTTACTAAGATAAAATTACAAAACTTATAAAGAAACATAGCATTTTTGATTTAGCAAGATATTCTTTTGTGGAACATTATTTTAAATAAACATTGTTTTTTAGTACCAAATGTATGCTGTTTGGTAATTTCATGTGTCTAAGATCTTAACATTTTTAGGAATTTTTAAAAATAATATGTAAATTTAAAAAAATAATTACTTCAATTTGGTTAAATATTGTTTTAACTCCCAGGGCACATTTAGGATTTTTTTTTAGAGGGGATAAAAGGAATATAGTCCCCCTCTTTTCGAGTGAGTTTTTATTTACCCCTATCCTCCATCATAGACTCAAGCCAGATATGCTACTGCGTTATAAGGATAAATAATGGTCAATTTAGTGGTTCTGCGTGTATACCTAATACAAATAAACAAATAGCCACTAAAACAAATTGTAACCGAATAAATAGGTTTTTATTTTTTATGCGAAAATTCAATATTTTTCAACCGACATAAACGATAAGACTTAATTATAATAATTAATTATAAATTGGATTGGATATTAAAAAATACTCAAAGTTGCGAATTTAATTAAATTAATTACATTAATTGTGTACACCATACTTCAATGTAATTATTCATCACTATGGCTTTGCGTATAAATAATGCATAGTTCATGAGTATCAAATTATATTATTCATTAGAAAAGGGGTGCAATTAGTGAATGTTAATGTAAAACATCCGAGTCTTAGTTATTATGTGCTAAGAATATCATAGAACATAATATTACATATTATATATTTGTATACTTAGGTTTTAGTTTAGTGATCATAAAAAATTTAAAATAAGATTATCGAAGTATAGTATTTATTGCGTACATAGGCACTAATTTTTTTAAATTATTATTGGATAATATGTGTGTATATGATTGTGCTAATTATTATGTACCTATCTTATATTATATAATTAATAATTATATAATTTGTACCAATTTTGTGTATTAGTTTTAAAGATAAAAAGTCGGAAATATAGATATTTGAAAAAATCGTATTAAAACCTTATCACTGCATGCGAACTTTTGGTGCTTAAGTATGTATTTAAAATACGGAACTACGGTGCATCCCAAGAAGTACATGGTGGCCGATATATGGAGATTACGTGTTTGGGTTTTTATTTCAATTGAAATGTCGTTCGGGAAACGCACGATAAGTGGAAATACTGAGGTCTCTGGTGTATCTGGACGAACTTACCATCAAATATGCAAGAACCTGCACCAGTGACGCCGACCTCTACATTCAGAATGGGTAGATGCCGCCTTATTGCACTAAATTTTAGTGGTAAGATTAGCGAGTCACCTGATGTGAATTTGATGAATTATGAACAAACACAGTAGACCATATTTTTAGTAATTTTTCATTGTTTGGCATTTCAATAAATTGGTCTACCCGAGGAACATAAAGGGAAAATTAAATTCTTTATAAACAAGTTTTATTTACTGAACTCTACTTACTCATCTATCAAAATTACCGATTTTTCAATAATAAAACATTAAAAAACAAATTAATAAAAGTAATTAAAACTCGGTTATCAATTTGAATTTTATATTAATTAAAAATATTGTGTAACAGTATACTGAAATGGGGAAAGGAATTGCGAGTGTATTGAGCGGCTTTTTAATGAGTAGTTGAAGACACTTGTTTTCAATTTTACAATTTAGAAAAAAAGGGGCGGAAAAATGCTGTTGCCCTTGGACAGCAAAATTTCAAATATGGCCCTGTAAATATGTTTTTATTATTACTGTGTCAATAAAAAACAAATCAAACAACACAAAGAATGATATATTTATAAAATAAATCTTACACAAAAAAAGTAATTAAAGGTAAAGTTATGTTCTACCTTACTTATGTTTATGTAATAGATAGAAGTTTTTTATGATAAATAAATTATGAATAAATGTTAACGTTAACTTCTCTTACACATTTTATACAAAAGTTATAAGTAATTTTAAAGAATTTAAATATTTTTGTGGCTATTTATAATACTACAAGTTAAACAGTTTGAGGTCCAGAAAACAAATTATAAATAGCTTGTAAGTATATTTATCTTTGAACTCAAAACACAATTTTCTCAATACAATTTAATAAATTGATAAAAAGGATAACATTTATTATAAGAAAATATATTTTATATTTTCTAAAAATGGATCAAATAGAACAACATGAAATTTAAAAATTGTAGGCAATCTAAGTTTTTCCATCCCTCTACAGGTCCACTTCTATTACTGACCTCCTGAACTATATGGATATAGGGTAGTAAAACATTGAATTGAATTATATCTAAAAAATTATTAATATCATAAATATTATAATTATTATATTATATATAATTATAATAAATTGTAATGATGTGTACAATCAAATTCTGAAGCATTTGGGAATCAATAACTAAGCTCCAGTTTGCAAAAATTAAAAATTAACTTAATATGCATTGTTACACAGTGTATTAAATCAATTTTTTTTTTCAATTCAAAAAACATTTTATTATAATACATTGTTAATATTATTCAATAGCATGGTTAATTTTCAATAAAAATTAAATTAATTTTAATATTTTAAGATAAACCATAAATATACATACAAATTCAGACTAGATATACACAATAATATAACAGTTAAAATAGTATTTACAAAGCTATCCTCAGTCTATAAGTACAAAGTATACACTCCACTCAAAAAGGAAATAAACTAAGAGGCATCTAGTTTTCTTTCTGATAGGAATAAACAATAAACAGCCTAAATCTATGCAAAAAAAATTATCAAGATCAGTTGATTTGTTCATAAATTAACTTTAGCATTGCTACTGCATAATAATGATCAGTAAAATGAGAAAATAGGAGTCTGTGCTTCAATGACCGTTATTCAATAAGTCAGAATCCAATAAATTCTTTTTACAACAGAGTATTGAATAAGTTATTTTTAGTTCAAATATGATACAATAATTAAAAAATCATATATTAAATTAAAGTTTTACAAAAAAAAAGAAATAAAAAAGATTTTAATTCTTAATAATAATTAATCATCATAACATTCATGTGCATTTTGTACTTTGGCCACACTATTTTCAACTCTACTCAATGACACACTAATTCTTCTAAGTGTTTCTTCATCATTAACAAAGTTTATATTGCCAATAATTCTTTTTAATTTTATTAAAATATTTGCTTTTAAATCTTTAACATCTAAATCTTCTTTTTTTATTTGATCATCTATATCGTTTTGGATCCGTTTGTTAAAAATTCCCAACATATGCACATGTTCACATATATTTATTTCTCCTTTACTACACGAACATTCATAGATATGGGCACAAATATCATAACACGCACTACATTTTACTGAACAATCAATAATTTTACAAAACTTCCGGGAAACAGTTACAAAATTATTACTTGTACCATCTTCTAATCTTATTCTCCACATATCACTTGTTACAGGGAAAATATGAGTAGAGTTATAACACAAAGCATTTTTATGACTATTTGATATAGAAATATTGGTTTCTTCAATTTTAGTTTTTCTAATTTTTTGAATATCTAAAAGCGCTGTGAAAAAAATATGCATATTTTTTGATAAATTAGGAGTAAAATGTTTTTTATTTTCACACAGTACAATCATCTGATTATATACTGTGTTAATATCTATCATATCATTTAAATTAAGAGATTCTTTTAAATAACAGAATGCCCACATATCTGCTCTACTAGCAAACATATGATCAAAAAATATTCCAAATGATTTTGTTTTATTATTCATTTTGAGATTATTATTTGTGTAGTTTATAATTTCTTCTTTAACAGATTTCTCAGGTGCATTAAAAAATGAGCATATCTTGTCATAAATTTTATGTTGTAAATCTTGATCTTCAATTTCAATCTGAAGCTTTTCTATTATCTGATTATCAATATATCTTTGGTTGATTACATGTTTGACAGGTGACATAATTGAACACCAATCTTCATATAAATCATAATTGTCATCAGTAATTAATGCTTTGGCATAAATAGTGCCCATTTTATTAAAAACTGCATTTAAAAAAAAAGATTGATATATTTTACTGTCATTGCACATCATGAAACATACTGGCAACATAACATTGAATTCATCACATACATATAAAACAGTTAAGTATAATCTGGCGCGAACCATGCTCATTTCAGTGACCATAAATATTCCATCAGTCCCAAATTTATTAATCCAATGTTGTTGATTTCGAGTCATAAATATTAACATAAGATCATTAGGTTCAAAATTTTCATAAGCTACATTATTTGGTTTATAAAATATAATAGGATTATCAGGAGTACGCTGTAGCTTTAGAATCCATCTATCTGTACTGAGATCATTAATTGTTCTTTGTTTGATAAATTCTGGATGTCTTATTCCTAATTTACGCTCAATATTTTTAATATCTTTTCTATTTAACATGTGCATACGTCCTAGTGAATCTGATGCTTTGGCACGGGCAGCATTGATAACAAAATCTGGATGATCACCTTGTTGAATGAGTTCAGTAATTTCATCTCGTTCACGCTTCGTCATCCTCATGTGTTCAGACGATATGTCATGACCATAATGTGTAGCACATAGTAATATTTCAATAGATCCATCAGTGTTTTGGACTTCTTTCATAGATGCTGTACATAAACCTTTTACTTTAATAGGAGTACTTCGTTTTCTCACTCCTTTGGATTTACTAGTAAAATAAGTGGACCGATTGCAATAATAATAAGAAAGTTTTTTACCATCATGAAGTGTTTTACAACCAGTAACACGAACATAACGACTGTTATTTTTTTGTTCAAAGTCTTCTTTCCATGTTAAAAACTCTAAAAATAAATAAATTGTAAATATATTAACTTAAATCTAAATAGAAGAAGTTAATTATATTTGAAATATAATACCATCTTCAGAAATGAAATTCAAATAGCGTATATCAAAATCAATTTGATGATCAAATTTTAAATGACTAATAAAAAGTTGTTTATTGTAAAACTTGCATCGGCATCCTTTTTCCATGCACTGTAAATCAGTACATTTTCTAGGCCTTTTAGAGATAAAACCTGGTAAACCTTTATTGCCACTGTGCATAGAGTCAAAATGGTTTTTCAAACTTGTTTTATTGCGAAACATGAATCCACAAAGAGCACATTCTACAGTAGGATACCTTAAAACATAAAATTAAAAATTAAAAACATTAAAATAATTATGTGAATTTATATAGGATAGTTGGTTAAAATCTAATGTTCGACCACTTTTTTAAAAAGAGCTCACTTCGTACATATTTTCAAAATGTTTCATTACTTATTAATAAGATTTATTTGTAAATACATGTCTCAATTACTAAATAGGTATTGACAATTGACAATGAGCACTGATCCATTTATAGGTTACAACCAATCTTTGAAATTACTATTTTCAAAAACCAAAGTATTTCAAACCTATTTAATTTCCTTGAAATAATTTGCACGGTAGGTAATACAATATCAAAATATAATAACTTATAAATAGAACTAGAATGAAGCAAAAAATACAGAAGTAAAATATCTTACAGTAAAATATGTTATGAACTGACACTACTAATCAACCATAAGATAAACAGTCATTACTTTGACATTTTGTAAGATAAATAAAATAAGAATTCATTATTGAGCCCTGTAAAAGCTACAATTGATAAAACTAATGGCTTGATTTTCTTATGACTTACTTTTGAATATTTTCATAATCGATGTTCAGCATATTGACAATAATTAGGAACTATGAAATCAGTTTCTCAACACCTTAATTTAAAACAAAATTATTAATCCTAATAAATAAAAACATGATATTTAACTAAAGGATTGAGATTTAATTTTAAATCTTTCAAATTATTATAGAGTACGTTGTTACTCGTCAGAACTGTTGTATTGATGGCACTCAACAATGTACAGAGAATACAGAAATCTAAATAAACCTAAGTATTAAATTTTGTTTTTAAGGGTAGAAACAAGTAAACAAAGTAGTAAACAAAAAACATTTTTGTTATTGGCTTTATCAAAGAACTACAGAATATTGACTAGAGTGCATAAAGATAATACTGTTATTATCTATATTTGCACTAGCGCGTATCTATGTGATAACAACTGCGCGTTCCGACCAAAAAAACGACCATAAACATATGAAGATGGAAATTATGACTCACTTAAGTGAATCAATTAAATTCACTTAAATGAGTCAATTCATCAACTTACAATTGATAAGTCAAATCATATCTTAATCAAGTCACGGTTTGAACCTAAATCTTAATGAATCGAATCAAATCTATTACATTTTAAAATAACATATTTTTCAGCTGACTAACCGAAGGGGGGTCTTGGGGAAGGAGGTGTCTCACCCCCCTCCCTCAACGAAAACAACAGTCAGCAGTCGGACTTGTTTCATTATAGCCTAGAAGGACCTAATTTTACTTACGGAAAACAAATATTATCATACATATTTCATAATATAGTGTATACACGAATACAATTTATATAACTACTTATTATACAATATAAAATATTATTATATCTATATATATAATTAAAATGTTAATTTTAAGAACGTGCGACACTGACACATATGTACATGTTAAAAAGTAAAAATACGACTGCATATAGTTTATTATACTCCATACATTGAGTAAAAAAATTATAGTCGGCATATTTTATGTTATTCACCCCCCTTGATTTTCATCTTCGGGACGACCTTGCCAAGGCTCCCATCTTGCTGGGGGCCCCAAATAATAGAAATTATAACTTTAAATTTAAGCTGTAACGTATTAATACGACAGCTTATATTAAAACTTATATTAAAGCTTATATTTTAAAGAGTTAAATAAATAATGAATGCTTAATTGTGTGCAATTACATTAAGTATCTCATTTCTTATCCCATTGTTTCAATTTTTTTTTCTTATTAGAAGATCAGCTAAGCTTCATGAGCCCCTGCATACCCTAAGACGGCCCTACATATAATATTATTTAATTTATATTTGTAAGCAACGATAAACCAAAGAGAGAGCATTGCTGGAAAGGTCGCCAACATTCAGAATCGGATAGGCACTCAAAGAAGAATATAAATATATAATATATAAGCTTATAATGTGACAGGGTAAATGAGTTATAATTACAAATCATTATAATGTTTGGTATTCATGTATAATGATAAAATATACACTTATAAAATAATATTCTAAGAAATGTAATCACTAAAGGTATAATATACCTACCCATCTATTGGAGTATTAACCGTGCGACAGTATTACACTGAACTTATTGATAAGACGATGATTTCAAATTTGGAATTGGTGACTTGACTAGGGTTACTATAAATTTATAAGGCGAAACCGGCACAACACAAACACAATATTGAGTACTATTGGTACTTTTTATATAACTTTTAATATATTGATAGGACTAGTGGCGTATACAAGGTGGGATGTGAAGGTCAGATCCTCCCTAGGCTTATTTTTAATTGTTATAAAATAATGTTTTTAGAGTGAAGGTGTTAGAAACGTAAAAAAAAAAAAATAATGATAAAATAAAAATAATGATTTGTATGCAAATCATCCCCCATACAAAAATTATGTATACACCACTGAAGAGGACCATTAATGCACGGCAATATAATATTTAAAAAAAATGTATAAAATAAAATATATTTTATATCATATGTGTAAATTATTATATATTGTTAATCGTTTACGATTAAAAATGTACTTTGAGATAAAATGGTCGAAATTAGAAATTAAACAATACTACATTTTCTCTAAACGTCTAAGCCGGGACATATGGACGTCCCGAAAACATTTTTTGAGACACCGGGACGCGAAGTCCAAAACTGGTGACAATCCCGGTTTTCCGGGATGTATGGCAACCCTAGACTTGACTGATTCAACTCATTTACAGGCTTATAGTTCAGTTGTGTCATTTCAGTGTTTATATTGAATTACCAAGTCACTGATTTAGTGATTTGCTATGTTGGTAGTGAATTGCTGAGTCGTTGATTTGCGATACACTGATTTATTTCATTCAATTCACTAAAAAGAGTCGGCTCTTCTAGTCGACTCACTCATGAACTACACACCTCTATAAAGATATAATATATTATAAAGTATATTTGTTAACAAATTATATTAATTATTGAAAATGTTGAAAAAAAGGATAAATTGCGTTGTATGTAAATGTCATAAAAAGTTGAAATTTTTGAAAAATGCTCCGACCGTTCTAAAAGAGATAATATAGAATTATTGAACTTTTACAGAATTAAATTCGGCCCAGCTAAAGATCCACAATTTTGTCAGGCATATTTATCTTTTATTCATATATTTATGACGGATTAGAACCACCTTAAGGGGAAATTTTAAGAATTACTTGAACATTTCTTATAATTACAATAAATAATAAAAGGTACAAATTACATAATATATGTGTATTTCAATTTAATATTGCAATTATAATATATTAAATAAAATACAGTCTAAGGTGAATATAAAAATAAAGAAATGTATTATTATAGCTTATTATACAGTATTTTAAATATTTAAAATATTAAGATCCATTGGCGTTATTGTTAATTGCAAAGTAAAACTGATGATTAGTTTAGAGAATATTTATCCGCTGGTGGTTGTTAATTAGCGTCAGTCAGCGAAGGTTTTGAATTTGAGTTCTGAGCAGAAACATTTTGAAGGATGCTGGTCATTTCTTTCATCACATTTGGTGAAGTGACTAAGATATTTAACAGCTGATTTGCGATTAATGCATCAGGTGTTGGTGGTGTTGAAGGTGGTGTTGGTGGTGGTGGCGGTGGCAGCGGTGTTGGTGGTGGTGGCGGTAGTGAATCTGTAGAAGTACTAGGTAAATCGATTGAACTCGGAGGAATAATTGAAGGTGAATCTGGATTAGGTATACTATCAGGGTTAGAGGTTTTAATAGGTTCTTGTTGAGGCGTCGGTGGAGAACCTGATAATAGTTTTAGTATTTCTTCATTCATTTTAGACGATAAAGTCATTGGTTCCAATGATACCAGTTTTGAACTCGGGCTTAGAGACTGTGGAAGGTTTGGTGATGGTGCAGAACTTGGATCTAAAGGAGAAGCTATGGCTGGATTGGTTTTCGTAGGCAACGTATCAATGATTGGAGGACGCAGAAAAGATTGTAGCAGCTCAGTTGGATTTGAATATGAATTCGGAACAGTTTTTTGAGACAAACCCGATACTAATGAATTTTGGGCGTTCCTGTTAAAATTTAATAATAGGTCGAGATTGGACTGTTGATTTGAGGCCGTTGAGGGTAAAGGCGCTGATTCAGAATCTGGAGTCGAAATAGATGGGGTAACCAAATAATCACTATTTGAGTCCGTGGGATTGGGACTTAACGGTGGTAACTGCGGGGGTGGATTATAATTCGTAAACGGGAGTAAGGTAGAAGGCGATGCCGGTGGAGTATTGGACGAGGGATTAGTTTTTGAAAAAGGAGAAGAATTCGACAAAGGTGGATTAAGACCCAAGTTCTTTAAAATGTTAATTACTTCTTTAGTAAGGCCCGATTGAGGTAAATCATTATAAATGCCCAATGTTGGTAAACTATTAATCTGAAAAATATAAAAACCACACATACGGTTAGTTTTCGATTTCAAATATCAACCTAAAATGCTTCAATACTCAAGATTATAATAAAATGTTATCGTGAAAATATTAACAAAAAGTGAACACCGAAATAATAAAATAACTATACAAAGTATATAATGTATGACATGTTTAAAGATAAAAAATTAATACCTACTTTAATTTTCACAGGTGTTTAAATTTTATAAGGTAATTAAGAGTATATATATATACATACCGAATTTAGAACTGTCACCAATAATATAAAAACAATTTTCATATTCGTCATTTTTTCCTTTGAGGAGTAAATGTATCTAGTGCAATGCATTCACTTTTAGTCGGTTATTTCGAAGAGTCCGATGATTTATATACCCAGAACCCACTTGTTGGGACGACATTGTTTATTAACTTATCATGAGGTCGATAAATCGTTCAACGTTATCGGTCTTATATTTACTAAAAACGCGCATACTTGCAAATAAGATAACAAACGTCTTTAGACAATCTTGATGTTATTATTGCATTAATATGCCTTCAGTTGAATGGTTGCCAGACACCTACTTCATCTATCATCTATTATCGCAGTCTTATTTGTATTTTCCGCAGACATTTGACACCATGAAAGCTACTGCACGCCTTAAATTGTAACATTTCTGAGAAAATCATTTTTTAAATAAATCGATTATTATAACATACAAAGTTTACACCATATCTACTATTTTTACATAGAAAACATATCTCCTAATCATTCTACGTACTAAAATATTTACGTATTATACAATTTTTATTCTAAATATTCAATGACGTTTTTTTTCCCATACCAATATCATAAAAATATTGGTTATAATTTTTCCTTTCCATTTTTTTTTTTATTAACCATAATAAGATTATTACTAGTCACGTACAACCGAAGAACAAAATATTAAGTATAAGTGAATGTTTATTTTTTTGTCAATAATTTACACTTTGAAAATTAGATAAGTAGACATACCTACTTAGGTAGAATCATCTACATGTATATAAACATATATAATTAATACATGTGTGCAAGCAACTGACAAGGTCAAATTTATATTATTTTAACTCGGTGGACAATAATATTAAATAATGTGAAATGCTTACTATACATGATGCAGCTGTATAATGTGCAGGAATTTAGACATTAAAAACAAAACTATAAGTTATCAATATAATGATGTTTATTGTTTTCAATTCGTTTTGATGTTGAAACAGTTGGTAGGTGCAAAGAACACGTAAGGTTTCTTCAAAAATTGTTTGTCATGTTTGTAAGCACACTTGGATTCCAGCATTACCTATGCTTAGTAAAATGTAGGTTTTAACTTAGAAGTATTATATCTAACTATATTATTAATTTAAATTGTTATATTTATGGCTTAGGTCTATATGTTATATTTATAACCAATCGACATTGTAAATTTGAATTAAGTACAGACAGGAATATTTTTAAATGTATTATTTTATAGAAATCAAAATAACTATTATTTGAGATTCTATACCGATTGAATGTTAATATTATATTAATAATATTGAAAATAAATATCAGTTAGGTATAGACACAAATTTAATAAAAGTTTACCCTACTTTATTAAGAAATTTGGTTCTAATACTATATCAACCATTTTTTGAAATATAAACTGATCCGTCCCTTATATTTATAAACAAGGTTCGAAACTTTAAGCATTTGCATATTTGTCTAGAAAGTGCATATTGAAATTCTGATTCGATACAAATTCGATTCATAGTATGTATATTTCAGATATAAAAATTTTTGTTACATAATTTTGCATATTTTATGGATTTAACAAAATTTCTTAAAAAAATGTATATTTAATAATAAAATATTAGATATATGACAACCAAAGTTCTAAGTTTTATATCGTTTGACAAAATAAATTAATTCTTCAACGGCTATTATTTGTATTGCTCTGGATCCTAATGTACTTAACAATAATATTATAATCTTTATAGTAATGAGAACTCGTATTAGTGACCACCTCCGGCCCGTATTTATTTTTATACAAATTTACCATTGTATTAATATTTTGTAACATGACATAAATTAATTGTATAACCATAGGCAATTTGTAAAAAATTATGTTTATCCATTAGGTTATTAGCTTATACACAATATTATTTCTGTTCGTTATAATACTGCATACATCTGCATGCAAGCGACTTCGTTGTACCGTGTACACTAGTCAGTAGTCAGTTTATTATTTTTTAAGCAATTTTTTACTGCATATTTTGATGCTTTTTAACGCATATTTTAGTATTTTTTATCGTATAAAGTTCTGAGCCTTGCTTATAAATGTTTAATTAATAAAAATTGTATAATGGTTTCAATTTGAAAAGATTAGTACAGCAATACCGTTCACCAATCTCTAATCTCAAGCGACCATTGAATTTAATTTTTCACTAAACAGTATTTATTTTTTCAAGGAAATCATTGATAAAAATGACCATTCTACTTTATTATTACTAATCTCATTGGTTACAAAAACAATACCATGTTTAAAAATATATATTTATATGTATAAGGGCAGTGGCGCCAAACTTCTAAAATTGTACCTAAGCCAAATAAAAATACAACGACCTCAAGCCTACATTTTTACTTTGCATAGAAAAATAATTTGTGATCTCAAATTATAAGTATTAAGCATGTTTATACTAATCAGACACGTATCGACAGACACCGTACCGTTACGAAAAATATTTTATTATGTTTTAATTTAGATGATTAAAATTTGAATGTTTCCATTCCGTTTATACACGTACCGATCCGATATTCCTCGCGGTCAGAATATTGCAGAGTGCAAATCATAGGTCACCCCTCTGATCCTCGGCCTTATTTTAAAAATGTGGTAAGACCGCGGCCTAACCTAAGCATAGGGCAACGCCACTGTATAAGGATATTTTGTGATACAGTAACTTTTTTAAAATATTGTCCATTAACTCAATTTGGTATATAGGGCAGATTGTCAAAATTTTCCTTGGAAATGGATTAAAATATTTGGCATTATAATAATTATCTTAATGTTAAGAATTACTTAATATGTTACCTACTCATATTAATGATGAACAAAATAAATGGTATTTCAAATTTGTAAAATTATTTTATTATATAATAATTTTATAGAAATATAAATAATTATATAAGTATTATCACATGAAACAATATAATATAAATAATTATAATATTATAATTAATATTTATTGACAAACATTAGTACACTTGAAAAATGTAAAGATTGATATTCATGAAGTAACTTAACATAATTAGTTTAAAAATAATTAAATTATTAAAAATATTTGGTAACTGAAATTAAGTTACAGCTATAAAATGAAATAACATATTTTTTGTAAAATTTACACAACAAATATAGGTATATTATAATTTTATTTATATACTTTTTTTTTAGTATAATTTTGTTTACTATAGCTATCAGATAAAGAATAAACATATACTAAAAATATAATATACTCAATTTAAAATTCACAATATACAGTATAATTTAGTTTTAATTAACAATAAAATTTGAGATTATAATTAATATTAACTAACATTATTACAATAATAGCATCTTTTTATTTGAAACCCAGTACTTTGTTTTTATTTAATATTTTTCAACTATAAGCTGAAAATAGTAAATAATTTGGTATAATTAGAAGGTATTAATGAAAACCTTTTAATTTATTCAACATGGAATTTTGATCTTTTAGCTAAACATATGGACAACAATGCTCCAGTAAATGAAAATAAAGCAGATAACAGAAAACCAGAATTATTTCCAAACTTATCCATGATAAATCCACACAATATAGGAGCTACAAATCTTGATATTGCAGTTGCACTAGCTCCAGCACCAGCTATAAGTCCTTTGTGATCAGATGACGATTGTTCATACATTATTTCATTGTTGAATCCTCTTATAAGTGTACTTGAAGCACTGATCGGAATCATAGCTGCCATAAATATTATTATATTTGGAGCTAAGGTTAAACCAATAAAACCCGAGCCCAATAATATGAAGGAATAGAAACATTTGGTAAATGGATTTTTAGTTGGAAATATATTTTCTATTTTTCCAGCAGTAAATCCAGTTATTCCACCAGTAAGCCCTTGTAAAGCACCAGTATAACCAGCTTCCGATGGAGATAAATTAAACTTTTCATTCATTGCAAGCCCAACTGAACTAAAATATGCAAACAATGCTGCAGCCCCTAACATTTTTAAAGAAAAAGCAGGCCAACATTCCTTCCAATTGACTTCCATTAAATCATTAAATGGCGAAGCGCTTTTTCTTTCTTTTTTTATAGTTATGTTAGGGACTGTAGTCCAAACAACTAAAGCATTAATTAGAAATATTACAGAAGTATAACAGGTTAGGCTATAAAATCCTTCACTTTTTTCCATAAGATGACCACCAATTATGGGGCCAATAACAAAAGAGAGCGAAGAAAATCCATTCATTCGGCCATAAACTGCAGTCTGCTGGTCAGGTGGTACTTGATCATTGACTAATGTCTTGCATAAAAGTTGTGAATGTTTTAAACATCCTTGAATAATACGTATTAATACAATTAAGATAAATGATTCTACGCAACCTAGAAGGAAATAAGCTACAGCACAAATACATATTGTAACAAAGAGAACAATCTTTCGACCATAACGATCACTGAGTGCTCCGACTGGTGTACCCGATAAAAATTGTAGGAATGAATAAGTAGACCCTAATAAGGCTATATGAAAATGACTAGCGCCTAAATTACGTAAGTGTGTCCCCCATACAGGTATGATAAGGCTAATGCTAATCAAGTCCAGAAATACAATAACATAAATATAAGAATATTTGAACATGATTGAATTGTGGATTTCTGAAAAAAATAAAAATAAAAATCCAATGGTTAAATCATTTTTGTTAATATTTCATATGAATACATTAGATATATACAAAATACTATTTTTCTTTAAAAAACTATAATACATTCTTTTTAACTATGAATTCCAAAAACATAATAAAATTAAATAGATTAATAATTTATGTATAAAGACAGTTAGATGAAAAATTTTGTATATTTTTTTAAAAAAAAAACCTTAATAATTTATTATGATTTGCTTTTATTAACTTTATATATTATAAAACAATTGTTTTGATCATTGCTTGTAGGATATATATCAGGTTTCAGAAATTAAACAGTTATATTTTGAGCAGTATTACTTGCAATTTGCTAATAAAATATAGTACGTAGAATAAGGCAAAAATATCATAAAACTATATGAAATGAGTTACTAACACTTCAATTAGAGTTCTGTAATTTTCAAACTATATCCATCTTGACTAAATTAATTGAAGACATTTAATGTAATTTTAACTTATTAATTGTAAACAATTTTGTACATATAATAATTATTTTATAAGTTGAAATTAGTCTTTTAACTAAATAGTTTTTTAAATGTATTGATCAATTCATCAAATTAAGTTGTTTTATGATTATCATTACTTTTTATTTATAGAAGTATCCATGAATATTGAACATTTATTATTTCAGTAATTTATGATAGAAATATATTGTATTATACTTAATATAAATTTGATTTTATAATTTTGAATAAATATTGAATAAATAGGCTTACCTATGACATTTATTTCAACTAGCTCATCAAAAAATATATGAAGAGAATACTTTATAACTTTAAAAACTTTATATTAGTAAAAAATACTTGAATTTTACCGTTATAAGGTAATCATTATGGCTATTTGAGATACGAATGGTACTTCAACCATTATCAATTCTCAACCTGTAAAAAATTATTAAGTATTAAAAAATTGAATGTAGGCAATTGAAATAAGTATATAGAAAAATAAATAACACAATACACAATAAATAGAATAAAATTACAAATTACATAAGCCACAAGGTCAACGGTTATGATTATAATTACCATTGATGATATATTATAGTATCAAACATTTTTTTTCACAAAAATTTATTATAGAACTTATTAATGTAATGATGATTATAAATAATTTTCTAAAATAGATGTATGCTCGGTTATCATAAATTAAAACTATTGGAATTAAAATATTGTAATTCGAATGATTATTCACAAGGAGTATCAATGAATAATGATTTAATTGTATAATTATATTACATTTTACATGTTCATGGGTACGTACATCAATTTTGAGTTTTTTTTTTTTTACAAATTTATAACAAATGATAAAGATATTATTTATCCAAATGATAACAATAATTATTCATTAACCGAGGTTTAGTTTACTCGGTGTACTGCAACCGTAATCACACAATGATAACATAATCATATTATCAAACTTTCACAACTTGAAGCAACTATGATTGTATAAATAATTTACTATTTTTGTAAATGAGAATTGTATATTTGACCGACATATAAGGTTTGTGAATTTGTATATAATTCAGTTTTTTTTTGATTTTAAAATTTTTTATTAATATCATTTACATTTTACAGTTGAATATCGTATAAAACATTATGAAGAGTTCGGCATTGGTGAGGTCAAACTTGGTGCCTAAAGGTCATGCAGCTTTTGGATTATCTAGTTTGTCGTTTAAAAACATTTTGCATTTACGTCAAAATAGTACAGCATCAGCTACTACACCTGAATTGAAATCATCCTATGGTAACCTATCCGATTCAGACAGAATTTTCACAAATCTGTATGGACGTCATGATTGGCAACTGAAGGGTGCTCTGAAACGTGGTGATTGGTATAAGACCAAAGAAATTTTGATAAAAGGTACTGATTACATTATAAATGAAGTTAAAACTTCTGGTTTGAGAGGACGTGGTGGGGCTGGTTTCCCAACTGGAATGAAATGGAGTTTTATGAATAAGCCTTCTGATGGTCGCCCAAAATACTTGGTTGTTAATGCTGATGAAGGAGAACCAGGTACTTGTAAAGATCGTGAAATTATGAGACATGATCCCCATAAGTTAATTGAAGGTTGTTTGGTCGCTGGTCGAGCAATGGGAGCTTGTGCTGCTTACATTTATATCCGTGGCGAGTTTTATAATGAAGCTTCAAATTTGCAACAAGCAATTTGTGAAGCATATCAAGCAGGTCTCATAGGAAAAAATGCATGCAATTCTGGCTACGACTTTGATGTATTTGTTCATAGAGGAGCTGGTGCTTACATTTGTGGTGAAGAAACAGCCTTGATTGAGTCTCTTGAAGGCAAACAAGGCAAACCAAGGTTGAAGCCTCCTTTTCCAGCTGATGTTGGTGTTTTTGGCTGTCCTACAACTGTATCAAATGTTGAAACTGTAGCTGTTGCTCCTACCATTTGTCGTCGTGGTGGAGCGTGGTTTTTAGGTCTGGGAAGGCCTAGGAATTCCGGAACAAAGCTTTTCAACATATCTGGCCACGTGAATAATCCCTGTACTGTTGAGGAAGAGATGTCAATTCCATTAAAAGAATTGATTGAACGTCATGCTGGTGGTGTAACAGGTGGTTGGGATAATTTATTAGCTGTGATTCCTGGAGGTTCCTCTACTCCACTTATACCAAAGCATGTTTGTGAGACAGCTATAATGGACTTTGACGGCTTAGTAGCAGCTCAAACAAGTTTGGGAACAGCAGCTGTGATTGTAATGAACAAGCAAACTGATATTGTAAAAGCTATTGCTCGTTTAATTATGTTTTATAAGCACGAATCATGTGGTCAATGTACACCTTGTCGTGAAGGCATTAATTGGATGAATAAAATAATGTACAGATTTGTTGATGGTCAAGCTCAATCTTCAGAAATTGATATGTTGTGGGAGATTAGTAAGCAAATTGAAGGTCACACGATTTGTGCTCTTGGAGATGGTGCTGCATGGCCAGTACAAGGATTGATTCGACATTTTAGACCAGAACTTGAAAGAAGAATGAAAAAATACCATGAGCAGAATGAAAAACAGGCATTGGCAAACTAATAATTTTTTTTAATAGTATTTATCAATCAGTAAAACATTGTTTAATGTGATTATTTTAACAAGTTGATTAGTTATAAACTTATAAAAATATTTAATCAAATAAAACAGAAATTAAAAAAACTACTATATTATTTATATTAATGTCTATTGTGTATAATTTGTCATTAAAATTTTTTTTTTATCTTTTAAAGAAGTTAAACTAATTTGCTACCAATACAAAGTATGACTATAAAATAGATTTTTTTTCTATAGATATTTAATTTTATATTTGTATTATATATCCAACTTAAATTGAAAATCAGTTTAGAGTTCTTAAGTCTACTCTTATATGTCTAATCTAATTTTTATTTAGTATAATAAAAATATTTCAATGTATATTTTATGGAATTTATTTGTATGATATGAATTTAGTGCAAATTTTGCATTTAATTTTGTGTACTGTATTACAGTATTGATTTATAATTAACATGTATCACATCTTATTTTTAAATTGTGTTACACTTCATAAATTTGACAATTTTGAAAATCTGTTATTAAAAATATTTGTGTATACATTTAGGTAATTGATCTGTTGGGGAAATTTTAATTTAATTGTTGGTTCATAACCCTTTATAATTTAAAAATACCAAAACAAATATATTTATGTTTGTAAAAATACACCATCGATGTTGTCAAAACATCATTAATGTTAATCATAAACATATGTAGCTCCTTAGGAGGAGTGGCAAAGACTATTACTAGGGAGGATATCTAGGAATATGGAGCACTCAGATTTTAGTTCAATCACAGCCTTTATCTTTATAATTAATCCTCATATAGTTATGGTTATGTTGATCAATATGGTCAAAATTTAAATTTAACAAAAATACTACAGTTTTCAATAAGTTATTTTTAATAATAATAGCAATAAAAATAAATTGTAATAATTACTTATATTCTCTTACTCTCATCTCTTCTTTCTGGTTTAGATATTGTGGTTGATGTTTTTTTTTTTTGATTTTTCAATAATAAGTAGGCAGTATCAGTTCATAAATTGAACAGTTTTTTAATGCATTTTTTGTAAACCGGATTTGTAGTGTTACATTGTTAGTTATTTTTTGACAAAACTACTACTTTCACAATTGCCTATATATTTATGGTAGAAGTTTATCAAAATGTACTTACTTTATTTGTTCTTAATAGGATGAAACATTTTTAGAGTGACAAATCGACTGAGTGCACACCTTTAATGGTAATTGTTTAATATAATAGAGGTAACTAGGAAAACATTTTGCAATTTATTTTTAGCTCTTCTCTTTCAGAATGGTGCATGAATAAATGTATAAATAAAGTTTCTTCAATCTTAAGTGTAAAAGGATGATTTCAAAACAAATATTTCCATTTTAATTTGGTTAAATTTTTTTTAATTCTACTAGAATAACTTGATATAATAACAAAAATTATTAAAGGTAGTGAAATTAATAAGGTAAAAATATAAGGTTTTAAGTTTATAGTTTCTAAACAAATTTTATTTTTAATTAGCTAATATCCACCTTTGTAAGTCTCAAAAATATTTGATCAAGTTGCTTTGGTTATTGCCAAAATATACATTTTCATTAAGGATATTTAGTCAATTTATTAAAGATTCTAAAGTTTTGTTAAAATGGTATCGAAAAATAATCTGAAGGTACAGTTATTTGAATAGGTACTATGTAAATTAATATATTTGAAAATTGAATTAGAAATAGTCACATAGTTTAAAAATAAAAATAATTTTTAATTTTTCTTTAAAAAGTAACATATAGTATAGGAGTAATTTAAATTTACTAATCAAAAATAATACAAAATAATTTTTAGTTTGGTTTCTAATAACAATAATTACTTACTATTTTTTGTGTCATTTTATATTATTCAAATTTATTATGTAACCAACTCAGATATATTAAAAGTACTTATTTTATTTTTCTATAATTTATTTCACAAAATATAATTTTTCAACAATTCTTTAATTATTGTAAAATATTTACAATATTTATTATGAAAAAAAAAACACCAATAAAGTTGTTATTGAAAAGTTAATATCCAACGAAGTTGTTTTTTTTATACATTAGATTTACCAATAACATTGTTTTATATTGTGTTTGATGAGTCATTGCAGTAACATATTTCATAACATTTGTTAAGTAAAAATTAAATACAAGTTAAATATTTAGAAGTATCTAAAATATCCTTAAATTAAATAATAAATTAGGTTTTAGGTAAACATTATAAAAATATTAATAATTATATTTCAATTACATATTACATAATACTATAAAATCAAACTAATATTAACTTATAGAATATGTAATAAATAATAAAATATTTTATAGGATTTGTCCAGTAAAAATATTTTGTTTACAATTGAAGTACATATATCATATTTAATAAAAATTAGATTTATTGAAATATATTGTTAAAAATAATATTTTACACAATTTATAAATTTATGATCGTTTGATTTTACCATCAAAAAATTTAGCTAATATTGCAGCAGAAATAGCAGCTAGAGCTCCAATTAAAAACGCTCCACTAGAACCATATATATCCATAGCCATTCCAGTTACCATGGGAGTAATAGATCGAGCTATTGAATTAGAACTAGTCATGGCACCTTCTAAAGTACCTCTATTTTCATCTTTGCAGGTTTCAGAAAGAATTTGATTTAAAAAAACATCAATTAGAGTACCAGCTGTGCTAATTGGAATTAAGCACAACATAAAGATCATAAAATTGGGAGCAAATGACAAACACAAGTATCCAAAAAACAGTAAAATAAAGCTAAAGAAACACTTTTTGAATGAATTATATTTAAGAAAGAATGGTTCCAATCTGGCAACTGCAAATCCGGTACAAACACCAATGGAACTGTTAACCGATATTGTGCAACCTACTTGGGATGGTGTAAGCTTATAAGTTTCTCCAAGCACAAAGATAAATGATACCATCATTACTGATAAAGTTGTAGTATACATCATTTTCATAAAAAACAATGGCCAATATTCCAACCAATCAACTTCTTTTAAATGTTGAAAAATATTTTTATTTTGACTAGTTGACTCAATTTTTTTGGTTGGAACACAAAATGCAATAACAATAGCATTTAAGACACAAAGTAAACCTGATGAGTATGATAAATAGTAAAAACCATTCTCATATTCTGATATATATCCACCATATACTGGTGCTATCATAAAAGCTAATGAAATGACACTATTTAATTTTCCGTGTGTGCTTAATTGTAAAGATTTAGGAACATTATCTCCAATTAATGATTTACCTAACATCTGAGTATGTTTAAAACAACCTAGCATCAATCGGATAACAGCTATTGATAGATAAACATAGCAATGTCCCATAGCAAAGAAAGCAAAAATACTGAATATCATTGAAAGTAAAAGTAATGGTTTTCGACCATAACGATCGCTTAATGTACCAACAATAGGACCTGTAATAAATTGACAACTTGAAAATAAGGATTCCAAAAGGGTTATTTGGAAATGTGTAGCTCCAAATTTTCTGAGACGACGATTAAATGAGGGCATTATTGTACCAAGACTGGCTATATCCAAAAAGCCAATGATATATATAAACACAAAACTTTTCATTTTTTAAATTTATTACAAACAGTATATAAAAATAAATTAACTTAATTAAGAGAAAACCACAATTATAATTCCACCTTTTCAACGTCTCCTTGAACCTGAAAGAAAAAAATTAAATTAAATTAATTTTATTTTTATTTATTTATATTTATCAGTGCTTGGAGATTTATTTATCCTCTAACAATGTCACATCGATATGACAGCAGTGACTTGACATTTTGTAAGCAATTAATATATTAATAACTTTATAAAAAAAAAAAAAAATTAATATAATGAGCTGGTTATATTTTGGGTTGCCAGTAAACATATTATATTGAATCATATGCTGAATAATAACCTTTATTATTTTAAAATATTTAATGAAAGTACATTTTGAAAAATACATAAAATATTGAATACAAAGAATACTTACAAATGGAGAAGCTGGACCTTTAAATACTTGACTTTCAATTGTTACATCAACACAGTCTTCTTGTTGTATTAGGAAATCTTTTGCATCCCAAGCTTGAGACCCATCTTTATACATGAATATTGCTCGATTATCATCAACCATAAATCTACAATAAAAATAGAGTTATTACTTAGATTTAATATCTAAGATACTTAGTTAGTTTTAAAATGTTCTACAATATTTAATAATTTATTTTATATCATACTAATTTTATACATGTTACCAATTAAGTATTTCTTTACAAGTACCAATAGCCTACTAGCCAACAGACTATTAATGTTCATTCAAATGTAGACACAAAGTTCACCCATAGATAATACAATAAGATAAGACACACAAGGCACTTGTTTTCTATTTACATACAAATAAAGAATATTTAAATTCTTACAAAAATCAGTGAGTAAATTTTTCTTTTCTTAAAAAGTAAAGCATATATTTATTATTACATGTTATATTTGTATTTTAAAAATATTAGTTATTCAACAGTAAAAATACTGAATTGAATTTTATTTAGTACTAAATAAGTTACCAGGTTTTGCCCAAGAAAATAAATGTTTATTTTTATGTTCGATTAGGTTACTATAGACAAATAAAAACAATTATAATATATTATATATGTCGTTTTCACTCTTATTTTAATTCAAGCTTAGGACTGGCACTAAGTTTCTTGTCTAAAACCTGCTTAGCGATGTACTCTTCAAAAACATGAAATTTGGTTTTGAAATTATATTTACATTAAAATGTTTATAGTATAGTACATTATCATTTTAAAATTATACATAAGTAGGTGGTTTTAGTTAGTGATAAAATACTAATATTACAAATAGGTATAATAGTAGACGATTAGTTGATTTATACAATTTAAAATATGAACATATAGAGTAAAAAAATGTATATGTATTTAACTTCAAAGGTCAATTAATTTATTGAATTATGATAAAATAAATAATTTTGTTATAGTTTTTATTTATTTAATTTAAAAATTTAAAAAGAACAAATTAACTTCTAAGAACTATCTATGTAATCTATAGTAATCATAGTATATAATATATTATATAATGTAATAATAACAAAAATAATTAATTTTAATACATAAAATGTACATTGATTGGTATGGTTGTATTGATTGTATATTGATTGGTACAATTTCATATTAATAACTATAATAACTTTGTACAAAAAAAAAAAAAAAAAAAAATGGTTTGTTAAAATAGTAATAAAGTTATTAATATTGCATGAAAAGTCTCTTTTCAAGAAATATATCAAGAACAAGATTATCAAGATTTTGACAAAAATAACTGAACTCTTAAAAGTACAAATTTTACTTTAAGAAATAAAAAACTAATAGTTTATAAATAAAAAATACTTTTTTAATGGAACAGTCACAAGTATTTCAAGACCTCAATAGTAAAATATGAAAACCAAAAAATAATTTTTAAATTAGAACAGTCATTAATTATTCAAAAAATAATTAGCTGTAAAAGTATAATAATCTGTACTAATTGGGGTATGATGATATATTTTTTTCTACTTATAAAAAGTTTGATCAAAAGATTGCAAAAGTAGCAAATAAAATAGGTATGAGGTAATAAATTAATAGTTCATTATTATATATTTCACTATTATATTAATTATTAATTTGTGGGTTAGTAGTTTGTGAGGGCAGCGATAGCACTTACTGGGCCGATAAGCTGAGGAAGAAGACGAAGAAATAATAAATAACAAAAATATTAAATTTTTTCTAACCTTTCTGCTTGTATATGATTGTTCCATAAACTTGATTGCCAAATTTTAGTTATTTTTTCAACATCATCTTTGTTATACTTTGGTGATACTTTAACAAAGGTCATTAAAGTTTTGCCTTTTTTGGATAGTTTTAATAAAGCATCAGGATCATTTCCGACCTATAAAAATAAAATAATATACTACACAAAGTTTTAATATTATTATATTGATAAAGGTACACAAAGGTTTTAATATTAATCATTCAAAATTGAGATTATTTCACCCAATTTCTACTCATGAAAAAAAAATAAAAAAACATATTTTCATTTAATCAAAAATAAGTATGTTGTACAAGGAAAATGTCAATAAGATATCAAGATATCGAAATTTTATAAATATATGTTTGTATTAAATATTTATATTCTTAACCAAAAATCAAGGTAAAAAAATATATTTACTAAATTTGGATCAATTTTGACAGGAGGTCTCAAATGTTCGGGCAGTTCATCAGGTTCTAAAGGATCCTCGTCTTCCTAGAACAAAATATTTAAGATACTTATTTAGGAACAATCACTAATACTATATACTGAAACACGTCCGGTACTATGGTGTGGTCTAATTTAGTAAGTTTATATATGTATTTCAAGGGCATTTTTAAAAGCTATAATTAATGTTTACCTCCCACTGGTCAAGCAATCGCTCCATGTCGGCTTCGGAATAATATCTAATGTCTTTTTGGGCCCAAGCCGGCTTTTCGTTGGGTGGCGATTTTTTCGCGACCACGATCGTCAACACTAAAGCCATGACAAGTATGGACCGGAGCATTTTTTTTGTTTTTTTAAATAACAGCACAGAAAACGATGCGTAGGGCACAGATGATGAGAATTCACGGAGTATACGATCGCATAATAATCGAATGAAAAGTACGGTCGAAAATCAATTCAAGGCATACATTGACAGAGCATGAGATCAACAAAGCAGCTTTGCGGTTCGTAACGTCACATCGACGATCGGTGGTCACTTCGGTGGTCAATCGAACCGTGATAATGCGATACATTGATAACGCAACCGTTATGATTCATGGAAGAAATCGCGTAACCCGTAAAGCTGTGCATGTTCTTCTGCTAAACCGATCTGGTAGCCGGTGGGCGGATTTAGGTAATTTTCTACCGTTCTTGTACGAGGGCACCATGGAAACGTGATGGTAAACAAAACACGATTGATGACAGTAAATAATAATGATGGTTTTTATTTATAGTCGTCGTTCGATATCAAAAAATTACGCGTCTTCGCGACATCGCTAATTTAAAAAACGTGTTAACACGATGCTTTCGTCTTTCGCAGTTAACAGTTTATAAATTTTATACGATATTATCTCGTGCGTTGTGTGTACTTTGGCGGCGATAGGATTTTGGTTTTTTTATGCAGCCACATCAAAGTAAAAATATTGTAATTTCGCGAGAAGTGTCATTTAATTTATTCGCATCCTATTTAGTCGTTTACTTCTATTTGTTGACAACTATTTTCTGCTGGAATAACGCGTTACAGTAGGTATCTAGGTAAAAGTAAAGATTACTCTGCATATTTTTACATATTTAAGTGATATGACATATAAATGTATATTTTCATGAATTCATCGTTTTAATGCTTTTTTCTTTTATATTTTAAAGAAATTTATCATTTTATCAGTCAGATACATGTTATTGAATGTTTTTGTTAAAATGATTTTTGATTTCAATAAAAATGTAGGTTATTTATGTGTACTTTGTAACGTCCCATAATTTTAGTATATGTAAAATTCGTAATTTAAATACACGAGGTCCCGGTCAAAGTCCCACAGGCCCGAATTATTTCGTCAGCAGTCCACATTACCACGTCCGATGAACGGATTGCTCATTAATTAATTAATTAATGATTATATAACAAAAATAACACCACCTTATGTAAGTCCCCCTTCAACCATATTCGGTTCTCGTCGCTGGAAAATAATCATCAATGACGACCTTGTAAGCTCTCTGCTCTCCGACATCCAACCGCACAGACGTTAATTTCTGTGTTTTTCTCACAACGTTGTGGTTTGTTATACCTACTCAATTTCGTTTAAACCACACACATAGCTGCCTAAACCCACGGACATGGCCTTTGGCAGGCGAAAACAACAAGGATCCCGAAATATCACCAGCTACATCTCAACAACAGTAAAGCATCAAATATAGTCCCTATAAAATTCCTTTTTTTATTTTTTTATTATTACCTTTTTAAAATTTATTTCTGATCCCTTCATTATTTCTCTTAAATTTTTTTTTCTTAAGTTAAACTTTTCCTCCTGTTTCCATTCAAATAAGCAACAAACAAAAAAAAAAAAAATCATATCCAATGCATTCCCCCCTCCCGTTTCTCCGACTATTTCCTTTTAATTACATACATTTTTTTTTATTTTAAATTTATTATTTCATATAAAACGCTATTATTATTATTATTATTAATTTAATCATTATTGTAATATAACAAAAAACAAAATTCAATCCAAAATTTTTAAATTTTAACATGAGTAAATAAAAAACCCACGAGCTCAATCGTACACCTTTGTGAGTGGCTATCGAACGATTGAGAATGTTATACTTTTTTGGTCGAACAATTGAGAACACTTAAAATTAACAAAGAACTTACCGCTGACCCCCCCCCCCAAAAAAAAAAAACCAAAAAACGATACGATTGAGAACGAATTTATGTGCAACGTTATCAGTTTGCCATATCATTTATTTGGCTTTTGAAAAATTCAGTATACATACAATAAATATTCTTGAAAAAAGTCATAAATTAATAATTGTAATTGTATACAAATAAGTGCCTAATAATATGTAACATATAATATGAATAAAAAATTAAAAATATGTAGGACTTATAAAAATATCTAATACTTATATAGTGTGAATATGTATAAAAAAATTGTATAATAAGTAGAATTGTAAAATTTATAAAATTTATTATTTTCTAATAATATTAGGTCTTCACTTCGCTTCTTATAGTTTTAATTTCGTTCTTTTCCATTTTAATTAATATGATATGTAGTATATTATATTGACGAATAGTTTGTGTGATGACTGCAAAGTTTAACCGTCATTCTCTCGTAATTGGTATCTAAGTTACTATTAACATCCAGCTAATTCGATAAAATTCCGATAAATATCAACAGATTATTGTGCTCATATTATTGATCGATTACATTTGGCAACGTTGGAAAAAAGAACTCGAGCGTTCTCAATCGTGTTATCAACAATTACGGTCTCAATCGTATTTTACCGTTGCGAGTATATGTGATTTGGCCCGTGGGTCACCAGCAGAGTGTTTCCCTCGGCTAGTGGGTACAAGTAGGCCCCCCTAAAAAGAAAAGGGGCTGAAAGGTTACAATTTACATACTTATATGTGAAGAATTAATATGTAACTTTTTTGTGCATTGTGACTATATTACAGTTCGGGGGTCGCAAACCTGTCGATCTTTCTAGGAATATAGGTTGACAGTGGTGTAGATACAATTTTTTTCTGTGTAGGGGTTGTTAAGAGTCAATTCATAATATTCTTAGTATATCTTAATACGAGGTCCTATATAACAATACATAATGTTATTATTATTATGTCCCGTATTTAATGAAAATTATTTTGTTACTCAATTTTTAATGATTATATCTAATCATAGTAAAATGAATATATAATTTTACTATAATCTGAAAATAATAATAAATAATAATGAAATATCATTAAAAAAAAAAAATCTAGGAGGGGTGGAAACCCCTTACACCCCCTTATAACTACGCCACTGTAAGACGATCGTTGTAAAAATGTATTTTACCACTATCGGTCGATCGCATAAAATAATCGTATAATAGGATTATTAGATTATTATTATTATGAAAAAATAATAAAAATAATTCTTTGGAGCTTTGGAGCTTAGACTTTTTTTTTTTGCTCATCAAATAAATATCTTCCTAAAGTTGTAAATTCTCCTGGATGTCGATCACTAGGGATTTAAATTTCAAATTGTAGCTCATTTATTTGAAAAGGTTGGCGACCTTTGCTATAGTATATATATATAAAAAAAAATAAAATAAAATTCATGATAATTATTATTTTGATATCTAAGAATCCGTAATCCATACCTACAAAAATTCGATGAATGTTTTGATAAAAAAAGAAGCACCGCTTTCAATCAGGAGTGCTCAAAAAAATTTTAAGACCCCACAGATTAAGGGCAATTTGATTTTTATAATAAACAGTCTTTTAGTATTCAAATATAGTTGTTTATCAGAATTTGTTATCGATGAGTTTTCGACTGATGCAAGGTGGATATATATATATATATATCCACCTTGGACTGATGGTAAAGTCCATTGCTGTAAGTATTGTGGCGTTGAAGTAGGATGTGAAAAATAATTGAATGTTACGCAAAATGTAAACGATTTATATATTTTTTAAATAAATCATATTAAAAAAATATAATAGTTTATTTTTAATGCATATTATAGGGTTTTTAAGTTCCTAAGAGTTTTCATATTTTGTACATTTTTAGAGCTACAAGTCCTCTATCCTAGTCATTACGTTTTATGTAAAAAATATCTTCAAAGACATCAGATAATAATATATTATAAATAACAATATTAGTGAAATTAATTCAATAGTATAAGCATATACTTACGTTTAATGTTAAATAAAATAAAAAGTTTTTCTCAAGATATTTCGTCACAAATAAATTTGTATAAATATTCAAAACATATCTTCATAAACATTTTAGCAACGCTTTTCAAGAGTATTATTGAAATTTCAAAGGTTTCAAATTAAGTGAATTTTTAAAAAAAGAAATTAATTACCTTAATATACTGGTATACATTTACTATGTTATATTACGATGGAACTACTTTTATCATTAAAATTTCTACTGATAAATTATCATTATAATTTGTTATTTAGAATTTTCGTTCAACAAAATAAAATGTTAATACAGTGTAGGTTTTATATTGGTCTAGAATCCCATTTTTATTGTAGTTAAAATATTTTATGTTATATAAGCTTAAATTGTATTTTTAGAACAATTTTTACCGGGCTTCAAATCATTGGTGTCGCGCTATATATAAGTTACGCTTGAGACATAAATCTTATAATTCAGTGCTTCTCAAACTTTATTGTCATACAACAATTTAATGAAAATAATTGAAGATCCTGTTTCTTTTCTTTTATGTAACTAGTTTTTAATTGCTGAACAATAATAAAAATATTTATTTAGAATATAAATAGATATACTTTTTACCATGTTTTTATTAACTTCCAAAATATTTTATAAATACTTAATTTTAAATTAATATATGAGTGCTGAATACAAATATAATAGTTTTGATTATAATCAAAACAAGAATATTTAAAACTAATGAGACAGATAAGGTTGCATACATTTTTCTGCAAAGAAAATCAATGTCCATGCGTTATTAGAAACAGTAATGCGTATATTTATTTATAAAATCTTACTCGAAGAACATAATTAATACTAATATAATAACAATACTTGTTATTATCATTTTTGTATCTCTTGTTTAGTTTTGTTCCGGTGGTAATTAAACAATACCTACTTAATTAAAAATGAGTGACAGCTGGCGACAAACAATGATAAACATTACTGACCGTATATTTCCATCTATTATTCCTTCACACGAAAGAGTTGGACCTGCTTTTGGTATGTGTTGTATTTGTTACGATTGTAATGCATTTATTTTTTCGATATTATGATTATTGGATGATTTCAATAGAAACACATTAATTAATTGTTTAACAACACATTTCTGAAAATACAAAATTATTTTTCAATTATAGTGTGATGCTATCTAAGAAGCTTTGATTCAGCTTTAAGCTTTAAATTATAGTAAAAATAATGACTAGGTATAAAAAATATGTAGTTATTGTAAAATTTGTTCCAGGTAATGAAATTGTATCCAGTCTTCCATTACAAATGTCATTATACTTTAATATTGTTTATTTTCCATTTTGGCTTTATACTTTTGTATCATTGATCTTGATTAAAGTAAGTTTTATTAAAAATAAAAAGCTTATGAGATATTTAATTCGTATAAAACTTATTTTTAGTTTAGTTGTTTGAACATGTTATTTCAAACTATCATTTCCGTATCGTTATTTTTGATACTTATGTTGGAATGCACCAGACTATATTTAGGAGTTCAGGGGAACCTCAAGGAAAAAGTAATATTTATATAATTTTTTAAATAAGTACTCAATACTTAAAATTGTATGTATTTTACTGTACTTAGATTCCGGATTTAGCAGCATTTTGGATGTTTTCGTTGATTCTTCAATTGCCATTGCAACTGTTATTCTTATTGATAAATACAATGCCCGTCGAAAGAGCAGTTCAAGGTATAATGTGTATTTTACTTCTATCGCAACTCATTTTCGGATTTGTGATACTTCGAGATATGGCAGAACATCATAAACTTCGTTTCCACATATCGCAGTTTTACAGCGGACAGCACAGCAAAACTGAATGAATTCAATATTTGTTCTAATAGTTGCGGTCGCGGTCCATTGAACTAAATAATGTCGTTATTAAGTTTTTGTACACACCTATTTTAAATTGATGAGTACCACATTATCGCAAAAATAAAATAAAAAAGTTTAAGGATTTGGGTTTTGTATACTACTGATGTTAGCAAATCGGGTAGCGTCGTATTGTAACAAAAGAACTTAGTTAAGGGCGAGTTAACGACCGAAAGAGGTAAATGAGTCGAGAGAAGGACTGGTCGGGCATATTCAAACACCAGATGGAAGAGATAATAGAATATTACGCGGAAACACAGAAGTATTTAATATACATGTGCGTTATGTGTTTCAAGGGATGTTTTAAGGGTTAAACCATTGTCTAGGGACTCCGGGATACGCAGTGTGCCGTTTGTCTTATAGTTGTGTGCGCCATATCTCCGTGTGTATAATATAATGAAAGTTAATGAGGCTGAAATGCAGATTGTACAGCAAGACGGTGCCGTTTTCGCTGATTAATGGTTCCCTTTCCGCGGAGGAAACAATGCGATAATAACTTTATTACACCGGACGAACAAGTCATGTCGCTCAGGAAATCCAAGTGTGTTATCTCGTCTCCCGAGATCCCTCATGGTATCGCATTAATCTAATAATATAGCAACTAACGGTTTGTTTTCAATACTTTAGCATTCGTGACATCTTACAAATACATATAAATTAATTAAACGGCAAATCATTTTGTTTGGTAATGTAAAATATTATAAATGGGTTATACCTATATATAATGACTGAAATTAATCTATATTGAATATTGATTAATATTTTGTATGTCATATTTTAACTATGGAGAAAACTATAAGAAATTTAACTTACACAAATTACATTTAATATTTATTCAACTTGGTAAAAAATTAATTAAATAGAAAAAGAGATGGCACCAGTAACCAAGGGTGAGGGATAAAGAATCCATAACCTCTCTATGGTCTGGATTTATTTATGTATATATTCTATTTTACTCAAATGGTTACTAAATTTTAAAATTAAAATTAATTTGATAGAGGTTATCTTATCAAGCATAATAATATTAACAAATATTAAATGATGTTATATCGGACAAAGTATTAATATCGAAATAAAAATGCCTCAAATATATAAAAGACTAACTCAAGAGTCAATTTTACTTCTGAAACCTCATTAATATATTCTATGTGTTCCACTCAAAGGACTTATTTTAGTCAACTTAAATTTATACGACGATGAAAATATTTTAAAATGTATTAAATATGTACTCAAGATACAAATGTCCATTATTACAATAGCTATACTCATAGCTAAGTTGTCCATATTGAAGCAACAATGGAAAGAAAATATTAAACCAAAACCAATGTCTACTTTCTTGCATCACTCTTTATTTGCATAAATGTTCTATCTAATATTTAAATACACGTGTAATTATTTTCCACGTTACCGGTAACTTCTTCCACTCCTGAATAAACATTTTCCACGCTGATCCGTATGAAAACTTATTTAAAAAACACTAAATCAAAAGCAAGACTTAATGTCGTAGTTATAAATAATATAAACAAAACATAAGATATTAATAGGAATGAAATAATTATTGAATTTGTTCAAAATGCTCTCCCAAAAGAATATAGAGTGTAGATATAAGTTATCTCATAAAAAATATTAAAATATTGATATTTAATTTTAAACTATTTTGGTATACTTATTTTTAATATTCCATTATAATACATATAAATTAAAACATCTTTATACATTTTGGAGAATTCAAGCCCCATATCCACTCTTATCTATGCATATGATACTAGTAAAATAGTGTTTAGTCTTCTCCTTATTAAAAATCCTGGCTATGCCACTAGATGGTACGATGAAGATTCTTTTTATTTAGATCGATGTTAATTTTTGTTAAAAAAAACAAATAAATAAATAATTATTGAACTAGTTTATGTGGTTATTAATATATATTGATAACATAAAAATTGAAATTTTTAAATATTAATAATGAACATAATTTTTAATAATTAGGTAACTTATAATTTCAATCGAAGTATTATCATGGTGCCTAAGGTTTTTAAAATTGATATTTTATTAATTTTTGTGATAGTAAATATAGATTTCATGAAATAATCAAGTGTACAATTTGTAAAAATGCAAGTAGCTATAAATAGTGTGAACTGTTATAAAACTGTATGATGTATGTAGTTAGTTTGAATATATCTCTAAATAAGTTATAAGCCAGTATAATAATATTATTGTATTCATATTGAGTTGCAAAAAGAACGAACATGTTCAAATAATTAGATTTCAGTGTATCTTGGTAGATATATTTTTTTATTTTACCACTTCTTCCATAAGCTTGCAACACTTCGATAAACGAGTGTCACACAAGAGGGTATACGAAGGGACATAATGAATCGCACTTGCAGAGAACAGGTGGCCCTTTACAAGTTAGGGATGGTTGGTTGTTGTAACGAAGGGTCGTCACCCCTCGGGGCTCGGGCAATCCTGGATGGCAGGTCAATTTAATAGTCATTCGTATTTTGTTAAAGTATGTTTAAAAAAAGTATCTCTGGATAACTAAATGGTTTTTAGTTCGATCAGAATGACAAAAACTGTGATTAGAACATTTGTAGTTAATAATTCGTTTTCAAACACATTTATTCTAAGAGGGATCTCGTTTGGAATAACCTATTAACATAACGTGTATGTGTATAATGGTTACTACTGAATGTTAGTTAACTAATACGAAATATAACAAATCAAGCTGTAAAATAAAATGTACTGCTTACTATTATATATTATGATGAATTGAACGCGCACCATTCTATGTGCGGCCATTATAATTAATGATTATATAAGACTATCGGAAATGAATAAATTACATATCAGTAATAATTTATTTTATTGATTGTTTATGTCACTATACTTATAATGTCTTTGAATATTTTTTAATAATATTCTCAATAGTTAAGTTAAACAGTGTATTTGTATAAAATATGTAAATTAGGATATCCATAATTTTAGCCTTACCACCATAGTTATTCTGACACATAGTAATAAAATTAATGTAAATATATTATCATTATTCGTTAAAAATTAATCGGTGGAATATTTAAACATTTTGGACCCATATTTTTCTTCATAAATACTTAATCATTTTGGTTGATTTATATAAAAAATATCATTGTACTTTAAATTTAAATAACATTTTTATTTTAAATATTTTACAAGAATTTGATTGTTTTATATTTATTTTTTTTTATTATATTTATCTGTTCATTATTATCGATTCATATACTTTTGTTTTGCTTTAAGTATTGTTTATATTTTGTGTTTTATTATTTCATTGTATTTATTACTATTAAGTGTTTAGTAATCCAAATTAGTTACCTATTTGTGAAAAAAATATTGGAAAATTTGGGATGTTGTGAAAAATAATAACAAGAAAAATGCATTTCTGAAATATTAAGTTTTCCGATGTCGCAATTTTTCTAGAAAACTGAGAAGATAATAATAATATGTTTCTCTCCGAGTTGACGAACAGTAAGCACAGAGCTATGTAAATATACAAAGAACAACCATTTTACGAAAAGAGATAAAATTATCGACTGTAGGTGGCGATTACAGGAAACAGCATCGTTCAGATATGTTGCATGGTATTAATGGTCATAAAACGTTGCTGACTGCAGTTATTTGCAAGTGTGTAAATAATTCAAGAGTACGCAAAACACGAAAAAAAAGCATAAATTAAACAGGACAGTCATAACCGATGAACTCGTACCTATAATAATATCATGCGCGTTTACCACCGACGCTAATACTAGTGGAGCAACTAGGGGTGGTTAATGACCTTCTCCCCCGAAATATGTAGTTAACTTAACACCTTAACCCATTCTACCACTAAAACACCTTCCGAAATCGATTTTTTTTTCAAATATAAACCCATCCTCCCTACCACCACTAGAGGAAATAAATCCTGGTCGCACCACTGAACGGTATCACTGTTCCTTCCAGACGATTTGAACGCCGAACATCTGTTGTCGTACACGTAAACAATATGTACACCGGCCACGGTGGATTAAACGATTTCACCGCGAAAACCATATCGATCGGATCGACGTGCACTGTATTATGTCCCGGCGCGTCATTATTTATTATTATTATTATTATTATTATTCCCTAGCCCTTTCGCGTCGTACGACGCGGACACGATTCTAGAACTGTGACGGCCATCGGGCACGGCGGCGAGAGCGTTTAACGAGTATCGTGTTGGGCAGCTAACATGTGTTGCTGCAGGGATTCGCGCTGCAGCGGCAGATGCGGCGGTCGTGCACCCGCTTTTGTGCGCGAGTACCACGAGTAGGTACTGTAACCACTACCCCTCCACCACTACAAACCGTCCCAATCTCGTTGCGTGCTCGACGGGGGCTGCCCGCGTTAATCAACCTTTTCCGCACAACATATGGAACGTTTTTAGTCGTGCCCATATGCCGTCTCGCGTACAATAATGATAATAATAATAATACATTGCCGACGTGTAGCCACAAGATCCCGCGGGTCCGAGGGTATATCGGTCGGGGCCCGTTGAGTCATTGTAATACGCAGCGCGCGTTCGTCGGCGGTGGTGTAATCCACTTTTCGAGGACTTTGACTACGCATTCGACTTTCACAACGCACGCATAATGGAGGGAAACATATTACATCGCAACCGATAGTCGCTAATTATTTATGCTTGTGCCCCTGCAACACGACGTATGTTCGAGTCGCACACCGGGCGTAATAACGTGCACGTAGCTGTGGAACTTGTGCCGAACGGATCCGCGACATAATAGTACGACGGAAAAGTGGGGACGGAAAATATTAACGGGCGACGAACAGTTTAACGATCAACGGTTTGTACCTCAGCGGCTGGCCGTAACCAGTAAGGCGAATAAATGAAAACAACGTACACAGTAGCACGGTTGCGAGGGCCGAAGAAATACCGCGAGCAACACGCATGGCGTGAAACAGATCCGGAAACGAGTAACAATCTGGTCGTTGTGGAATATCTACCGCGTTCCGACCACGAAATATGCCGCATCAAATGCGCAACGGCATAACGGATAATGACACTGAAATCGGGTG